CCTGAGTGCTCTGTGTTCCCTTCTCTGAGGCTGTGGGTCCCTATAATTACACCAGTGGTGGTACCCCCCTATATATATATATATATATATATATATATATATGGCACAACTCTCCTAAACACGAGAGTGAAGTATACAACTTTAGAACACTTTCCCACCAGGAGACTCGAACCCCAGCCAGCACAGAAGCCTTCCAGCAACTGGCATAACAGGTACGCCTTAACCCTCTTCACCACCGCTCAGACCCTTAAAAGAGATGGTAATTTCGGAGTATTTAAATCCCCCAAAGATCAACACCTCCCAAGAGCACCAGAGCAAGTGAGGGGTCATTTAGACGTTAATTTCATCAAGTCCCTGTTAATATGGGAAGACACAGTGTCTCTGCTTAAGGCACAACTCTCCTAAACACGAGAGTTAAGTATACAACTTTAGAACACTTTCCCACCAGGAGACTCGAACCCTAGCCAGTACAGAAGCCTTCCAGCAACTGGCATAACAGGTACGCCTTAACCCTCTTCACCACCGCTCAGACCCTTAAAAGAGATGGTAATTTCGGAGTATTTAAATCCCCCAAAGATCAACACCTCCCAAGAGCACCAGAGCAAGTGAGGGGTCATTTAGACGTTAATTTCATCAAGTCCCTGTTAATATGGGAAGACACAGTGTCTCTGCTTAAGGCACAACTCTCCTAAACACGAGAGTTAAGTATACAACTTTAGAACACTTTCCCACCAGGAGACTCGAACCCTAGCCAGCACAGAAGCCTTCCAGCAACTGGCATAACAGGTACGCCTTAACCCTCTTCACCACCGCTCAGACCCTTAAAAGAGATGGTAATTTCGGAGTATTTAAATCCCCAAAGATCAACACCTCCCAAGAGCACCAGAGCAAGTGAGGGGTCATTTAGACGTTAATTTCATCAAGTCCCTGTTAATATGGGAAGACACAGTGTCTCTGCTTAAGGCACAACTCTCCTAAACACGAGAGTTAAGTATACAACTTTAGAACACTTTCCCACCAGGAGACTCGAACCCTAGCCAGCACAGAAGCCTTCCAGCAACTGGCATAACAGGTACGCCTTAACCCTCTTCACCACCGCTCAGACCCTTAAAAGAGATGGTAATTTCGGAGTATTTAAATCCCCCAAAGATCAACACCTCCCAGGAGCACCAGAGCAAGTGAGGGGTCATTTAGACGTTAATTTCATCAAGTCCCTGTTAATATGGGAAGACACAGTGTCTCTGCTTAAGGCACAACTCTCCTAAACACGAGAGTTAAGTATACAACTTTAGAACACTTTCCCACCAGGAGACTCGAACCCTAGCCAGCACAGAAGCCTTCCAGCAACTGGCATAACAGGTACGCCTTAACCCTCTTCACCACCGCTCAGACCCTTAAAAGAGATGGTAATTTCGGAGTATTTAAATCCCCCAAAGATCAACACCTCCCAAGAGCACCAGAGCAAGTGAGGGGTCATTTAGACGTTAATTTCATCAAGTCCCTGTTAATATGGGAAGACACAGTGTCTCTGCTTAAGGCACAACTCTCCTAAACACGAGAGTTAAGTATACAACTTTAGAACACTTTCCCACCAGGAGACTCGAACCCTAGCCAGCACAGAAGCCTTCAAGCAACTGGCATAACAGGTACGCCTTAACCCTCTTCACCACCGCTCAGACCCTCTTCTTCACCGCTCTGGTGAAGAGGGTTAAGGCGTACCTGTTATGCCAGTTGCTGGAAGGCTTCTGTGCTGGCTAGGGTTCGAGTCTCCTGGTGGGAAAGTGTTCTAAAGTTGTATACTTAACTCTCGTGTTTAGGAGAGTTGTGCCTTAAGCAGAGACACTGTGTCTTCCCATATTAACAGGGACTTGATGAAATTAACGTCTAAATGACCCCTCACTTGCTCTGGTGCTCTTGGGAGGTGTTGATCTTTGGGGGATTTAAATACTCCGAAATTACCATCTCTTTTAAGGGTCTGAGCGGTGGTGAAGAGGGTTAAGGCGTACCTGTTATGCCAGTTGCTGGAAGGCTTCTGTGCTGGCTAGGGTTCGAGTCTCCTGGTGGGAAAGTGTTCTAAAGTTGTATACTTAACTCTCGTGTTTAGGAGAGTTGTGCCTTAAGCAGAGACACTGTGTCTTCCCATATTAACAGGGACTTGATGAAATTAACGTCTAAATGACCCCTCACTTGCTCTGGTGCTCTTGGGAGGTGTTGATCTTTGGGGGATTTAAATACTCCGAAATTACCATCTCTTTTAAGGGTCTGAGCGGTGGTGAAGAGGGTTAAGGCGTACCTGTTATGCCAGTTGCTGGAAGGCTTCTGTGCTGGCTAGGGTTCGAGTCTCCTGGTGGGAAAGTGTTCTAAAGTTGTATACTTAACTCTCGTGTTTAGGAGAGTTGTGCCTTAAGCAGAGACACTGTGTCTTCCCATATTAACAGGGACTTGATGAAATTAACGTCTAAATGACCCCTCACTTGCTCTGGTGCTCTTGGGAGGTGTTGATCTTTGGGGGATTTAAATACTCCGAAATTACCATCTCTTTTAAGGGTCTGAGCGGTGGTGAAGAGGGTTAAGGCGTACCTGTTATGCCAGTTGCTGGAAGGCTTCTGTGCTGGCTAGGGTTCGAGTCTCCTGGTGGGAAAGTGTTCTAAAGTTGTATATATATATATATATATATATATATATATATATATATATATATATATATATATATATATATATTATATATATATATATGTATATATATATAAATAAATAATACACATTCATAGATGTATACACACAAAGATGAATATATTCCAGCACACATGCGTGCGGGGTACGAGGAAACACAATACAGGAATTCTAAGAGAACTTAGAAATGGGTGTCGTATTTTCTGGGCGGAGGCGCCCAGGCGTGTGGTTACGGCTGCCATTCTCTCGCTCCACCCGCTGCGGTACAGTTGCTGCTGCTGCTGCTGCTGCTGCTGCTGTATCTTCTCGTATGTCTGCTAAAATTGCTACTGACTCTACTGATAGTAATGTTCCTGTTGCTGCTGTTCTCTGTTATTGCCTTCCAAAACATCTCTCTCTCTCTCTCTCCCCCCCCCCCCCCCCCTCCCCCTCCCCCTCCCCCCTCCCCCCCTCCCCCCCTCCCCCCTCCCCCCTCCCCCCCTCCCCCCCCCCCCCCCCCCCCCCTCCCCCTCCCCCCTCCCCCTCCCCCCCTCCCCCCTCCCCCCCCCCCCCCCCCCCCAGTTCCCTCTTCTTTTGTGATCTAATCATTTCCAGTTTGGTGTGCTTACAATGTGATGGATGTTGCGTATCTTTCAAGTTGTGTGAACTAGTGTTGCGCCGCACAGGTGACAAAGTGTACACAATGTAACCAACACTCATAAAAACCTTCGAGTGCTAATAAGTAAGTTTAAAAATGAAGAAACATTAAAGCGTGTAAGAGATTCTAGGCAATGTGAGCACAGAGCAGAGTGCAGGGTCTGCTGGGCAAGGTGAGCACGGAGCAGAGTGCAGGGTCTGCTGGGCAAGGTGAGCACGGAGCAGAGTGCAGGGTCTGCTGGGCAAGGTGAGCACAGAGCAGAGTGCAGGGTCTGCTGGGCAATGTGAGCACAGAACAGAGTGCAGGGTCTGCTGGACAATGTGAGCACAGAACAGAGTGCAGGGTCTGCTGGGCAAGGTGAGCACAGAGCAGAGTGCAGGGTCTGCTGGGCAAGGTGAGCACGGAGCATAGTGCAGGGTCTGCTGGACAAGGTGAGCACAGAGCAGAGTGCAGGGTCTGCTGGGCAAGGTGAGCGCAGAGCAGAGTGCAGGGTCTGCTGGGCAAGGTGAGCACAGAGCAGAGTGCAGGGTCTGCTGGGCAAGGTGAGCACAGAGCAGAGTGCAGGGTCTGCTGGGCAATGCGAGCACAGAGCAGAGTGCAGGGTCTGCTGGGCAATGCGAGCACAGAGCAGAGTGCAGGGTCTGCTGGGCAAGGTGAGCACAGAGCAGAGTGCAGGGTCTGCTGGGCAAGGTGAGCACAGAGCAGAGTGCAGGGTCTGCTGGGCAAGGTGAGCACAGAGCAGAGTGCAGGGTCTGCTGGGCAAGGTGAGCACAGAGCAGAGTGCAGGGTCTGCTGGGCAAGGTGAGCACAGAGCAGAGTGCAGGGTCTGCTGGGCAAGGTGAGCACAGAGCAGAGTGCAGGGTCTGCTGGGCAAGGTGAGCACAGAGCAGAGTGCACGGTCTGCTGGGCAAGGTGAGCACAGAGCAGAGTGCAGGGTCTGCTGGGCAAGGTGAGCACAGAGCAGAGTGCAGGGTCTGCTGGGCAAGGTGAGCACAGAGCAGAGTGCAGGATCTGCTGGGCAAGGTGAGCACAGAGCAGAGTGCAGGGTCTGCTGGGCAATGTGAGCACAGAGCAGAGTGCAGGGTCTGCAGGGCAAGGTGAGCACAGAGCAGTGTGCAGGGTCTGCTGCTTGCGGCAGTCTGCGTAGCTGTACACCACCAGGATACCGTGGAGCTCTCTCTTGAAGAGGGTCGACTCTCATTTGTTCCACTAATATTAATATTTCATTAATGATGTTGGAGAATGTTGGGCGGCGGCGGTGCCGGTGTTCGCAAGAGTGGACGCTACACACACTTTCCTCCGGGTTTATTCTCGTCTATTTTGACTATCTGTACCTTGAGTGCATGGTTGCTTTAGTGTACATATTGGGGAGTTACCGTCATGCGCTTCCTATGAGCACTCTGTCGTCTGGGTTCTAGACACAACAACACTAGCACCTTCACATTCACATACCTTCTCATAATATTTTTATCTCAAGTTTTGACAGTGTAGGCTGCCATGAAAAACACAAATGGAATTTTGTGATATATTTGAATTGGGGCTCAGGTTTTGATGCCATTGTGTGTGGATGTAGCCATCCCACCACCGCCCACGGGTTGGATATGGGGGGTGCGTGAACTAAATTAACTCTATAAAGCATATAAAATAACTAAAGAAAACGCTTCAACATTGGGTGTTGTGTCCATGACAGATCAACTTCGAGCCGCTACCAGATATCCGACCCCGTCCAGGGGGTAGGGAGGCTCTGGTCACAGACAAGACCCTGCCGGTCTCCTTCCCCGCCCAGAGCGTCGTCAACACCCAGCCCGCCCTCCCCACCGATGACTGGTTTGGTATGACCCTCTCCCCTCTTTTTACCTTTCTGATCTCATGAGTTAGAGCCCACCTTCAGCACTTAGTCCAGATCTGACCCACTCTCAGATCACCAAAAGTTACCTATTAAGTCATGCCGCATCAGTGTAGAGGACTTGCCTCCACTCTAAAATTTTGATACAAGTCATTTTCGTTCCAGAATTTAAGGATATTTTTGTTTTATAATTTAATGTCTATGCACTTCAAAATTGTATGGTTATTTTCTAGATAAAATACAGTTTGTATAATTCACATAAATAATGTGTTTTTGTTTTGTTTTGGAGTGAAACATAAATTTTCTTTGCAGCGGCGCCGCATCAGAATTTCCCGCGTAACCAGCTGCAGTACGTGAGAGAGATTGGCAAAGGCTGGTTTGGTCAGGTTAGCCTACTTTTGTTATTTTGTTATTTTGGTCTACTGATGTGTGTGTGTGTGTGTGGGTGGGGGGGGGTGCATGCATGTGTGTGTGTAGACGTACATACGTACACACCAAGCTGTGATTTAACTGTCGAGCATCAGCTGTAGGACCCCGCCTTTTGTGTTGTCTGGATGCACTGGTTCCTGACTCACCTGATTGTTGTTGTGTGTATCATGCCTGCTTTTATACTGAATGAAGTTAACCTCGTCTACCTCGGGATAAAATGTTTTCCACTTATTCTCTTATCTCTGACATTAAGGAAGTTTTTTGTGTGTGTATGATTGATGTATGTCTAGTTCTTCTCTTCTTCCTAATAAACATATTATCTCGGTCTTATGTGTTAATTTCACATTGAATTTTTTATACAGTGATTATGTTTCCTTAGTGGCTTTTTTCTTTCGTATTTTTGTAATGTTCCCTACACATGTTCTCATTGTGACCCCTCGGATCTACATCCCGTCTTATAGACAATCTCTAAACTTTTACTCTCTTGACTCTTTATTTTTAGATTTACCTGTTGTTTACATGTAATCAATTTCCTGTGTGTTTCTACTCTTGAAGCTCGACCTTCAGTTCAAACTTGTCTTGAGGTCTCCATGTCGGAGACGACATATTTGAATACTGTACTAGTTTCACAAAAGGCCCTCAGTGCCTTATTCAAGGTTTCAGAGTGCTATATGAATTTTGGCAGGTCTACGTGCATCACTGATGCTCTTCTCTACACACATCCCATGTTAGGTTTGGCATTACATCTACTACATCCTCTTCCCTTTCTGACGTGGGGACACCTCTCTCCCGTTTGCAAAATAGTCTTCATTACAGCTGACTGGGTCCAGCAACCATTCCTTTAGATCATCGAGAAGTATTATGAAATGCTCCTCCATTTCTGTTGACAGTTTTGCGTAATCTGCAAACACCAATACGTAAGATTCTTTATGGAGTTAAATCGTTCACATATACAGTTCATATAAAGAATTGTATGAGTAGCAGTGCCGGTCCCTGTGACACGACACTTGTCACTGCTCGCCACTCTGACTTCTCTCTTAATGTGACTGTCTTCGGTTAGTCAGGCACTCTCTCTCTCTCCCAGTTATAGCGATCTGATTTTTCAGTCTTTTGGGGGGCACAGTGTTGAAAGGCCTTTGATAGTGGAGAATGATGCAGTCTGCCTGTCGTCCCCTGGACTGTCATCATATTGTTGAAGAAGTTGAGATTTGAGGAGTAAGACTTCCCTTTACTGTACCCGTGCTGACCCCTCAACACGAAGCTCCGCCCCTCTGGAGGTTCATTAAGGTTGAATAAACATGTCGGGTGAAAGGAGTAGAATGTGAACAGCATTAAAAACATGAACATGACAGGAGAGGTGTAAATGACAGGAGAGGTGTAAATGACAGGAGGAGGTGTAAATGACAGCAATCGTGTAAATGAGTGAGTGATGAGAGCTGTCCATTAACAGGTTTTGGAGGGTCGAGCCACTGGAATATTCAGCGACCACACCAAAGGGGACTCGCCAGTCCCATCTACGGTGACCCCCACCACTTGCTCTCGGGGCCAGACGCCAGTCGCAGTCAAGGTCTTGCGGGAGGATGCCACCCCAACTGAGCAGATGTATTTCCTCCACGAGTTAAAACCATATCGTGATTTGTCGCACCCAAATGTTCTCAAAGTCTTGGCTCAATGCTTGGAAACAGAGCCACTCTTAATTTTAATGCAGTTGTGCCCCAGGGTAAGTTATGCTATCTTTTACTGCACCTTAAACTACCTACTCTAACTTACTCGCCTCAGTTTAAATAATGTCATCTCAATAACTCATTGGTTTTAGGTTGTTTATTTTTAAATTTGCACATCTGTTTACATTGTCCATGTGATAATCTTGTATGGAGGTCAGCTATTGAAAGGAAGTAAGCTTGCTTGTAGTTGAAATTGAAATAAGTTTATTGAGGTAAAATACACATAAAGGGATGAGGTATCTCAAGCTATTCTCACCCCGTTCAGTACATCGTGTTAATACATACATATACACACATCACAAATAATAAACATATTAATAAATAATAAACATAAACAGTCTGAGAGATAAACATCTACATTTCCTAGTCAGGACCTTTTAGAGGTCCTTTAGAACTTAAACATTGCTTGTAGTTTGCTATAAAGAGTCATGAAACCAAAATCATTGATATATTTGACCCTTAAACACTGCTCTTCAGAGTTTCTAATATATATAATAATAATTTTTTTCTAATATACCTTGACAGCATTAATACATTTTCACTTTACTCTCTTACATTTGCTTTATAGTATTTCTTCCGATTTCTGTATCTTGCTGTGTTATCATTTGCATGGTCTCACGTGTTTTCGTGTGACCACCGTTTCTATATATTTGCGTTTTTATGTTAAAGTAAAAAAGTATTTTCTCTGCTAACTTGAAGCATGATCATTTTTCCATAAATATTTTTACCTTTGATGTTAATTCGCTGCCGTTTGTACTACTGTATTCTTATGAGCCATGACTGTGTGTCGAGTACTGGTCTCTGGGGTACGAGCCCAAGGTGGTGGTACAACCCGTCCTCTTCAAATTTCGTCGCTGTACGCTCGTATGCGCGTTATGGCCAAAAATGGACGTAATTTGAAATGAAATCGGCTCACGAAAGTGTCGTACTGTCCCGTTTTCTGTTTGAGTCCTCCGGCTTACTCGGTTCGGTTAGGAGAGGAAACTTTCAATTAACGGTTTTCATGACGTTTTGAAACCTTGGGAGAACTTCCTGCCCTCCTAACCTACCAGAGGACACTTAACGTGCTGTTAAACAAAATTCAAACATTTATTTTCAGTTTTATAAATTTTCAAATTACGTCCAATTTCGGCCATACGGGCAAACGGCCAAATTCAGACGTGGTTTGTAAGAGGACAGGTTGCATAGTAATTATGTCATTTTTGGCTACTAACAGTATAGACATGTACTATACATGTCCTCTATATAAATCAGTATAGAGGATCAGGTAATTTCATAATGTTGTATTTTTCCCAATTTCTTGCAACTTCTGTAGTCTTCCAGTAATCCAGAAAATTTGATTTAATAAATTTAGATAAAAATAAGTAAAGCCCGTTATAGAATTAAAAAGATTTTATTACATTTAGGTTGTTAGTCTAGTTTGATAGCCTATTACTGTAAAAGGTTAGTTTTTAGAGAGCTTGATGTTTATGTAATCTGTGCTTTTATTTAGTATTTTATTTGTATGCTCCTCCCACTCAGTCAGAACTTTGGAGAGGAGAGGCTTTTCAGCTGACTGCCTGTTAACGAGTCACATCATTAAATTTTAGCATCTTTTATTACGAACTTTCAGGGGGATCTGAAAGCTGTGGTGAGACATGACAAGTCCCTCTCCGAGTCGGCAGTACTGCGCATGGTGGTAGATGTGGCAGCCGGACTCATGCACATGCATTCTCGCGCCTTCATCCACACGTGAGTTCGTACTCCATGGCTATATCTCCCTGCTTGCACTTGCTTGTTTGTATGTAATAAGGTACCCTGGTAGGAGACCTTATTTTATAGACGGTATGATCAAGGTAGAAGAATGTGGACCAATCCACACCCTAGAAAATGAAGGGACGACGACATTTCGGTCCGTCTTGGACCATTCTCAAGTCGATTGAGAATGGTCCAGGACGGACCGAAACGTCGTCGTCCCTTCATTTTCTAGTGTGTGGTCTGGTCATCATACTTCAGCCACGTTATTGTGACTCATCGCCTGCACAAGGTAGGAGAATCTTATAGTTTAGTTTTTAGTAGCCCCAGTTGAGATAGTGCGGTTTTGTGATAAATTTGTGTGTGTATATTTGCAGTATGCAATCCTCCAAATGTACTCATTAGAAAGAAGACGAGAGAGATATCAATAAAATACACGTGGAAGATACTGGAGGGCCAAGTACCAAATCTACACAGTAAAATAACAACGTACTGGAGTGAACGATATGGAAGAAAATGCAGAATAGGACCAGTGAAGAGCAGAGGTGCCATAGGCACAATCAGAGAACACTGTATAAACATCAGAGGTCCACGGTTGTTCAACACCCTCCCAGCAAGCATAAGAAATATTGCCGGAACAACCGTGGACATCTTCAAGAGGAAACTAGATTGTTTCCTCCATGGAGTGCCGAACCAACCGGCCTGTGGTGGGTAAGTGGGCCTGCGGGCCGCTCCAAGCAACAGCCTGTTGGACCAAACTCTCACAAGTCAAGCCTGGCCTCGGGCCGGGCTTGGGGAGTAGAAGAACTCCCAGAACCCCATCAACCAGGTATCAACCAGTATCCATGCAATATCTGGAGAAGTTAGAACTTTGAAGACTTGTGTTGTGGTGCAAGGAACTATTTTAACAAAGGTCTAGGCTGCTGTTAGAGAGTGAGGGGGTAACATATTAAGAATTTTGTATCTCGAAAATTAGTAAACCCGTTAATAAACACCTAACCTTGCACCACCCACCCCAATACGAGGAGGGTGTAAAGGAAGAGACAGTGCCAAAGGAAGAGGAGATATAAAGACTATAAGGAGAGAGTGTTTCACTAGGGAGGTTTCGGGTAATACGGGAGTAAAGACTAATACTAAGAGATTGTAACCGAGTGATGGACTCCACTTGGCAAGTTGAGCTACGTAGAGGAATTTTGATTAAAGAACCGGAAAAGTGAGGAGTATGTCAGATTAATAGCAGTGGAAGATAAAATAAATAGAACAAGGGGACGTAACAAAGACAATGGAGGAGAGAGTGAACTAGGTGTGAAGTGTGACTGCTGTAGTGAAGATGACAGTTATTGTTCTAGAAGCAGTTAGAAGCTCAGTAAAAGAACAGTATTAAATCCGCAGAGATATTTTTCTATAAAACCTACCTCTTTTTTTTTTTATGAAAATATGGGGTACATCTGCATTAGTGCAGCTACCCTAGACTATATGAAGTGGAGTACAGTGTGTCAAAAAAAAAAAAAAGCTAACTAGGTGATGCTAAAAAATCACCATCATACAGGATGGTTAGTCATACAGAGGCATGTGATAAGCAGTCTGCACTGGCAGACTCCGGATGCATTTTGAGGATATCGTCAACACAAGATTGAATAAGGTAGCAGTGGTAATAAAAGTCCCCATCTCGCAGGATGGTTAGTCATACAGGGCTATATGTTTAGTAGCCGGCACTGGCAAATTTTGGGTACACTGTGAGGATATCTTCAAGAATACGAGAGTGAATAAAGTAATTGCAGAGCTTCAGGTACCTCATGCCAACTGGTCTGAAAGGTCTAATAACTGGGCATTCAGTGATGTAGTGCGGGAGATCGTGCCGTAGTTCCTGCTCACAGAGTTTGCAACTGGAGTGCTCAGGATTAGGAGACCCGTCACCTGCAGCCACCTGCCACAGGTACCGGTAACTCAACCTGATCCTGGCAACCACTGTGTCGCACAGTCTAGTGGACGTTTTGTGCTGCCCATAGATGTAGGTTTCAGATCTGAACAAATCATAGCTTTTTCCAGCCCAAACTTGGTGATAAACTCTTAGAGGTGACCATGCCAAGTTTCACTTATATTTGTGGAATTGGTTCATACATTGCTGAATTGTTTAACTCAGATCCCTGGCAAGTTTGCCTATTTAGTATGCAATGCTTTGTAAGAGATTCAGTAATTCATATTATTTTGGGGAATGACTTCTTTTACTGAAATTACTTTAAAAATAACTCGGTGTAAGGCTACACTTTCCAATGTTCATAGTGTGATCAGTTTTATGGTCATTGTAGGTTTGAAGCTAATACAGTAAGGTGTTCAAGATATAAAGCCCGTTAAACCATGGGGATAAAAAAATCACCATAATGAATGCACTACCACTAGGTAGCCGGTCGGCCGAGTGGACAGCACACTGGACTTGTGATCCTTGTGGTCCCGGGTTCGATCCCGGACGCCGGCGAGAAACAATGGGCAGAATTTCTTTCACCCTATACCCCTGTTACCTAGCAGTAAAATAGGTACCTGGGTGTTAGTCAGCTGTCACGGGCTGCTTCCTGGGGGTGGAGGCCTGGTCGAGGACCGGGCCACAGGGACACTAAAGCCCTGAAATCATCTCAAGATAACCTCAAGATAACCCAATTACCATAAGCATAATCTTGTGATCATACGGCAGGTACAGTATTTTAAGTACAGTATCAAGTTCATTCAATGAGGCTTTTACTATTATTTTGAAGTTTCAAAAGTCAAAGAAGTCTTATCAATGAGAACTTTCACATGAAACTTTCCATTGATAAGACTCCTTTGAGATATCCATGCAGAGCCTGGGTTAACATTGCTCCTACATTATTCGTGGGGATCAATATGTACATTACTCTTTCTTAAAACATTTACAAGTTCTTATTATTGTAAATTGGAATGAGTGTGTGTTACATTTATGCATCGGCCAACATGTCTGTAAACCCTTAATGCATTACAGTATTTGCATACTGACAGTCTGGTATTTGCCTTGATGGGTTGATACTACACTGTCTAGTAGTGGGATAGATTTGAAAATTTCAGAGAGAAACTTGAAACTGTTATACTGTACTTTTTCAGAATTGAGGCTTTACTTTCCAACTCATCTTACAAAACGATAGTAATTATTGATTTGCAAACAATTATGAAGCCAATAAGAGGTCTTAATAACTTGTGCTCATCAGATTTCTACAAAACTTTGAGATACTGTAATACAGTACCATTAAAAATCTAAAAATTTCAGACAAAACATGCTTCCATATCAGCATGGAAGCTACATTAAATACCTGTATTCACTTTCCAGTTTAAATTAAAGAAAGTCCTGCCATCTCAGGAAATAATTACTGTTCTTTTACATAAGAATAAGAAAAGCCATGGGTGCCATGAGCATATCTGATCATACCCAGCTACAAACTAACCCATCACCCTACCACCTTATTCTTTTTTCCCTCCTTCTCTGTGTCCATATGTTACATACACAGACACACACACACGACAAGGCAGAACATTCATATATTTTATGAATATTTAATAATGCTGTGTGTATTGAGATATGCCTGGTGGTATTGTATGGTGTAAGGATATCAAACTTGATAAGACTCAAAATATAATAGTTTGTAATATCAAACAACCTTATCATTGTGTTCATTGCTGTCTTCTTTTATGTGCTAGCCATATGCTGTATTGTGACTACCAATTTTTGTCAACTACCATTCAAGCTGTCATTGCAATCAATCTTATATTGTTTCTGCTGTATTGTGCCTACCAATTTGTTGTCAACTACCATTCAAGCTGTCATTGCAATCAATCTTAGCTACCTATGTGCTTTAATATACTGTACCTACAATTTTCTCTCATCTTTTTTTTTCATTTCATGTAATCTGTTATCATTTTTTTGTCTATAAATTTTGCAAGTATTTACCTCCTTAAAATTTTCTTAGATTAAGGACCTGCCCGAAACGCTGCGCGTGCTAATGGCTTTACAAGACTGTAATTACCATATTTGTATCCTCACATTCCTTATGTACATTCTTGTATATGCATAAATAAAATAAAATAAAATAAAATAAAATAGGAACAAGGGGACACCTTTATCTTTCTGCCAGGAGTTTATTGTTTCCTGTATGAATAATTTCTTGTGAAGTGTAAAATTCCCTACATTTATTTATACTGAATTTTTTCTCTACAAATATTTTCCATTAATATAGGGACCTTGCCGCAAGGAACTGTGTGGTTGATGAAGATTACACCGTGAAAATTGGAGATTATGGTTACAACATAGATTTTTACAAAGTAAGTTATCCCCATTTTCATATTGATGTGCATTTGTTGAGTTTGAATCTTAAGAGATTGTTGTGTTTGCACAGAAACAATATTATTCTGAAACAAGATACTTTTATTTTTTTTATTTTTATGAATTCAGACATTTATATGAGAATAATCTTTTATTTCTAATATTTTAGCAAAGAAAAAATTTAGCATAATTTACTGTGTACATATTAAGGCAGAGATTTAATTGTTTTCCCTCTAATAATCACATTTGTCTGAATATGTGTACATAGTATATTTTGACATGTTTATGTATGTCCCCCTACACGTTCAGTGTTGTGTAGGTGCTTTGAGTCTTACACCTTGTCTAATGTTTGTTGTATGCCATCTATTATCACTACACTGTAATCTGTTAAATGCTGTTTTAAATTGTAACAGCTCTTACTATGTGTGTGTGTGAGAATACAGTATTAGCTTAATACAATGGACTTAATACAATACAGTATTAGCTTAATACAATGGAATGATTTACACTGAAATTTTATGTTAATTTGTTCTTTCTTTTTCAGAATGAATATTATTGTGCTGGAGAGGTGGCTTTGCCATTAAGGTGGTGTTCTCCAGAAACATTAAAGTGTACAGATACCACTATAGAAACAAAAGAGGTAAACGTCCATTACGTAATATTTGCAGTTAATTCAGTCTCTCACACCATCGTTCATCACATTAAACACAATACTGTACTGTATCTGAATATTAGGAGCATTGCACAATTTAATATTTGAACAAATGTGTTGGTGTTAACCCTTAAACTGTGCAAAACCTCATATGATGTGTGACATTGAACTCAGTTTTTTAAATTTTCTGAAACTCTTTCAAATGTGTTGTTAATAATCTACTAGGCAAATGTTCCAACTTTGTCTAAATGATACCAGTGTAACTTGCAAAACAAGAAAATAAAAAATAATTATAAAATTGAATATTGAAAACTTCAGATTTTGAAATCGGCCGCAAAAATATAAAAATATCACCAACTGTTCATTTGGTGTTAATATGCTCTCAGAATAGAATATGATCTTCATTTTCATATGTTTAGCATATAGGTTTTCAGTATAGTTTACTGTAAAAAAAAAAAGTCAATATGGCATTTGAAATATGTGCAAATTTAGACAACAAAAATTTATAGCTCCAAACGTTTAGTTTATGAAAAATCAACTCTATAGGGATTGTAGAATAGACAGCTGTGCATGCTATATGTAAAAATGGTGAGAATCGGTCAGAAACTAGATTTTTGGATACTGAAGTAAGTTGAAATTCTAGTCATAGATATAATTGAAGTTGAAGTTATCGACAATGAATAAGGCAGTTCTAATTCATGAATTTAGTTGAATTTTTTTTTAATTGAATTTACTTGAATTTATTTTGAATTTCAAAATAGAGCATGTTGTAATAAACATTGTTTGGCATTTGTACTCAAGTATGTGAAAGTTGTAGGTCAATGTGTGTAGAAATGAAGTCAAGAAAAAATAACCCTCCAAAAAACAAAATATAGGGATAATTATAATAATAATAATAATAATAATAATAATAATAATAATAATGATTTAGGGAATATATTTAGGTGTACTTTATATAAGTAAAAAAGCCCTAATCTGGTCCCTAATCATCAAAACAACCTATAGAAACAAGGAAAATAGAGTTTGAAATCTGTGAAAAAATCAGCCAAAAAAATTCAGTCTCAAGTTGTGAGAGTTGTAACTGATTTATTTGTTGACCAATTTAATTCTGGCTTCACATAGTTAGGGACGAAGATGCATTCTCCAGGATGTGAAGGTTAAAACAAATTCAAATGATAAACAAAGGAGGAAAAAACCTAAAAACCTAAAAAAGAAATTCCCCCCCCCCAAAAAAAAATACTTTTGACATTGTTTAAAGTAACTGATAATAACATTGGGCAATGTATTTATATGATATATAACACAATAGAGCTTAATAACATAATTGCTCATTATTATTTGTGTTATTATGTATTACTCACCAATGCTATAAAGGCACCAGCTTTATATCCACTTTGTGGACACTTCTTACTACTGTTCTTCTTCTTTGTGCGTCAGACAGGTGCTTGCATCACTTTATTATTGCATTATCCATCAATTCCAGTTAATATGAGCTATTCTCTACATCAACAAAACGTTCTTTTTTTTTTAAATATTCGTCTAAAATCAATTTCTGAAAATATTTTGATGAAAGTTTCACGAAGCTGAAGCCAATAAGTTGGAGATCTCTCTAAAATTTTTAAGTAATTTTTACATAATTTGAATAGTTTTCAAATTATACCCCCTTCAATGTCACACATCATATGACGTATTGTGCAGTTTAAGGGTTAAGGTACCAGAGGTCATTATTTTTTAATTCATACTCTTAAAGTATTAAAATAAAACTACTGCTTACAGGTTACTACAGCAGCAAATGTCTGGAGTTTTGGAATAATAATGTGGGAAATAGCAAGCCGAGGAGAACTGCCGTACACAAACCTTGATGATGACCAGGTTATACAGCAGGTCATTGTGGATCAGTCTTGTATACTGGAGTCTCCCAAGTCCCTGGAGTTACATGCAGACAAGCTGTGAGTGTGGGAATACACTGTTATGCATGTCTGCTGCTTGCATATGTCTCTCGTTACTTATTTTGTTATGATCAAATTGTAGTTAAAGGAGAGGAGCTATGCTCATGGTGTCATGACCATTGAATTGTAAATTTTTAACTTGGAGTGGGTGCTACTTTTGAAAGCGTTGTACAGTCCATATTCATGCAAACTGCACTAAAGTTTTATGGAAAATTAGGGATGTATTCCACAGACATCCAAAAGTTAATTTTTTACACACTGTGTGTATTTTTCCAATAAAACACTTATCTTAGCATCAACAGAAGCATAAACATTAATTTTATAAAATGTACAGTGCAGGTTACCTTACCTTGCGGTTACCTTGTAATGCTTTCGGGGCTCACCGTCGTCACTGCCTGGTCACTGGACTGGTCAACCAGGCTGTTAGTTGACGTATGACTCACAGCCTGGTTGATCAGATATCATTTGAAGGTGTTTATCAAGTTCTGTCTTGAACACTGTGAGGGGTCGACCAGTTATGCCCCTTATGTGTAGTGGAAGTGTGTTGAACAGTCTCGGGCCTCTGATGTAGATAGAGTTCTCTCTCAGAGTACCTGTTGCACCTCTGCTTTTCAACGGGGGTATTCTGCACATCCTGCGATGCCTTCTGGTTTCATGTGATTTTATTTCTGTGTGCAGGTTTGGGACCAGCCCATCTAATATTTTCCATGTGTAAATTATTACTGTATCACCGTCGGCTGTTACTCTCTCGCCTGCACTCTAGAGAATACAAATTTAGGCATTTTAGTCGGTCCCAATAGTTTAGATGTTTTACTGAGTAGATACTAGCAGTAAAGGATCTCTGCATGCTCTCCAGGTCAGAAATTTCTCCAGTTTCGAAAACGGGCTGTCATTGTGCAACAGCATTCCACTCTAGAGAGCACTAGCATCTTGAAAAGTATCATCACTGATATAGCATCTCTAGGTTTGAAAGGTTCTTGTTATCCAACCTGTCATTTTTCTTGCAGTTGTGATGGCTATTTTTTTTGTGTTCTCTAAAGGTAAGGTCTTTCGACATGAGTACACTCAAATCCTTTACATTGCTTTTTTTGTTCAATGTTACTATTTGACTGCATTTTGCATGTGGTTTCCGTTTTTATATTTTAATATTTTCCGTAGTGCAGGAGCTGGAACTTATCTTCATTAAATACTATATTATTTTATGTAGCCCATTGAAAGACCTGATTTACATCTGATGTGCATAAGCATACTGTCTATGGCTTCTTCAAAATCCAGTGGGGATAGGGTGACACCTGATATATGATTTGATGTATCACATCCATAAAAAATTCATTTGGGATAGGTATCAATCTTTAGTGTGTTTAGTGGCTTGCTGAAAACAGTCATTCTGATTCCTCAGTATTTCGCTCATTTCTTTGTTGTCATCTGTGAAAGTTCCATTTCCTTTCACAGGGACCTGATACTAGAAGTAGGTTTTTATCTTGATTTTGCATAGGAGAAAAAATATTTTGGATTTCTCTCTTTCACTGATGTTCTGTCTCTCCTGGATATTGTATGATTTTTGTAGCTATAGTTCAGTCATATTTATTTCTCTACCTAGCCTTCTTTGTCATTCTTGAGAGAAGGTGTGACTGAAATTGTTCCGTGATTGTTTTTTTCACCTATAGAAGGAACGCCGTTCCCATTTCAATCTGCATCTCTTCCTCTTTTTTCTTAGGGGTATGCAGTTTGAGCATATTTCTAGTGCTACTGAACTTGTTTTTTTCCAGGCTGAACTGGTCCAGGTTTGCATTTTCTAGCTGTTATTCCCAGCTTATTTGTGTGAAGTCTTGGTTTATTTGCTCCCAATTAATCTGTTTATCATTAAAATTGAATTTGCTGAATTCTCTGGGATTTGGGACTGGTTGTGCAGGTCTACTCCCCATGCTTGTCAGAACTTGAATTAAGTTGTGATCTGAGTAACAGGTATTTGTAATCATTATGTTCCTGATCAATTCATCATTATTAGTGAAAATGACGTCCAGCATGTTCGCTTTTCTTGTTGGTTCTACTATTGGCTGGTTTAATGCAAATCTGTCACACATCCATAGCAGGTCATTTGCATGTGCCTGTTCATTTAGGCTACTGCCTGGTATTCTTTCTGATATAACTGTATTAGCCAGGTGCTTCCATTTCATGTGCTGTAGGTTAAAGTCCCCAAGCAGGATGATGATTGGATCTGGATTTCTGAGTTTTTCCAAGCAGTGTTCTATGTTGGTCTCTAAACTGCTGAGGATTTGTCCCCAGTGACTTATATACAAGGACAATAACTATGTTCAGGATTTCTGTTTTGATTATCAGCACTTCCACCATATTGTTTGTGGTGTTTAGCAGCTCCGTGCAGATGAGAGTCTTTGATGTACAGGCTAACCCCATCCTGCATGTGATGAATGCTGCATGGATGGTTTATGCTTTTAGAGTTTGTATTTTAATTTAGTTCTTATGTATGGTATAAAGTTTTTACTAAGAATTTTGCCATCATATTCTTGAAGGTTATTTTGAAATTGGCAAGTGAAGCATAGGCCCTTGTGACTAAACTTTTATGTTTGTCTGGTGATGGTTTACCGTTTTATGGTTTTAGGAGTTCACCCCTAAATCTCTCTCTTTGAGCATAATACTTAATATTAATTATCCTTAAAGCCATTACAGGCATTTGTCCACATTAAATTTTGTTGACTATTTATTGCTCTTTGTGCTTATTTTATTTAAGTCATTTTAGAAGAGATCACAATTGTTTACATTTTTTATTCCCCTCGGCATCTTGACATCATCTGCAACGTGTTCACATTACTTTACTATATCCCTGGAAGTAGATGATCATTTATGTTTACAGTAAGTGGGCTGGAACTGAACCTGTGCAACCTTGCTAATGATTTTCCTCCATTCTGATTTATTAATAATAATTACTGCTCTCATCATTCTACCTGTTAGAAAGCTTTTCATTCATTCTAATAGCCTTCCTGTTACTCCTTCAATGAGTTCTAACTTCTAGAACAAATTCCTGTGTAGAATTTATTGAATACTTTTCCTATGTCCAACTAAATTCAATCGGCCCAACCTTCTTTCTTGCAAAATCTCGGCGATTATAAAAAAAACTAAGCAAATTTGCTGTTCGTGAACATCCGCCTCCTCATGTCTTGTCTTTTTCGAGTTTGTTTGGGTGGCCTTGGCTTAAAAAGGGGTTTGATGAATAGGCAGACACAATTGTAGTGAAGAGTGCAGCCATTTGGTGGTGGTCGAGGTGCAGCCAACACATGATGTGATGATTCATGTGGTCACCTGCCGATGATCCAGGTAATACTTGTGTACTACTGGATCTGCCGATACTGTTGTGATGGGTGCTGTCACCTGGTGGTGGCTGAGGTAATATTTGTGCTAACATAGCACACATGTTAATCTTATTTGTTAAATCTTAGTGTTAGCAGAGCAAATATTGTAGTGCTTGTGTTTCTGATTATTGATTGTAGGGGCTTGCAAGTATCTTCCTTTGTACATAATCTTTGATAAGACCCTTTACAAAGATGCTTGTAATTAGGGGGGGGGGGCCAAGATCAACAGGAACCTGGCAGGTGATGAGAGTCCTGGGTGGTGCATCTGAGCTGCGATTCCAGGAGCATCTGAGGGACTGGTTCAGCAAGGAGTATTTCACTCCACACACTATTTTCTTTTAGATTATCATATAGAATTATAAGTTTTATGCATGATAGGTACTATATAGAGTATGTGCAAATAAATACTGTAAATACAGATACATATTTATGGAGTATGGATAAACAACAATTGAATTTGTTTTGCAGATATAACATTATGAAGCAGTGCTGGTACACAGAATATTCCAGACCTCCCATGACTTATATTTATTCTTTACTGATGCATCTTTGGGAGAACTCGACTGTTACCTGCCAAGATTCATCGTCCATAAGTGATTTTGAGCGACGATGGGACCAGCTTCAGCAGCAACACTGCCGAGACCACAGTATTATGAACGTTACTAACACCTCTGATCTCAGGTATTGAAAACACATTTGAGAAGAGAACATTTAGTTTAGTATTTAAAATTTAGGTAATACTGTACTGTAATATGAATTTAACCCCTAAGAAACTTGTAGCTACTAAATCTTATTAGAAATGAGATCATTGTACCATGGTGAATATTATTCTTTCCTTGTTAATTAATTTCGAAGTAATATTCTCCATCTTCTGGACTAAAGACAGATATAAGAAAATGATATTGCATTTAGCTTTGGAACATGTATGAATGTTATACAACAAAAGAAGTACAGTAATTTAAAAGTGAATGTCGTACAGTCCCGTACAGCGAATCCCCAATCAAATAGATTTTTTACCCTTTTACGTTCTTCAAATTTTCTGTTTGGCATCTTGCTTCTCAACTGAAGTTTGTGATGGAAAAGTATCCTCTCTCACATCAGGATCCCGAGAGTCTCCTAGGCTGGTTTAATTTGGTCTACCTAGTATCTTGTCCACCGTCACTGAGAATGAGAAGCGTTCTACTGTGGAATTTTTTGTTTCAGTTCCTTGAGCTCTTTACCATGAACTTACAGTAATGTGCTTAGTCTACAAATTACTCATACATTGTATGTAATGCAACAGTTAACATAGATAAGTCCAACAAGAGCATGAGAGTGATGTGGAAGGGAAGAGGAAGAAAGTTGGGATAGTTATGGAGCAGGGAAATTGAGGGAAAGAATGTTGGTGAGCTTTTGAGATCAAGAAAAGGTAGGGGGGAAAAACAGTGGGTAGGTTGCACAAGAGGGAAAGGGAAAGAGAAAGTTAGCATAAGTTTTGGAATGGGAGGTGAAAAAAGGTGGGGAAAGCTTTGTAAACATGGGTGGACATAAAAAGAATTAAGAAAAAGGGGGAAGGTTAGGGAACAGTGAAGTGCAAGAGGCATTAAATATGGCAACATTAGTTCTTTTTCAATTTATAATGTCTGTCAGATTAAGAGTTGAGAGTGCATTTTTTTTAATGCAGTCTGCAAGTGAAATGCTACAGTAAAGGTGTCATGAGCAGAATGGTGTTTGAGAATGTCATAAACCTTGATTACTTGTACATGTTTGTATTGGAAGAGATAGGAAAGATATTCGATAGAAGTTCTGGTTTGAGTTTTAGGGGTCCATAATCATTATAATAATAATAATAATAACAATTATTCAGAGCTTCATATGCCTATGGCTGACTGGAAAGTATCTTCAGTTGGTCTTGGGAGTAATTTTTTTTTATTACTTAAGCAGATTATATAATCAGTATCTTTCATATGATCTTGTATTTCAGGTTTGAAAGTGACTTCAGTCTGTCAGTATCTGGGCATCACCGGTTTGGAGGGACTCTGTCACCAAGTTTGCAAAATCTTCGTGGTTCAGTGGAGGACCTGGATGCTAAGATGGCAGCCAAATTTGGTTCAGCTCTTCCATCATGGCTTGGAATGGAACCAGGACAACCCATTGATAGTTTGACCCAGGAGATAACAGATGCCATACTCAAATTGGATGATTACTTAGCTGGAGAAAAGTCAGAACCCAGTACCACTCAGGCATCACCCGAGAAAGGAGGGATCAATTTTAAACTTGGTAAAGATTCTTTTGTATCTAATCCTCCAGAATCAAAGCTTGCTAGAGTGGGCAGACTATCTGTTGAAGAAGAAAGTGAGCATCCAAGCCTGGCAAGAACATTATCAGGAGAGGATGAAGGTTTAACAATGAGACTAGAACAAGGCGAGTTTACAGAGCTGGTGAGATTGAAAAGCCAGAGCGTTCAAGACTTCATGAAGTTAACAGTAGTAGATGATGGCAGTGACTCTGATAATACCAGTCAGAGAAATTCCTTAGCTTTTGAACCTTTAGCTCAGGAGAAAACATGCTCCAGTGAGGGCAATATAAGAGAAGCTCTCAGGGACATTAAGTTTATGGGTGATCTTGAGAGATTACAAGCAGAGCATAGATATTCTATTATTTCAGAAGCAAGCAGAGAGAATCCATCTTCTATTGAATATAGAAACCAGGATTTCGACTTTGACCCATCCTTCAGTCAGTCGGATATACTTGTAGACTCTGAAGCAGGATCTACAGAAAAATTAGCTACCAGTACAGAATCGGATAATTCAAATATCTTCCATGAAAGACAAACTAGTGAACATGATCCTTTTTTAGGTGAAATTATCTCCTCTGTACTTACAGAGGAGAATAAAATGGAAGTCTGTGATACCAAAGAAGATAGTAACTCTACTTATTTTGGAGATAGTTCTGTTGGACCAAAACCTCTTCCAGCATCACCAGATTGTGTTGTATCTTCCAGAGAACCTAAACCAGTTGCTCTTCCAGATATTGTTGTGCATGATGCTAGTGTAAAACTTAGTACCCCAAGCCCACCACCAGTTGACAGCCCTCTTCAAATTAGAAATAACAATCAACCAAAGGAATTTCGTTTCATATTTGAAAATCAAACTGACTCGTCCTCAGCTGGCAACTCTAGGTTTACGTACAAGAATGAGCAAGAAAGTTTATTCCAGTCAGACTCGGTGATATTCAGCGAGAATATTCGAAATACGGATATGAATAAAGTTGATGAGTGTGATGGTAGTAATAATCATGAGATTAATTATCAAAGAATAAGTAGCAGTCATAAGAGTGACTCATCTATAGGAAAGCACTCGCTGGAAAATGAACACGAGAGTGAAAGCAAAACGGGTGATATTAGTAAATTTCTTACATATATGCAAGACAATTTTAGAGACCGATTAACAAGCACTCCATGTAAAATAAATAGTGTAGGGAATGCAGTACAGGCAGATGATGTAGATGATAAAAAATATAGATCTGGTTTTTCAAGTAATGATACAAATACTCATGATTCAGATTATGAAGATAGAGAATCATCGCTTAACACAGTGCATTTTACTACAAGCAGTCAAGATAATAAAGAGGATGAACAGCAAGTATTTGTTGACAGAGATAGTATTGAAGTCCCAAGCTATAAACCAGAAAAGATTATTACAGGAGAAGATGTTGTGATAGGAGCTTTAGACGATTATTCACTTGACCTTTATAGAGCTGTCAAGTCCACAGAGATTTCCTTGACAAATGAGGAGTCCTTGCAAAAAACTTTTTCATTTGAGGATGATATTAAGGCTTTTTCATCAGCAATACCAAAGGACTATGTATCACATGAAGATAGTGTAACCAAAAATAAGGTGATAGGGATTGAAGTTGATCTTGAACAGTGGGATAAATTTCTGGGTAGCACAATGAATGGGGACAAAATAAACTCTGATATCGTTTTTAAAGAAAATTTTGAAGAAAATATTTCTGTAGATGATAAATTGGCAAGTGACATATCAGATAGTGTGTTTGAAGATAGTGAACATAGTGTTGAAAGTAAAAAGGAATTTAAATCAGATAACACATTTGTGAAGTATAATTCATCAGATTTACATAGTACTTGTGATGAAATTCGTGACATTATGGCTAATGACAGTGAAGTGGAATGTGACAATATTGAAACTCGTCCAGAAGTTGATGTGACTATGTTCTTTAACTCAGAGTCAAGTGTTACTTCAAATGTTGGGAACTCATCAAATGACTTGCCTCAACGTAGACCAAAAAGTAATATAAATATGTTAAACTTAAAGGCACTTTCAGATGATATGATTAGTCCACAGTCTGGATGTAGTGATGAATCTTATATTACAGCTAAGTCAACACCACACACAACGAAGGTGTACACACCAACCGATGTGTTGGATATTTTCAGGACACCGGCACAAAAATGTGAGTGGGACCAGAGCACACCTGTCACTGAAGGCAACTCTCAAAGTTCCAAAAATAGTATGTCTCCAAAGATCCATCAGGATGATGCGACAGTGTGTTCCGAGAGTAGTTCATCTGTTATTCTTGACATGCATTCAGATAAGTTAAGCTATAGGAGAGAAGCATCTGTTGATTGTGGTTTAGAAGCTGTTTCTCAAAATTCTGATAAAGACACCTTGCATTCTTCTGTAGATATAGCTGGAAATGTTTTAAATATAATTTCAAAACCTGTAAATACACACATGATTGCAAATCAAAATACTAATTCAGAAGCTATTAATAATAACTCTAACATACAAAACAGTATTAAAATTAGAGATTTTGTTTCCAAGACTTCATCTACTCCAGTTGACTCAAAACTTGGCTTAACATCAGATATGTTAAGCCTTGAAAGTATTAGTTCTACATTAAATATTGATTCTTGTACACAGAGATTAGAAGAATTAGATGGAAGTAAACAAGAAAATATCATTATAAAAGATGATTTATCACCTAGTGCTTATGAAACCAAATTAAAATCCGATGATTGTTGGAATTCTCAAGAAAGTCAAGATTCAGCTGTAGAAAATGATGAAGCAGAGAATGGAGATTTTTGGCAACAACAAATGATGGCTTGGCAAGAGGCAGCATTTCAGACCCGACAGCTCCTTCAACAAGCTGCTGGAGGAAGTGGTACTTCCTTAGCAGAATGTAAAGGCTCGCAGGAAGATTTGTTAGATGCAAGCCCTCGAAGTGATAGCTCGTCCACAAAAAGTCTATATTCATCATCTGATATGTTGAGTTTGGACGATGAAGGCACATATGTTTCTTATAACACAACAGATGATGAAGAAGTACTTGGGTACAAACCAGAAGACATCAATGCCTTACGAGCTGAATTAAACCTGAAACTTGGAAGTTTACAAGAAGACAAAGAGCAGTTGGAGCCTGAAGAGCCAGATGATATTTCATCATCAGACAGAGAAAATGTTACCATTAATTATAGAGGTATTATAACTACAACTCTTTCTCCAATTAAAGAAGAAAGCTTCTTGGAAGATGATGATTCACCATCGAAAAAAAGCACTATTAAAAATACTAATAACTTAGATTCTGTACATGATCAAAGTATTGAATTTGAAGAACTATTATCAGTGCCACTTGGTGATACATTTATTGTTTTTGAAGATGCTTATGAAACTGTTGTTAATGAGTCTGTTGTTGATAACCAGCAGGAAGTATCATGTAAATTTTCTCCTGAAGAAATTGAGCAAAGTATTACCATGGTAGATGGCCAGTCTAGTGAAAAGAGAGAGACTAATGACTGCAATAATGCTGAGGGACTGCAAAATGGTGCAAGCTTAATAAGCACTTTGGAAACAATGAATGATTGTTTAAGTCTTGAGAATACTCATGATAGTTTAATATTGGAAGATTTGGATGAAGAGAACGGTGTACGGTCCATTCAGATATATGATTCAGGAAGTGATCTAGATGCTGAAGATATTTTAGTTGTTGATACTGAGACTAATGAGGCCAAGATTATTGACAGAGGAAAACCCAGAAGTCATTTGGCTTTCATAAATGATCAGGAAGAAGAACAAGTAGACGCGAAAGATACAAGCTCGTTTGTTTACGAAGAGTCGGATGACGTAGCTCCCGAGTCCATTCCATCTGTTGGAGGGTCGCGCTTTGATGAAATGCGTCACCGTGAAGAATTTCTTAGAAATAACCCTTCTTGGGAGAAACCAGTTAGTATTCAATCTGAAAGCTATGGAGGAGATTCTGAATCTCAACCTGAGAGAGAGTTTGTTGTTTCTGATGCAGCCCCAGAATCTCCACAGGGAATTCAAGTTCCACATTATCACTCATATTTTACATCTGCACTCAGTACCATATCACATCCAAATGTCAGTATAGAGGAACCTGTGATTTTTGAACAAGTAGAACATATCTCTCTTCCATACGATGTAAATTATCCATCTGCAGGTGAACAGCTGCATAGCTTAGAAGATTTTGTTGAGCAAGTAGAAGATATGGAAGATCATACTAGCAGTGATAACAAAGAAGAGACTAAAATCAGTGAAATAGAAGATGATGATGATGATAATGCCCCAATAAAACTGAATTTCTTAGGTCGACTCTACTCTGATGAATCTGAAGAAAAGGATGAGCAGAAAATTTTGAAATCTTGTGAGGCAAGGGAAGCAACTCTTCTTTCCGACTCTGAAAATGAGGATTCTAGTGACAAACAAGTCGGCCACTCTAAGAAGCCAAAACTTGGAGACATAAATCAAATGACCACAACAGAATTATTGGCTGCTCCAAATTATCAGGTAAGGTTTACCTTCATAAGGCTCTGTATCCCTACAGGTAAATGATTTATAAAGGCAATGAATATCACTGGCACTAGTACAAAGCCTTGTGGGACTCCAGTTGTGGCATTACTCTTGTTCAGTACAGTTCCTCTTATCTCTGCTCTTGTCCTCTTATCAGTCAGGATATTTTTTCGTCCATGTCAGTAGTCTGCCTGTCACCATCTTGTATGTTCTCCCAGCAGACTCAAATTAAATTTTTAGGTTCATAGAGATGCAGTCTGCCCAGTCATCACTTTCCTGTAAAAACTCTGTGGCTCTATGCATATCTACCCATTTGGTTTGAGTTACTGTCATGATTTGACTACCACACTTGTCAATGATACTTGTCTATGGCTTGACAGCTGAGTGGACAGCGCTTCGGATTCGTAGTCCTGAGGTTCCGGGTTCGATCCCCGGTGGAAACGGAACCAAATGGGCAGAGTTTCTTTCACCCTGATGCTCCTGTTATGTAGCAGGTAATAGGTACCTGGGAATTAGACAGCTGCTATTGGCTGCTTCCTGGAGGGGTGTGTAACAAAAAGGAGGCCTGGTCGAGGACCGGGTCATGGGCACGCTAAGCCCTGAAATCATCTTGAGATAATCTCATCTCATCTCAAGACAGTTAAGTGTCTTCTGTACAGTATTACTATTTTTGTAACTTGGGGCTATGTTTACTTCTTTTCCATATATTTGCTTGGTACCCTGTTTGTAAATATGTCTAGAAAAGCATCTGTAGTCAGATAATGAACTTGTTTGGGCATTTGTTTGGAAGCCAGCGTGAAACTCCACTTTGCTTAACTAATTAGTTTGGTCCAAATCCCTATGCAACTTTTTATATCATCTGTAGACACATTTAGTAGGTGTTCAATGGAATTCTCTGAAGTCCATAAATATGTGTGGTTCCATAAAAACTGTAATGTATGTACAGGGAGTCTCCCCAACTACAACCAGGTTAAGTTCTGAAAGGGTGTTTGTAAAGCATTTGTTCAGAACATGGAAGAGATTTCCCCCATAGGTGCAATGCTAACTGGAGGATTAAGGTGTAAATGGGGATGCATTCCTGGATCACCAGAAATCCTCACAAAACCAATATTTTGGGACATAAAAAAACACAGCATATTATTTACTTTGAATGATGGAGTTTAAATGAAAAAGTTAGCTGTTTTTGAAAAGTGAAGAGGTCTACTTCCATGAATAAATAAAAATACATGTGCTTACTGTATCCAGAAACATCACTCCCGCAAAGACTCCCGATACTCACACACCAGCCCACTCTGGACACCCACCAACCCAGGCTCAACAAACTCCAGTCAGTCTGGTTTATTTTGTAAAGAGGATGGAGAGGTACAGTACAGACAAAGGGAAAAGTTTGGAAATGGGAAATATAGTATGGCAGGTGGGCTGTCTTGCCTTGTTGACGTGTGTGTGTGTGTGTTTGGCAGCTAAGCTAAGCATGCTGTCTCTTGTTAGGGAGATGTGAGTGTTTGTGAGGTTCTTCACATGTATTTCAGCACATATGGATGTCCATAGATCAATACTGTCTAGCATTCACATATACACACAGTTGCTTTTGTAAATGTCTTGATGTTCTGCTTAAGGGGTCTGTATTTTATTATTCATTTTTTAATTTATTTTTATTTTCTTATCTTTTAAGAGGGGTGGGATGGGTTTCTAATCCATATGTCATCTTGGAATTATATATTGTAAGACTTGTTTTCCATCGAGTACATCGAGGCTCTTGGGCCACAGACTGTGGAAGTGGGGCATCTCGTCTTGAAGTAATCTTTCTAACAGTGGATCTTCTAATATTTTGATCATGCTCCACACCTTAGTGGCATGCAGCTGTAGTCTGATCTTCAGTGGTTGTATATACAGGGGCATGCATCAAGGAAAGCAACAACACAACTAGTCCATCACTGACACTAATTGTGCTAACAATTGCATGTGAAATTACCTTGCTTTGTTAGAACTTTGAGAATAGAGACCTAGTTAATGTATCTACCACTGAACAGTATCCCTTCCCTATGGTAGTGAACGCCAACTACAGGTAGTTTTTATAAGGATGCCACCCCTGTGATAATGAACACCAACTAGTTTTAATTTCAATGCATCGGTACTCTTAACTTCTCAGATCACTGACCATGAAGAAATTGAAGAACATCTTGAATTACAAGAACAGAACGAAGAAGATTCTGAAGATGACGAATATAGTCCAAGTCAGAGCCCCAGAAAATTGGACCTTGCAGGGTTACCAGAATCTCCAGACCCCAGGTATACTCCTGACTGGGAGAGTGACTCTGACAGTGATGGAGATAGCTCCTCTACCAGTGGGGAATTCATGTGGAGAGTGAGTATCATGTTATGTCCCATACATAATAATACCATCTATCAGTATATTTTTTAACCATTAGCTCAGACAATTAGTAGATTACTTATATTAACTTGGGTTAAGTGATATGTAATTGTTAATACAAATGTTGACTTGTAGATGCATTTTGTGCAAGTGTGCATGTTTTTTTAATGTGCTATAATAATTCTCAAGCCGTGTACTTAATTTAGGCACACGATAAATCACACTTGGCAGAAAAGTAATACTGTTCATCACCCTTACAGTGTACCAGCCTTTTGTGTGTCATGTGCCACTCACTATAGCTTCTCCTGTGGCTGTATTTTAGGGTATCCTTCCCTGGCATTGTTTGATGAAAGCTGGCAGTCCCAGAAATTCCTTTTTTGAACTTGTTTGGCTTTGCCTTCAGTGTGCTTTGGCTCCTTTAAGAGTTGTGGCATGAACTTGGTTGTATCTTGGGATCTCGTTCCAGGCCTCATTGGAATGATGGGTTCCCTACCCCTATAACACAGTGGATACAAGACTGATTGTACTGCATAGTGGTGAGTGGTGGAGCCACTAGATACCTCACCAACTTCACATTTCACTATTTAGCTTAACAGATGAGGTTTACTGTACTTTACGCATCACTCTTAGACTATTAGTGAATCAAAATCCATGAATGGGTTGACTCATAAAACTCTCATTTGAGGCAATGCAGGTGCGCAACTGTGCAATTGCTGAAGGCCTTGTCCATATAGTTTGATAACATCCAACATAATTTTTCAGAATCTAATAATCCAATGGGTTTGCCAGTGCTTCATTAATGTTCTTAAAAGTGTGATTTGTCATATGCCTTGAATTGTTGTTATGTTCCAATTACAGTACAGTACGTATTGTGTTATGGACTGTTATTCTACTGGGAGTCCTGTAGATCGGGGACCATATCCCATATGTTTACAACCGGGTGTTATATTTTTTAATTCCTTATTTTCCTTTAGTCACATTATGTGCTCAGTGTTTCTACCATTAGGAGTGATGCACACATACAGGTGATGTATCCAGTCAGCTGTCACATGGAAAATGGTGTCAAGAGTGATGGTTCCAGACTTACAGGAGACCCCTGTAGAATTTATTCATAGATGGAGTAATATTGCTAGTGATAACCATTATTTACTCATAGAGTTGCACAGCTGCTCGATCAATAGAATGATGAGCATAAAATGTGAAAATACATGTAGTTCTCTTGTGTTTATTGACTTTAGTGTGTACCATGACCATGAACTGGCTGCTTATAATGATTATAATGATGATCTTGCCATATGACTCTGTATGCCATGGCTGAATACGAAGTTCCTCATTTCTGCCTGTTTTATATTCTTTTAAGGGGGGTGGGGGAAGGGGATCAACTGGTATCAAAGTACGTTTGTAATACTGCACTTTATATTCCATTTACACAAGTCAGAAACTCCTGATGTAGGTTCATCAATGTCACTTGTTGGGTTCTGCTCTCCCCTTTACTCCCTTCCTCCACTGTCTGACTGCACAAAATCTTTTGTGGCATTAATAACATATTAGAGCAAAACTAAGTGCTTAAACTTCTAAATTACTGTATATTTTATATGCAATATACTATGATTGTTCTCTTTCACATTAGCAAGTACTAAGGCTCTCAATACAACCCATTCTCAAGCCATCAAGCCCAGGCTTGTTAGAGCAGCTCCCTCCTCACAAACCGTGACACATTCATATATTTTAACGTACGGTGTAATAATATTAGGTTTGTTTTCATATATAAATATTAGTATACAATAAAATTCAGTGTAGAGTTAGGCATTAGAATATTTGTGTTTGTAGTAAGTGGGTGAAGCATTTACAGACTTGCAATTTGAACAGAGAATGCCAGCGAAGCACTGCATGAGAAAAGTACATACGTCATTAGTTGCGAGATTTGTGTAAGCCATTTTTCATTCATAAATGGGATTGGCAACTGTATTAACAAACATTTGGCCTTTGTTGATGAAGACAGGCTGCTCAGTAGTACAGTTGGATTTGTTCTTGACTCACAATCAGGAATCCCAGGGTTTGAATCCTGGGTGGGACAGAAATGGACAGGCACAATTCCTTTCACCTGATGCTTCTATTCACCTAGCAGTAAATAGGTACTTGGGAGTTAGTCAACTATTATGGAGTTGCATCCTGGGGAAGGCTCAGTAGTTCAGCCTTGGGGGTGAGGGGGATAACCTTGATAACTTAACGTATATACATACACAGGCCGCCTGTCCTTGACAAATTAATAATGATAATAATTTATTGTGTTAGGGGACAGGAAGCCCGAATGTATTCATACATGTTAGGCTTATATCAAGATCCAGTCCTCCCCCCCCCCCAACAGGGACCTCAACATATAATTATTATGTGTTGAGATTGTTGATTTAGTTATTGATATTGCTGATGCATAACTAGGCATGATGATAAAAGGGAAGGAGCTACTCTTAAGGTAGTTGAATCAGTTGGTGACTGTGTGATGGAAGAGTACAGTATAGTGTTAGGGTGTGGTGCTGCACAGACTGCTTATGCATTTATTGTATGATTGTTATACAGCACTTATTACAGTAGTGCTTGTGACACTCTCAAAGGCCAATATGCATGTTATTTTTTTAATTTTTTTATCAAGATTTAATTTTTGTGTAGTAAGTACTAAATTCTTGCCGACATAATTTTGATCTTGCCTGTGTGTTGCTAACCCCCGACTTGTTTCGTTAATGCTCGTCTCTGCTAATCCCTGTTTGTGCTTGCCTGGAGCTAGCAAGAGGAGGAGGAAAAAGGGGGGAGTAAAGAAGATATAGAGAGACAAGAAGAGGTAAGCTATACAGTATAGTAGTGTGAGCTCTACTACAATCCTTCACCTTCATATTTCACTGTATTTAACACAATTCAATGCATTTGTTGTTTTTTCTGTGCCTCTCATGGGATAGTAATATATAATGTGCATAACAAGTAATAAAGAGTTGATTTGTCTTGGGTAATTTTGTTGTGTTTATATAACATGAATACCTGTGCCCTGTAAATACATGCTTAATAGCAATATCAATTGATATTCTACATATATATATATATTCTCTTAGAACCTATTCCAGATACCACTGTTTTGGGTCCTCACACATGTATTTTCAATATAGCACAAGGTAGCTCAGTAAAAGTCATTGTTAATCTTAAAATGATCTGTAGAACTGTAAAACCAGACATTAAGATTTGTTGTAACAAAACAATGTAAATAACTTCGTTTCAGGGAAAAGGAGAAATTAGTTTCATATAAGATCCTTTTCCTATTTTTTGTCATCATTATTATTATTATTATTATTATTATTATTATTATTATTATTATTATTATTATTATTATTATTATTATTATTATTATTATTATTATTATTTTTCCTTTTTAATAGCCAGGGGAACAGTGTCAACAGGCCAATTATATCCTGGATGTTATTGAAGAAGAACCAGAAGACGATATGGACAGGGGAGAAGATGAAGGAGATTTCTCAGATGACTCTGAAAGTGGAGAAGAGGAATTTACCCCCTCCAAGTGGAACTGTGACCTTACACCCTCACATTCACTCCTCAAGAGTCCCCAGAACAGACCTGTTAGTGTTCATTTACCTGTACAGTATTCTGAAAATACAAATGATTAATATTTTCTGTTTATAGTAAAACAGTGTGTTGCTCTTAATTACAGTATTGGTTTAAAGTTCATTTACCTGCTGTGAATTTTCTGTCAACTAATTTTATAGGTTTAACTGTGTAAAAAAGATAGGTTCTGGAACATACATCACAATAATAAAAATTAATATAATGCTGCTTGCCTCTGTTTTCAAGCAAAGAAGGTTAACACTTGCCATAATAGCTGCACAGTATTAATTCCACAAATTAAATTCATGACAAGAATTAGTAGAAGACAAAGTGCTGCATCTTAACCCAGTGTTCTTTGATCACTGCCACCTTGGGAGGCAGAGAATTCTTGTTAAGAAAGTACCATGAAGTTTTTGGCGACTTGCTTCAATTTTATTAATTCGTGACCTGAAATGAGAAATTTGATGTTTTGATTGATCTTTAATCCAAATCACTCTTCCCATATTAGAACTGCTGTATCTTAACCAACCCTTCCACACCTTTGCTTCAGTTTGTTACAAATTTGACTGAATTCATGTGAATTAATATTATTACTGTTAAGAAATTGAGGCCCAACACTGAGACAAGTGTTGTATATTAGCCTGCCCCATGAACTGTGTTTGCCATGGTATGTAACATGTGGATGGTTAAGGGTTCTCACCTCAGCCAACCTAATTGCTTTACAGCCATTTAAATAAATAAAAGGGGAGGAGATTGGACTAAGGAGCACCCCATTCTATTTTTCCCACTAAAGACCAAGTGCCTTTCCACTCAGTGAAAGTCAAAAATTAGGTAGTGGTGTTGTAGAGAAACAATGAATTAGGAATAAAGTACAGTCTACTTTATTGAAGATATCTTTTTTCTTAATAGGTCTTTGTTAAAATTTAATCTTGGCGTTTCTCCGCATCGTTATCAGTATTTTGTGATTGCAACACGTTCCTAAACTGTAGGATGCAAAAGACTTCATGTTTTCATGGTAAATATAAAATACAAAACTGTAAATAAGCAGACATGACATAACAAGAACTAAGGGGCACCTGAGACAGCTGTGCTCATGTATCCTACTTTGAACTATAAGTTAAATACTTTAACAAAGTGAAGTATTTAATATACAGTAAACAAAATTGTTGAATTGAAATATGAAATTTTATTGTAAGGCAATAATTAAATGCATTATTTTTATTATTGTTCATGTATTACCACTTTTTTAATTAAAGACAAAAATGCTTTTATTTTTTAGAGCTTGAAGAAAAGAGTACGCTGGAAACGTCAGCGCCATCATAGAGTATATGAATATCCTCCAGAGCCACGTTCCTGGGAGCAAACACCGACTGAACCTCACCGGCGATCATGGGGACGTTCCTCGCTAGATTACCTCAGCCTTGCAGGTTAGAAAATAGATTCACTGTTATTGATAATTGAAAAAGCAATATTGGATATTAATTTGACGTGTATATCTATGTGCCTACTCATCAATTTCAGTACTGTATGCTCATCTATGAAGATTGCCTTTCTAGAGGAGTAAATTAAATTTTTTAATCTCTCGTCATTTGAAAGGGTTCTTATTCCTGGGATTGTCTCTGTCTTCTTTTTTGTTGTTCCTATGAACTCTCTAATCCAAATGGAACCTAACAAGATAAAGCTGAAGAACAAAATTGCTTGTTTTCTTGCTAAATAAAGCATAGTATCCTATTTGCTTTATTTTAAACATATATGCTTTCATTTTTTGGCTTCAGGTCCTTACTACTCATGACTCGGATCATTTTTGTATTCAGACTTTGCAAATTGAACACTATTAAGCTGATATTTAGTAACACACTCATCATTACCCAGCCTCAGAACCCTACATTTTTAAGCATTAATCTTTATTTGCCAAAATCTTCAATTTCAAAACCCTTTCTAGATTGTTTTGAAGCAATTTGGATTATTCAGAATTTATTTATTGCCCTATTTTTTTATATCGTCTGCAATTTTTTTAATTTTGGTGCTTAGTCTCGTATTGTATGCATATATGATAAACAATGGAAGGCCCAGGACAGAGCCCTGGGGCACTCTACATAAAATAATTTTCCACTTCAATTTAACTCCATTTATACAAACTCTGTTTCCTTTGAAATAACCATGTCCCAATCAAGCTTATTAAAACTTAGTATTTTGTGATGCACAGTATTAGAAACTGGTAAAGTCAAGCTGCAACAATGTCCCAGTCCTTTCTACTATCAACTGCCTCAAAAATGTTGGAAAAGAATGAATGCAAATTCATCAACCATGAGCATCCCTTCGTAAATCCATGTTGTGAAACCTTTATTAGCCTGTTTCTCAAGATGTAAACAAGTGGCTTTTGCAATTATTGATACAAGCAATTTTTCCAAATAAAGATTGAGCTATTTAGCTGACAATTTGACACATGTAATCTATTCCCATTCTTAAAGGGAACATTTGCAATTCTCCACAATTCTGGTACTTTGCTCAACTGTAATGATTTATTAAATATAGGAGTCAAAGGCTCACTTAGGTCGTTTTTACATGCTTTTGGAACCCCTTGGAAAGACTTTGTTTGGTCCTGGGGACTTGTTTGGCTTTAATTTTTCTGTTTAATAACTTCCTCTCCAATTCAACGTCTTCTAGTAAATACAGAGACGGTACTCATTTAGAATGACACTTATTTCTTGGCCATTATCAGTTACTTGACCTAACTCATTTTTCAAAGGACCAGTCATCTCCCTAGGCTTTGCTTAATATAACTGGTAGAATCCTTTAGGGTTTTTGCCTGACCAGCTATATGCACTTCATAATTTAATTTTTCTTTTCTAATACTTTTTTTTAACAGTTTTTGATATAAATTGTTATAGATACCCTTCCAAATTTTTAATAGTGCAGTTATATGTAACTTTCTTATTTTTGACACGATGCTTTAGTGCATTGGTCATTCATTTTGGGGCATTATCTTTTGATCTAATCAGTTTACACCGTATAACAAGTAAAAATTGGTTTAAATGAGTTATAAGCGGAACCAACATGAAAATCCACCAACATGTTTCCTCCCTTCAGACACGCATCATGTCCCAAGAACAGCCCACCCTCCATTTTCAGATCTGCCCACTATACCCTTCCCAAGAAATTTCTCAATCTCCCATAATTTGCTTTATGGAAATCTGGTACCCTTATAGTTTTCTCCCGCTTAATTTTTCCATGCAAAGTTAAATACAAAAATTTTTTTGTTAAGGGAATGTCTGCTCATCAGAGCAGAAAGTTGTGTACTGTAATGAGAATGATGATAACAGTAATGCAAACAAATTCTGTTGTATCTTCATCTAGACTTAATATTAACAAAGATTATGGAAAGTTTTGTTTATGTCGTTTTAAATTGTACATAGTGAAAGCTCAAAATCCATCCGAAAGACCTATTGCCACTTCCTTCATCATTGTATTCAAGCTGCCATTGTCATACTAGATACATACGCTTATATGCATTACTTTCAGCTGTTTCACTACTTCAGACATATCTACGCGCCTTGTCCATTTGCAGCCCTCCCTAAATAAAGTACTGTATCCTCTTATCGTTGTGTTGTACAAAAGTGTTATCAGCTACTTATAATTAAACTCAGGGATGCAAGGAATGAGTATTGTCTTGGCAAGTATTTATAAAGTGGAAAGCTAAATGAAAAATATAGTAAAAGGTGACATGAGGAGAGGAGACAGTTGAGGTTTCACTATGAACAATAGTGAAGAAATAAACCATAATTTAATAACAAAGCTAATTTGCCTATTAGCATGTATTGATATTTACAACAACAGCTCTATTACAGGCCCAAAAAAAGTGTTTATGGTTGCTTTTATTTAATTATAATATAGTCTTAGGATGTGTGCCAACAGGGCACTGTAAGATGAAGATGTCTGCTGTTCATGGTACAGGTGCCCCTTGATTTGCACAGAGGGATATGTTCCTGCCAAAACCATGCAAGTCAAACTTAATGGTATAATGGAAAAATCATGATTATTCAACAAAATGCCTATTTTAGCAATAATATTTAATGCTCCATCCACTTTTCAGTCACAAATTCACTACATAATGAAATTCAGAATGTTTGGGATATGCAAGAAAGCATAAATATAATTCAAAACGTTTGTAAAACACAAATACGTAGTGTTTATAGCCGACTTATTGCTAGGAATGAGGTAAACCCCCAAAATTAGCTCAGAATACCCACAATAAATCATGTTAATCCATTCTTCACATTCATCACCTGCATTACCTCATAAATTTATCTGCACACACTTGGAAACTTGGTATAAAAGCTCTTACCAGCGTAACACTGAATCTACATATTCCATCACCACGCAAATCTCGGGCTACCTGTACAGTACTGTATGTTTATACACAGTCTTGTACTTCATTACCATAACAGCTTTCTTTTCCATAACAGAAACCTCCAGCAGACAAGGTAGGACTTAACTGGTTACATTCGTATAGCAACAGTGAGCCTTCCTGTTCACATCATGCCTTTCTTGTATGGCACTGTACTCATAATGTACATTTTCAGTTAATTACGAAGGATCAGTCTTGTCTTTGAATGCTGTGTAAAGAGTTAATACTTGTGCAATATATATATTCATCAGTTGTGGAGTAAGTCCAAGAAGTTGCATACTGGCCATTATAACCTTTTTATAGCAAATGTTTATAATTTTCAACACAAGACATTGATACTTTGCTAAGCCAGACATGTTATATTCAAAGCATTTAATTTGTTAAGATGGTACCTTTTTATTTTTTTATTCTTTAATTAATTCAGAGAATAAATTATTGTTACAGTTTTAAGCACAAGTTTTTTCACACGTATTATTTTTAAAACACTCGGTTACTATTGTGGAAGGCATGACAAAACTCTGGCAAATTTATATATAATACTGTAATGTATACAGTACTGCTTGTTTTTAATGATAGTTAAATGAATACTAGAAGATGAATGTTCTCATTGCATGTTCTCTTTAATAGCTTTGTAGAATGATGCTACATATAGATATTAGTCTATGATGACAAACTTTCGTTTACGTAGTGAGGCTGCTTAAATATATAATTGTGACTGCACTACGTGAAGGTTATATAGCCACTAATATCTCTGTTAAGCTCTCTGTGGACTTAATTTTCTGCTTTGTGTTTTGATATTGTTGGTATAGAATAGAAAGGGGAAGAAATGTTCATGTTTACAGCACATTGCTGCCATGGTACATTATACAAACATATAGTATCGTCATTCTAGGTATGTGGGTATCTACATACCTACAGTGACCTACCTACTTATGTGCAGTAAGTAGGTACCTAGGAGTTAGTCAGCTTGTTGTGGAGTCAGTAATTCAATCTTGGGGAGGGCGGGGACCTCGATATAACCCTAATATGCCATAAGTTCTCATGGCTGTGCATCATATCTCGCCAAACATATCCACTATTATTGTAGGAAGTCTCCAGCAAAATGTGAATGCCATTAAACAAAAAGTTTCCGTTAAAATATCTAGAACAAAAAATATTTGTTTTAATACAAATCTCTGGAAAAAAAGATGGTGGTTATTTATCATTTAGAGAGATACAGTACTTATAATTTTATAAATACTGTTTTTATACCCTTGTTGGGGACAGTAAGCCTGTAGAGCTCATTTATGGTTTTCAAACATAGATTGGCTATTGATCTTCTTGTGTATCCAGTTTTCTGCTACATCTGTTATTCTGTATTTCAGCATTTTGTGAAAAATAGTGGAAAATGTACTTTTTTACTACCAGAGGGGTCCCGGTAGTACAGTTGGGTTCATTCTCGACTCTCAATTGAGAATTCCAGGTTTGAATCCCAGATGGGATAGAAATGGTTGGGCATATTTCCTATCACTTGATGCACCTGTTCACCTGGCAATAGGTAGGTAGGTACCCAGGAATTATCCAGCTTGTTGCGGGGGTCAGTATTTCAACCTGGGGGGGGGGGGCTTGATATAAGCCTAATATGTGTGAAAACACACTACCTGTTCCCCAACACAATGAAGTACTGATATCTTTAATTTTAATACAGAAATCCAAATTTTTGTGGGCATTGGAAATACCAATTTGTTATTATCTAATTCAGAATATCTCTGTATCATCCATGTTACTGATGGACTGGGTTTTGTTCAAATGATATGACCACTGCACAGTATATTGATTGAATAGAAAGTAAGACCCTGGCGTGGTTAGTTTGGCAAGTCTGTCGTAGGATAATGTCATCTGCCATTCTTTTGCCATCTACACACTTTGCTGCAGCACTTCTTGTTATTGAAGTGTGACATCTCGATCAGCTTTATTACATGTGTTTCTTTACCCTGGAAAGTTAGAACATTTCAACCATAATACATTATTTTTATCTTTAAGAATTCTTTTTTTGCTATATTAGCACTAATCTTATTTATTTTAATGTAATTTTTTAAAAGGTAATTTGATAAATTTACATACAGTACTGTTATATATACAGTAATTCAAAATATCTTTGTTTTAAATCAGATTGGGAGCTTGGAGCTGATGAATTTATTGGGGATGACAGTGGTGACATGGAAGATTACGTATACCGCAAACCCAGTCGACCTGCACCCCCACCTCCTATATATAGCCTGGGGTCTGTTACCTATGATGATGGTGCTGAAGGTTAGTACTGTAGTTTGTATTTGTACCCAGTAAATAGTGTTAAACAAATTGAGTGGAATAAAAGCTACTTGTAGTATCTTTTTGGGATATTCGACAACAAAGTCTGGAGATAAATTATCTTTTAAGTTGCTAATCAAAATCACAATGTTAGTTGCTAAAGTTTTACCAAAACCAAGAGATTAGCACCTCAGTGCAGTGGTCAGCCAGGTATTTATTTCACTTTCTTATAAAGTTTCATCAGTACAATACAAACATTCCTATTATCCCAACTTTCCTTTATAATGCTGTATCTTTAAATGATTTGCAATATATGCTTTGTGTGTTGAAAAATTGATTTACAGTACAGTATGTAGTAATCCAGTGTAAGGTCACCTGGTGTTTGTCATCGTCCAAGAGTCTTGGGACAATAATTTAGTGTCAGTTCACTTGCTAACACCATTACTATAGATGACTGCTAACGTTGTTGTTTTAGCTTCAGCTACTCCGAACAAAACGTTCCAAGTAGCACGGGCTAAGGTGAGCCCGTAGTGGACTTACCTAGCACAGGAGCGGGGCTCTAACTTATGGGGGGACTATTACCACTTTTCTGTTTTGATGGTGCATCATCAGCATTTTGACACTAAACATTCTGATGATGCTGAAACATGTCATTCGATTCTTATTCATGAACATTGTATATTTATTAGTGTTATGCATAATCTATTATTAAAAAAAAAGTCTACAGTTCTCTAAAGAACTGACATCTTATTTGCAATAATTTTGACCCCAAATTTATAGTTATTACAAGAAATAACTGAGAAAACATGACATGATTATAAACATTTTAAGCATTGGTAAGTTGGACCTGCTGAGCATGCTAGGTTTATGTTCTTTAATGTGGAGAAAAGACCAAAATGTATTATACAGTAAAATATACAGTATACATTTTTTTTGTGTGTATTCTATTGACAATTCATTTGCAACAAAATTTACATCAAATTTATTATTACCAGTATATCCGAACATATAAGTTGAAAATTTTTAAATGATTGTAAATATATTTTGGAATTGCTGAGTGGCCCACAAGCCACCTAGGAAGCTCACAAAGTTTACAGTCCACAACTACAGGCCAGGCACTGAACTACAGGCCAGTGTCCCTAACTTGCATACCATGAAAGTTGATGGAGAAGATTGTGCGAAAAAAGCTAGTGGAACATCTGAAGCAAAAGAACTTTGTAACACAGCATCAATATGGGTTCAGGGATGGCAAGTCATGCCTCACAGGATTAATTGAATTCTATGACCAGGCAACAAAAATGAAGCAAGAGAGAGAGGAGGGTGTGTAGACTGCGTATTTTTGGATTGCCAGAAAGCCTTTGATACAGTACCACACAAGAGACTAGTGCACAAGCTGGAGATGCAAGCAGGAGTGGAAGGGAAGGTACTCTATTGGATAAGGGAGTACCTAAGCAACAGAAGACAGCGAGTCACTGTGAGGGGCGAAGTCTCAGATTGGCTAGGTGTTACCAGTGGAGTCCCACAGGGTTCAGTCCTTGGACCTATACAGTTTCTGAAATATGTAAATGATCTCCCAAAGGGTATAGACTCGTTCCTCTCATTGTTTGCTGATGATGCAAAAATTATGATGAGGAAGACTGAGGAAGATAGTATGAGGCAACAAGATAACCTCGACAAACTGAATGAATGGTCCAGCAAATGGCTACTAAAGTTCAACCCAAGTGAATGCAAGGTAATGAAACCAGGCAGTGGAAACAGGAGGCCAGACATAGGATACCAAATTGGAGATCTTTCTATTCCTTCATGAAAGTCCTTCATGAAATGGACAGAGAGAAAGATCTAGGGGTTGATATCATAACAAACCTGTCTCCTGAAGCCCACATAAAAAGGATAACATCTGCGACGTATGTGAGGCTGGCTAACATCAGAAATACCTTCAAGAACCTGTGTAAGGAATCATTCAGAACCTTGTGTACCACATATATAAAACCAATCCTGGAGTATGTAGCCCCAGCATGGAGCCTGTACCTTGTCACGCACAGTGACAACAGTGACATTGACAAGCGAACCATCGAAAAGTTTGTGAAAGAGCCTACAGAGATGGGCAAGGGTTCCTTCAAGTATGTCTGGGTGTTGGACAAGCTGTTTATCACGACTTTTGTTAGGCCAAAGCTAGAATATGCAGTGGTTGTATGGTGCCCATATCTTAAGAAACACATCAACAAACTAGAAAAGGTGCAAAGACATGCTACCAAGTGGCTCCCAGAACTGAAGGGCAAGAGCTACGAGGAGAGGTTACAGGCATTAAATATGCCTGTAACTAGAAGACAGAAAAAAAAAAGAGGTGATACGATCACTACTTACAAAATAGTAACAGGAATTAACAAAATTGATAGGAAAGATTCCCAAGATCTGGAACTTCAAGAACAAGAGGTCATAGATTTAAACTAACTAAACAAAGATGCTGAAGAAATATAAGAAAATTAACTTTTGCAAACAGAGTGGTAGACGGTTGGAATAAGTTAAGTGAGAAGGTGGTGAAGGCCAAGACCGTTAATAGTTTCAAAACGTTATATGACAAAGAGTGCTGGGAAGACGGGACACCACGAGCGTAGCTCTCATCCTGTAACTACACTTAGGTTATTACAGGACTAAGATGGAAAAAGTTCAGAGGTATGCCACTAGGCTAATCCCAGAACTAAGAGGCATGAGTTACGAGGAAAGGCTGCGTGAAATGGACCTCACGTCACTGGAAGACAGGAGAGCTCAGGGAGACATAATAACTACCTACAAAATTCTAAGAGAAATCGACAGGGTAGATAAAGATAAATTGTCTAACATGGGTGGTACGTGAACAAGGGAAGACACAAGTGGAAACCGAGTACCCAAATGAGCCACAGGGACGATAGAAAGAACTTTTTCAGTGTCATAGCAGTAAACAGATGGAATGCATTAGGTAGTGATGTGGTGGAGGCAGACTTCATACACAGTTTCAAATGTAGATATGATAGAACCCAGTAGGCTCGGGAATCTGTACACCAGTTGATCGACAGTTGAGAGGCGGGACCAAAGAGCCAGAGCTCAACCCCTGCAAGCACAACTAGGTGAGTATCGTGCAGCCAGATTGGACTGCAAAACTGTTTAAAACACCTTAAAAGATATCCTACTTAAAGCTTTGGATTATAATTTTCCATGTGACTTACCTGGAATTGTTCCTCATTAGTGTTTAAGGTTGCCCAATCAACACGCACATCAGTCCCTGCCCTAATCTCTCGTAATTGGCCTTATGAAAATCTAGAACTGACTGCTTTGTATGCCTGACATATCCAAAATGTTTAAGCCTATTTTTCCTTTCAGATATCTTCCAAATTTACACATGTAAAAACTAATGTTATATCATTCAAAAGTTTGATAAATTTTTGTTTAAGCTTTTTGCAACACTTTAGATGCTAGTTTTATTTTGCCAAAATTAACGCTGAATATTTTATCTACAGATTTATTAGCCGAATGATCTGTTTCACTCTTAAACATTGTTACTTAAGTTATATTAATTTGAGCCTGATCTAAAAAAAAAAAAAAAAGTAAAAACTAAAATAACTTAATGTTATCCTAACTAATCTAAACATAAGCATCTAATTAGAGAAAGGCTGTTACACACCAGAATAATATTTGTTAACAGATTGATCTGCCACCATACAATTGTTATTTCTTAACAGGAGCCTTTTTAGATGAGGATATGACCAACCAAAAGTGAGAGTATATTAAAAAAAAATATAATTCCTTGGTAGGTAGCCATAGTCATATATGAAAGCCTCATCAATTTGTTTTAACTTGGAAATATACTGCAGTAATAAATTTGAATGCACAGAAATGCATTATATGTCGAATGGAAACTCACAGTAGTCATTGGTGTTTTTATTATCTTTACTGGATGCAAGACTTGTTGTGGCAGGTGTGCAACAAATAGAAAAGTGTTCAGAATTATAATTTGCTGAAAAATAACACGGTGTTAATATGGCGGGAAAATAATAAATTTATCTTGTTTCCAGGATTTCTTGTGGACAATGGAGAATTCTATATACGCTCATCTGGCTCACCCTTCACATTCACCAGTTCATCATTCTCTGCCTCTGACTTTTTCCCCGGCAGTCATTCTGCTGATCTGGATATAATATTTAGTGGGCCTCCCCAAACGTCTGGACTCTCAGAAGCTTTGTCAAGTAAATTAGTAGACAATGTGAGTGTTGAGAGTGAGTTGGTGTATAGTGATGAACAAACAAGACAAAATAGTTCAGGTGATGATGGCAGCACCTCAGTCAGTGACGCTAGCCACACACTCCCAAATTATCCAGTAATTGAGGAGAGTGAACAGTCGTCTCCTTCAAATACTGGCCTCGGTCAGCTGAGACATACAAGAGATAAATTACGCTTGGAAATACCCACGATATCTCTGGCAGGTGATGCTGCAAAGAGCACAATAATTGCCCTTGAAAATGGTGAAAGTAGAATAGAAAAATATAATGACCAAATTTCTTCAAGTATAAATCTTAAAAGAACTGAGCCAGAAGTGAGTGAAGTATGAGTTAAATTAAACTTAGATTGAAAATATATTAATATAAACTGGAACTACGCTTAAGACTGTATCATAAAGTTTTGTGCATATGAACTGTATTGTATTTATATCTCAGGACATTGAAATGAAAAATATTATAGATATTAGATACATGTAGAATGGTTATCTGTGTACAGTCACTATAAACACACACATGAATGAAACCTGTGAGGTAACAAAGATTTCCTTGGAGTATATGTACATATCTGAAGTTGTCGATACAATCTAACAATATGTCTTTAGTTAAATCTATGAGCTGAAGTGCTTTCAACAATCAACTCATTCATATCAGTCTGAAATATGTACTTGGATCACAAATACCAATGTTACACTTACAAAAAATGTTTATAATGTATATTTTTTCAATATTTGTAGAGTGCAACAAATTTTTTCATGCTGATTGATGTCGTGCTATTAAATGACAGTTCTGTTACAATTTAGCAAAAGCATATTGATACTGAAATATGAGACTGCTGGCATGTTTTTCTCTACTGATAACTACTCGGTTAAAAAGTCTGACACATTAACTATGTATATGTACCAATGTTAAAATTGTTCTTGAGTATATATAATCATGATTAAGTACTGTCTATGTAAATACCTAAAAGTTGGAGGATTCATATATATATATACATATATATATAGTGTTCAAGTGATGAAAGTGACCATCGCCAGTTTTAAACCATAAGAGCAGCCTGGGTATTTTTTTCTGTTTTCTAAAAATGTCAAATTAGCCTTGTAGTAATGGTACTGTATTCAGGTTTGCAAGTGGTGGGGATGTCACGCACAAAGCACAACTAGTGCCTCTACTGTGTCTTAGGAGAAACAATGCTGCCGTCCACAATGCCTCTTGTATATTTCCATTATGCACTGTAATAAAATGAGCTGCTTTATGTAATTTGTAGGATCAGGAAAGTGATTTATTTAAGTGACAAATATAATGACTGAACAAGCATGAACTCCACGCACTTCTAGATACATTCATTATGTTTGGCCATGTTGCAATGCAGTATTGTCAAATTTTATGAAGGGTGTTGCTGAGACTCTTCTTGGTTCATTATATTTCGGTTATTTGTCTTAAATGGATGCCTTTTCAAAGTTTAAATTTAAAGACTTTATAAAGTTCCACTTAGATATATGAATTTAATATACTGAAGTATCTAAAGACAAGTAACAGTCTTCATAACTTAGTTCCAGTCATTTTCATTTTAATTATTTTGTTAACTAGGAAACAATAAATTTTGGGTCCTAATTTCAACTTCTTGAAGTGCTAATACTGAACAGTTTTTTATTTGTCAGTTTAATTACATGACTTAATTTCATAATAGTTCTAGATCTCATTACTTTAACTGTCATAATTGTAAGAACTACATTCATTAATTTTTAGCAGAATAATAATACTGTACATCAAAGTTTTTTGAGCAAGTTTAGAAATATTAAATAAAGGTATTAGAATGTGGCTTGGACAGGTTGAGCATCATTGCTTAAACTGACAAATGATGTGAGAAAAATTATCTTTGGCTTGGCAGGGTCTGTGCATCTCATCTTTCTCTCACGAGTGTTGGCAAGTCGAGGTTAAAATACATTTGTTATTGCAAAGTAATATATAATTAAGAAGTACTGTTTGTATATGTACAGCATGTACTCTTTCATCATTTTCAAATTGTGCAACTCTTGTCACAGTTCAAAACTTGAGGCGAGTGGTTTTAAGATTTGTTGCAGGTTATATAAAAAATAATAATTAAGCCATTGCAATTGTTTTTTTTGTTTTGTAAACTAATTAGTTACATGTTTACACACATTGTGTTTGGAGGCCTGGTCGAGGACCGGGCCGCGGGGACACTATAGCCCCGAAATCATCTCAAGATAACCTGGAAGGTTACTACATTTTTATAGGTAAAATTTAAGTCAACTTGAGCACTGTTTCTTGTATTAATTGCTTTGCTGTGCATATATTACCTAGTAATGTCCATGATATACACGCATGCGCGTGATAGCTAGCGGCTCCTCTACATTTCAGGGATGCCGAGTGGTAAAATGTAGATAGATTAGTACCTGTATTTAGTAACTCCTTAAGAAGAATTTTGTGTTTCTCACTCGCAAATAAATACTGTACGAAGATTAATAATAATTCTGTATTGGCATATAACACAGCTCCGTTCATTCTGCCACGTCTTGAGCAATGTTTAAAAAATGTATAAGTAAACATTCTATCCATGCTTCACCTCCTTTACGTTCAAGAATAGAATAATTTGATTTTGTCTTCCATGTTTATATTTTTGTTGGATGCAATTGATTGTTTCCAAGGCTGCCTTGTCCATGCTACATTTTGAGAACTAGCATTGCTTGTGAATTAGTAGATTCAGTGATACCAAAAAATATTATAATATAGGAAGCTAGATAAAAGATGTTTATGTACTGAAAGCTAAATTATAGCTGGATGTTTTTGTAATAATTGGTCTCAAGAGTGTAAGATGCTCGCTCATCCTTCCTACCAAAACCTACTTCCCCAGTCATTGTAATATTTAGCGACACGTGCTCTCTGGTGTAAATGGCATGTAACTGAAATTGTCCCAGTTATGATGGGACTCATAGTGTAAAAGTAAATGAAGTTAGAAATAGTTGATGAACTAGTAGCATTAATTTTTATATGAGAATTGAAGATAATACTGGAATTACCTTGAAGTTCATCAATTACATTTTTAGCATAGTTATGAATGTTATTTACTTGATGTTTTCCTTCTAATGCCATGGATGCTCTAAAGCTGTAGGAGTCTTATGTATAAACATCTTAGTTGTCTTTTATAATGTAATTTATCAACACGAGTACAACACTACACATGGACATTCAGATGTCATCCAAGGCTTGCAACACACGGCTTCATGATCATTAATTACTTGTTCTCACTCGACATTCCATTTACAATCTAGTCCTTCAGGTGAGGTACAAGGTCCTTCAGATGAGGTACAAAATTCATAATGAGGATTGAGATTTCTCAGATGAGGTACAGTTCCTCAGGTGAGGCACCAGGTACCTCAGACTTGACTCAAGGTACCTCAAGTGAGGCACCAGCTTGTTACACATATCCTTTGAGGTCTGATGTCTAGCATTTGTGTGCATACGTTTAATATAAATAGTATTTTATTTACACGAAAGTTCTGATAGTATATATTAAGATTCACAAATATGGTAAGGTGGTTGTGTATATTTATTTGCTGTCTAGTACAGTATTCTGGTGTAAATGTTTCATTATTAAACTCACCAAAATAAGTTTTTCTCTTCATCAGTACATATATCCTTTAAACATGTTACAAAAGTATAATTTTGCCAATTGCAATTTTGTGTAAAGTTTTGGACTCTAGATTACCTTAATACACACGTTTTTCATTACGTTATGAGCTCAGGGGCAGTTATTGTAATTGGCTCTTACAGCTCTCATGGCCCTGAAGTTATTTAACTGTTCTCATCCCAAATTGACAGAAATCCAACATTGATCGTACTTTATTTTTAGTATATACAGGATTCAAGTTTTGCTGAGTTCCTCGCTATATTGGCATAGCCTCCAGTGCAGTACTAAAAAAGCCGTTCATGCCTGTCCCATCTCCTGGAATTGAATTCCTTGCTAGGATTTCTGTGTCATTTGCATCGTGATCTGTAACTGTTGGTTTGCTACAGTACTAGGAATAATGAATTACATTCATTCAAGTGTGACCAATCCCTATAGCCCCTCCCTCCCCCTCCTGCCATAAATAAAAGTGGGAATATCTGGATAAGTTACATATTAGCCACACAAAAATTAACTCATGTGGACTTATTGGACATTCTACCTTATTATAGAATGTCCAGATTTTCAGTGTTAGAAATTTAGTTTTCCTACTGGCATTGAAACATTTAATAATGAAGACCTACAAATTTTTAAGCAGTTTATATAATATTCAAATTTACATCAATGACAAAACTAGTTTATATGGGAGGAGTTTATCTGAGGAAACTTTAGCTTTCAGGAAAGGCAACTGTATCCAGGAGTAAAGTTAATAAAGGCAGCAAAGGTGTGTGCAAATATAGACACCACATGCACACAGCTATGCATGCAATCAGGAAAGCTAATACAGTACTGTAAACCAAGAGCTTTTAAACAATTTTACCAGTCTGTAAAATATTAGTTAAAAGTATGTATAATTTACACAGCAGATTTTTCTTTCTTGGTCTTGCTGGTTTCATAAATAAAGGTATACTGAGTGAAACAAAGTGAAGGTCAGGCTTTGCTATTCCTGGATAATGCCCCTGCTTACTCCAGTATTGACACCTTAACCTTGGGTGATAGTAGGATCAAGTAGTTACCTGTGCCACAAAAAACAACAGCAAAGTTATGCTAAATGAAGTTTATAGTTTTACCTTTTGAAGATGAAGGCAGCCAGGATATCAGGGCACAAAAACCTTGAAAATGTAAATAATTATTGAATAAAGGGTGCCATATGTAATTTTGCTAAAGTTTGGAGTGAGAGTTTAAGGAGCCCACTTTGAAGAATTTGTAGAACGTCTTAACAGTTCCAGATAATGAGGTGGAAGAAGATTTAAGCTTTTAAAGGATTTATGGAAGACATCAATGGTATATTCAGACAAGCTGATGAGGATTTAGAAAGGCAGGATATTGCTGAATAGTTAAATGATGATGATAATCTAGGTTATAGTATTTAGTCGATTAACAATGAGATTATCGAGTCCGTTACTGACGAGGTGGAGGAGGGTGAGGAACACAGAGAGGGAGGAAGAAATGACAAACAAAACAATTAGGTGACCTCCTGACTTCTATTAATTATGTATCGAACGGTGAAAGTCAAGATTTTACAAATACTTCAGGCATGACAAAGAGCTGATCATAAAAGGTGCAAACGAAAAGAGGAAATAAGCCAAAAATATCCATTTTTGGTAAGATCATAAAGCTAAAAATTGTCAATCAGTAAAGCCTCAGCAGCTGGCAGTGAAAATGGAATTCACCAAACACTTACCTGTATATTCAAAAGTACTGTAATTTTAGGGTAAGATAAGAGTAATGCATAAAATTGAAGTCCTTCAAGGATCAAGACAGCGGTTAACTCCAAGGCAAGTTTACATTTTTTTTTTTTGTCACTTCTATTTATTTTTCCATAAGGTGTCATGATTTAAATGTCCATCTTATATAGAAATACAAAATAAGTTTGTCATGTCCCCCAAGGTACCGTGCTTGCTCCAGTCATTTTTTCATCCTCCTATCAGACATAGACAAGGATACAAACTATAGTACTGTATCAGCATTTGCAGATGACACGGATTTTCATGCGAGTAGACAATATAGAGGATATGGTAAACCTTCAATCTGATGTAAATCAGGTCTTTCAATAGGCCACAAATAATAATGATTACTGAAAATAAGTTCCAGCTCCTGTGCTATGGAAAAAAAAGGAAAATGTAAAATTGGAAACCAAATATAAAACAAAAAAATCACACTACAGTATAGAACAAAAAGTAATGTAAAGGATCTAGGAGTAATCATGTCAGAAGACCTTACCGTTAAAGAACACAATAAAGTAGCTGTCACAACTACAAGAAAAATTAAAGGTTGGATAAAAAGGACCTTTCAAACAAGGGATGCCATAACAATAATACTTTTCAAAGACACTAGTGCTTTCTAGGATGGAAAGTATGTTATCAAGCAACATCTAGGATGTTGCACACTAACAGCCCCTTTCAGAGGGGCTGAATGGACTGCTCTGCGATGGCAATCACTGATAGAAAATGTCTTTTTATTACAATTTTTATTACATTTCTAGTAATAAAAAATGCCATCATTTTCCCCCCATTTGACCCTCTGTGGAAACAAACTGGGAAATGAGATCCTGTACCACAGCAAAGGTAATATACACTTCTTCCACCAGCATACCTGCAGTGCATTGTTATGTAAACCACTGGTACATAACATCATCCATATATATATATATATATGTTTAATAGGCTATAGGGCTATATTTACCTGTGCATGCTACTGGTAGGAAGACACTTCCTGTTAGCAACATCTTTGTTGTTGCTAAAAAAAAAAATATAGTTTATCTTCTCACTTTCTTTAGTCAGACTAATGCTGCTGATGTACATCTTTCCTACTCAAAATCTGCCCAAGTAGGAAAAACAAAACAATACTTTAGTCTAGAAGCCCACCATGCAGTAACGCACAAGAGAAAGAGCACATATCTTGCATGTAAGTATATATTTCCTACATGCAAGCTATGTTTCCCAAGGTACCAAAAATTGGCAAAGTAAATATTTTGTAATACTGTACAGTATAGTGTTGAATAAACACTACCATGAATGCAGAAGTTGCCTTGCTTACTAGGTTTGATAATTATTGGAGGAGGATGAGGATACAACCCATCCCCCAGCATTTCCATGACAGAAATAATGCTGAACTACTTAGTTGTTACAGTTGAACTTATTGATCCTGAACCCTTCACACAATCTTACATTCTGGCCTTACAATGGTGCTGATGGTTAGCTGGTTTACTCCACACACATGCAACCTGTGTGTCGATGCTTCTCCTTTCCAGGATTGCCTTATGTTCACTTTTGTGAAGTGTTATGGCTTGTCTCCTTGGCCCGGATGTGCCTCCACCTGCAATTTTCCTCTTTATCAACCGTGATTATGGGTCTTTTTATTAAAAAATAAAAAATAAATTCCACACTGCTTATGAGTTGGGGCACAAAACAACTGACTTGAGAAAGCATTGGCAGCTGTCAATGAATCATTTTAAGAATTCTTGTATATTGGAGATCCTCCCCCACCCCCATGTGTATTTCTAGTGTACTATGCTGTATTTAGTTATGCAGTATAGTATTTCTTGTACCTTATTCATTTTATAGATTACACATGCTAACTCAACTGCATTTTCATTTATTATTGGGTGAAATTGAAGAGTCAGCCAATTTTATATTACCAAAAATTGATGATGACAATTCATCCATTTTCCAGAGAACTGGTTTTGTCCAGGGCTGAAGTCTACCAGATTGCACTTCTTAGCCACTGCTAAATTTTTGAAAATAGTGTTGATTTAATATTTTATCAATATTGATAATCATCTGTTAATTAAACATTACTGAAACATTTAATTCACCTTGGGCACTAGGTGCCTCGAACACCCATCCTCTGACATGCGAGGTGAACGCTCAGCCGACTGTACAATAGGTTAATCTTAAGAGAAGGTACCCAAGGCAACATCCTCATATATCAAAGGACAGGTGTTTAAGGGGGCGTCTGGTTGGCATCTGGGTCCAAAAATGCAAAAATGAAAACTCATTCGATTTCAATCAAACTTTTTTGACAAGTTCTATATGAAAAGTGTTTCATCTGGTCCAAGTTTCAGCATTGTAGCATAAATAGGAAGGGAGAAAAAAAATATTGAAGTAGTTGTGAAAATTATGCAAAAATGGTCAAAATCGATTATCAATCAAAAGTGTCAACTGAAATCATAACTACAACTCTTTGCTATCACAATAGCATATGTTAAACAAATATTATTATTAGTTTAATTGGAAAAAAAATTTAAGGAAAAAAAAAAAAAAGGATTTTTTTTTCTTTTTTTTTTTTAAATATTTTTTTTTTTTCATTTTTTTGGGGGCGATTTGCATCAAACTTACACACCTGCCTGTACGTAAGCCTATCTGTAAGGATGCCAATTTTGGAGAAAATTGGTTGATGTCAACCCCAGCCACAGATTTTAGAACCTTAGACTTTATTAATTTCTGTTTTTTTTTCAATTGACACAAACGTTTACAAAACTCATTCTTTTTTTATTCAATTTACATGAAACTTACACAGTTTATGTGGAGGGCATGTCTCTACATTGGGGGGCTTTCATTTTTCTCTAAGTTCATTTATTGATTTTATAATAGCAATAAACATGCCATATTTGCAAAAAAATTTTGGGGAACTTTGAACATTTGTATTAGGAAAACTAAAGATGTTTTGGAAATTCTAAATCCCCAAATCCTTTATTATATGCTAATGTGTCAGAAAAGTGTCACAGAATAATTTTATCTGAAACGTGTGTTCTGAAGTGTGGACTTGAAAATGTGTAAAAAACGTTCAAAAAAACAAAAAACAAAAAAAAACTCCCTTTCTATTTACGCTGCAGTACTGAAACTTGGGACAATTTAAGCACTTTTCATATACAACTAGAAAAATAATATTGGTTGACATTGAACAACTTTCATTATAATAACCAGACGCCCCCTTAAAGCACCTAGTGCCCAAAGTGAATGAAGTGTTACATCCACAGTACTGTGGCATATAGTTTATATGACATGGGGCATGGTGTTCCTAATCCTTCTGTGCTTAGGTGAGATAGGTTAGTTGAGATTAAGTTAGATAGGCAGTGGTTAGTTGCCTTAGGAGCCATCTCGTCTTATGGCTAACCATACAGTCTCTCCATTCCTTCCCCCCGTCCCATCCAAAATACTTATCCTGACCCCTACCAAGTGCTATATAGTCATAATGGCTTGGCTTTTCTCCTGATAAGTTCCGTTACATTGTACAGTTGGTAGAGCATCCACCTCGCATGTCAGAGAATGGGTATTCGAGGCCCAGGGGGAATTTTATGTTACATCCACAGCAGTGTGGCATACAGTTTATATTACTGAAACATGTTTTTGCTACCACGAAGGTGGCAAAATTTAAATTTTAACCAACTACTGTGATGTGATTATTCCCCATTGTCAGGGATGTGCATGTGAAGAAATTTAGGTACCTGTACAGCCATGTTTATTGTATTGGTTTTCAAGTTATAGCTCAAGGTCACCCCACTCAAAGATTTAATTAAATGGTTAAAAAATATAAAACCAGGGGCGATATAGCCCCCTGGTGGTAGATAGGGACTTTTCCTTGCTCCATCATACTCAAATCTTTAAAGTTTTGAAGAAATAAGTGAAAACCTTCTCTGGATATTTCATGGACAACACAAATTTTGGCAAATAAAAATGCAGTGGAAAATTATATAGTACTATATAGGGGTCTGACAGCTAGAGTGGACAGCGCTTCGGATTCGTAGTCTGAGGTTCCGGGTTCGATTCACGGTGGAGGCAGGAAACAAATGGGCAGTTTCTTTCACCCTGATAAGCCTGTTCACCTAGCAGTAAATAGGTACCTAGGAGTTAGACAGCAGCTTCGGGCTGCTTCCTGTAGGGTGTGTAACAAAAAGGAGGCCTGGTCGAGGACCGGACTGCAGGGACGCAAAGCCCCAAAATCATCTCAAGATAACCTCAAGATACAGTATAACCAGGAGGCCTGGTCAGAGACCGGGCTGCAGGGACGTTGATGCATGGAATCATCGATAAGTATCCTTTCAGGGGATACCTAATGTGACGAAAATAAAGTAATTATCAGGAGAAAGTGTTAAGCCAGTATGGCTACATAGCACTTAGAAGGGATACGAGAACAAGGATAGAGGGAAGGAATGGTACCTAACCCTCGGACCATCTGGAATCGAGTGCCAAGAGAAAATTCTGAACTTATGCCAGTACAGTATCATCTCTAATGCAAGTAGAATTAAAAAATGGCCAGTAGTTTTATCATTCTACATCACTATTCTTTTAAACAAACTTATTCTATTCTAACCTAATGAGAAAAAATATTTTATATACACTGCATACATATACTGTACTGTATACAGTATTATGTGCTTATAACTAGCTCATCATGACAGCAAATTGCATAGCTAAATTAATTTTTGGGGGTTCCATTATGTGCCTCTGTAACCCTTTCTACTACCACCCACAGGATAGATGGGTCCAAAATATATGAACTAAACTAAAATGGAATAGCACGCAAAAAAGAACATGAGAACAAGGATTTAAGATCAGACATTTTGAATACTATTATTCTGTGAAGGGCATCTTCAATCTTGAATTATCCACTTCCTGTATTTTGAAATATTGTATCTATACAATATATGAAATACAGTACTGTACTGTACTAGAATTATATCCTTAACAATGAAATACTTTGAAAGTTTCAATTGAAGGATAACATCAAATATATTACACATATTTAATATTTTATTTTCAATATTCAACCATTATTATACACAAATTTAAATTTTCTGCAGTTTGCCAATAAATACAAGGACAAAGCACCAATATCAAGGATTCACGAAGAAATATATGAACCTTGAATGCATTATAAAGATACCTTCTCGATATAAATAACATGGATATGAAAATATATTTACATAAAATTTAGTTAACTATGCAAGGTTATACAGTAGAGTATATACATATGCAGACAGATGTATAGACAACTAAATTGTATTGGCTCCAAACCTGAAATTAATTTTTTTTTCATTCATTATAATGACATGAAATGACACCAGTTTGAGATGCATCTCACGTCTTAATTTATATTGAAACTGATGTATTGTTCTCATTGGATATCTTAGCAGCACTGTAAAATAATGCAATGCTGATGAAAGCAGTATAGAGGTCAACACTCAAGTTGAAGTGTATTATTTCAACAATTATAATGCACGAGTTTGAAAATATATATTGCAAATAGCATTTTGTATAGTACAGGAGATCCCATTCTACTTAAATAATTTGCTGTTTACCCCCATTCTAAATAAACTGCAAACATTCTCTGCTTTATTTCTCTATGGTACTTAAAAATTATGTACAATTTCACACCAACATAGTAAAGTATATCTTGACGATTTGGTATGCTTTATAAAAGCCAACAAAAATACTGCAAATATATATCTAAATCTAAATACATATATGCCTGGAAAATAGCATCCAGCTTTACCCAGCCATGGCATGTGACACAGAACAGAGGAGTGTGTGTGTGTGTGGACATATACAATGTTTTATAAAAATCGAGTTGGTAAGATCTTTTATGAGGATCCTCCTACTGGGCTAATTTGTATCAAATGACATCATTCTAGCTGCAGCATTAAAGAAGCGATATTACACAAAATAATTTGGGTGAAAAGAATAAAAATAATTGTATTAAAACAGCCTCAAGTCTCCAGTTTCAGTACTTGGTCTCGGGCAGAGATATTATCATACTGTCCCCCTCCCTAAGCAAAACCAGAACAAATTTTTCTTTTTTGCAAGAGGAGTTGGAATATTTAATTATGAAAATTACCCAATAACATGCAACCCAATCTCATAATAATCCAAGCAGGTTAAGACTTCGTCTATGGCTTGATCAGTCCAGCAACCAGGAGGCCTGGTCGACGACCGGGCCGCGGGGACACTAAGCCCCGGAAGCACCTCAAGGTAACCATGGCAGTCATGCTAAATAACATTAAAATGTTTTGACTGGTTTCTGAAAGTCTGAAAAAACTCATTACTGTTTCCCACTACACACACATCACGCGCTAGCAGCATCTGTCCCCCAATTTTGCCTTCGGCACATGGGGTTATTGCAACAAATTTAAAGTCCTAGACCTCCTCATCTTCAAACATAAGATGGCCAAGTTTTATCTGCTTATTGGAACTTTCCTTCACTGCCTCTCCTAAACTTGAACTATCATTTTTCTTTAAACTGCGTTTACGGGATGGTTTTCCGACAACATACTCCTGCATCCTCAACTTCTTAGCCCCCCCAAAGTAAGCACTGGCTAAATTCTCTGGCTGGTCACCATCATCCTCATCATCAATTATGTCAGCATCTGCTGATTTTGTTGGTTTCTTGAACACTATTTTTGGGGCCTCGCTACCACCTTCGTCACTAACGCCACACTCACCCTCCTTATTCTCATCTTCCTGGATTCTTCGTGTCCGTAGTTCATCAAACAACTCGAGTCCTACCTGCTTATTCTCCCTATCACTGAGGAGCTGTGTATCCTTCATGTTGTATCGGGTCCATTTTTGTGGATTTTTTACATAGTCCGGAGTGGTGTTTCTGGGAGCACGGCCCCTGGGGCCTCCTCCCCGTCCACGCCAACCAACAGCTGTGCCTAGAGGTTTACGAAACACATCTCTGTCCCTGTCCTCGTTACCTTCATCCTCTTCAGTAGTAACCCTCGGCTGAGCCTCCAAGTCCACTGCCACAGTTTGCAAGGAGCTGAAAAGCGCGTCTACACGACTGTTGAACCCAGAATCACCAGACTGCAACCGGAATGATGACATGGCGAGCGAGTCTTGTGTCTTTACTTAATATGTGTAAATTGCGGTGTACTAAGAACTCATCCAACCAGCAGTAAGGCGCTATAACTAGTTGCTGTTACTGTGGAGTGTTTTGATGAGGAGAAGCATTGAGCATCGCAATGAACGGCTATACAGTATCTGAATGTTTAGAAACCTCTTTCACTTCTTATATACTTGCAGAATGTTTCTCAAAAGGTATTTTCAGTGGAACTATTACAGAGTTTATAGTTCCTGGATGGATGCTATATCTCTGTCTGGATATCTAATAATATTTGTAAATTTCTAAGTGTTCTGATATAATTAGTACCCTAATTGACTTCTTTACGCTTTAATAGGTTTCATGGTGTTTTGAATAAAAGTAAGTTAACAAAAAAAAAAGAAAATTTAATATTATCTAAAAGCCAATTTCCGTTAAATATTTTCATTCTATAAATAAAAGTTTATATTGAAATTTTATATAATTTAAAATTTTTGTTCTAGAAATGAGTTTAAAAGACCCAACCAACCACGAGTTTATAGGCCGCCAGTGTTGCCAGCTTGAAGGACACCCCGACCAAGATAATGCTTAATCCCCTATCGGAAGAAATTGTCAGCTAGTCTTGCCCTAAACGGAACACTTTACTTAAACATGAACTTTAATCAAACCACCCAGCTCCGGACCTCCCTTTATATTCTTTATATACGCAGGACTTATATATTGTAGACGCATTTGGTCTCATAGTATCTCGAGGGCAGGAAGGCTGTTAGGCTTACTAAGGTCCCTTATTGTTAACCCGTGTGATCATTCCCCAGCCAGGATGTAACCCATTATAACAGTGGACTGTATGGCTTAATCCAGAGTACCCTTCTGAATACAGCAACACCCACCACCACCCTCCCTTCAGCAAATCTGGCCAAACTACGTTGATCCGGCCCATGAATGCCTATATAATTTCCGTTGTCCGGGACAAGAAGCCTGTGTTTATATACTTCAGGCTTGTATTAATTGAAGTCACCCCTATTGGTCAAACAATGACCTTACCCCAGGATGCAACCCAGCAGAGTTATCTAACTCCCTGGTACCTATATTTGCTGCTAGGTGAACAGTCAAAATTAGGCGAAAGGAAACGTGCTCGACTATTTCTGTTCCGGCCGCAGATGCCCTATTTTGAGGAATTCCATTGGCCACTCGTCTCGTTGGTCTGAGACTTTAATTTATAAGCCTACAGACTCCCTCTTCAGACAATGGGAAACCAGAACTTAATTCCATCATATAACCAATATACGATATATGATTACTTTTATGCAATTTTTTAAGTAAATTAAAGAGCCTGTCCTCTGGCGATTATTTATCAGGAAAAATGCATAGAGGGTACCTGTCCTCGTGAAGACCACTAGAGAGATAGTGGCCCCCTCAGGTAAATTCTGGTAAAGGTTGAGTGGCGGGTGTGGCAGCACTGCTGGGGCCGCCGCCGCCGCCCCCCGCCCTCAGTCACACCAACATGGCCGAGGCGGAAGGATTATCGGTGTCTCCTCTTCGGAGTCTCGATGACTTTTTGATGGAATCTGCCAGGTTTCAGATTCCAAACTTCAAGGATGCGGACAAATGGGCGAACCGAGTGATCCAAAATCTCCTCTACTACCAGACCAACTATTTCCTGACGTACTTCCTCGTGTTCACTGTTGTCGGGTGAGTCACTAACTACTCTTATTTGTTGTGGGTTTAGGGTTACAATTGTGGTTGACAAGACGCTGGAGCCACACCACATGGCTCCTCACTCCCTCACACCTCTATACACTTGCCTTCACACCCATCACTTGCTTCCGTTCTCATATTTTCTTTGCCTTTCTTGGAACAATGTTGTGGTGTGTGTAGTGATCTTAGGTGGGTTTGGTGCGGGGAATTAATACTTTATGGCAATTAAAGTCAGACTTAGAAGGCGAGCAGTACTTAGGAAGGTTAATACTAAGTGTCTAAGGGGCGCTTACTATATGGCTGTAGGACCATTGTGTGCTATTATTCGGATAGGGTCCTGTAGTATAGTGGTCTGCGTTCCTAACTCTCACTCTGGGATCCCAGATTTGATCCACATGCGGGACAAATGATTGGGTATTATTAGCTCTTGCCTAGTGTCTCTGTTGAGCCGACAGTAAATATGCAGCCAGCACCACGGTACTGAGCTGGTGCCTTGAGGCACTTCACTTGGAATGGTTCCCACTCTGACTTAATCCCATTTATACAAACTCTTTGTTGCCTTTTGACACAAGCAGGCTCTTATTCAACTTAGTATAGAGTTCTCAATACTTTGAGCCTCTATCTATTTAATGTCTTTGTGAAATACTGTCCCAAAAGCTTTCCTAAAGTCAAGGTACACAATGTCACAATCCTTTCTGTTATCAACTGCTTCAAAAATGCTGGAATAGAGAGTAAATTTGTTCATAAGTGGTCTTTAGTAAAACCATGTGACTTATTTATGCTTTTCAAGATGTAGACAAATGGCTTTTGCAATTTGAATTGGTTGCAGTTGTCAACTTTCCCACAATAGTTAATAACCGTGCTGCGCCAAGTTTATTGTGAAATTCCCTCTGTGCACATGAAAGTGTTCCCCAAAAATTCTTTTTCTTCGTAGAATGATAAATTCCCTTCCCTGAACATGCCTATGTAAAAATAAATGCCAAAATCCACTTACTTTGCCTGTAGGGATGTGGACAAGGTGCGCTGTGACGTTATCAGGGCCTGGTCGCCCATGCATGAATCGCCCAGACATGGTTGTGCGGGCCATTCAAGCACCGGGTGTTGCCACAAATATATTTTAAATTATTTGATCTATGTATTTCCAATGTGGTTTTATTTTTTTTTTTATCATATATGATGCATATTTGTGTCCTTTACAATATATATATACAGTAGAACATTCATAATGTTCCATGGAACTGTGATACATGTCAGTAATGTGTCCACAATAAATGTTTGTCGCAATATTACTTGTTAAAAATTCACTAAAATTACAATATGTACAGTTTCACCCACTATTTACACAGTAACACTGTATTACACACTCAGTACTTCGGAAGCGAGTAATAATCAACGTAGTAGTCCATGGTACACAGCGCAACTTCGCTCTCGTTGCACCAGGTTCAATAGATTTTCGCTACCTGTTTCTTCGTTTTGTGTGCTTGCTAATAACGCACTCACATACATCCTTGGCATTAGTACCTGTAGGTGGTATGTAGCCAAGCTTGTAAACGTAAGGTAGTCTTGAAAAGATTACAGGAAAAGATCAATTTGTAAGGTAGTCATGAAAAGATTGATTTGTAAGGTCCCACACAGGAAAGATTCAGCCAGCATCAAAGTGTGGCTGTCAGTCAGGAAGAGATTCAGCTATTCTTGAAAATATCTATGGAAAATGCCATCATGGAAGCCGCTAACACTTCATTTATGCTACTTGTATCAGATGCATCATCACTGAACACAGAAAACGATTCATCTGTGTATCATCTAAATAAATTGGAGATAGCATAGGTGGGCCAGAGTGGCGCTCAGAGCTACAATTGGATACAGACGCTATATCACTTACATCCGACCTTTGTGTTAGGTTCTTACTGCGCCTAGCTTCACCAATATCATGACCCTTATGTTCTTCAAAAAATAAGGTTTGAATTTCACCGACATCGCAATCTTTCAACACCGGGTCGGACAGGTATTTGGGGAGCCAGAGGCCCATGCGCCACCCATGGTTGCTCACTCAGTACTAACCCAGCCAGCAGCCCTAAGGCATTCTGGGAAATTTTTCAAAGATGGCTGCCTCTCACTGGAGGTCCTAAGAGTCCATTTCATACACAACCAACCTCGCACACATTTAGAATGGGTACAAAAAAAATCAGAGTTTTCTCGGTTGGCGCAGTTTCCCACTGACCGAAAATACTCGGTTGGTGCAGTTAAGTGGTTAATTAAGCTAATTGGCCGATAGTTTGATCTTTCTTAAAAATTGGTACCACATTAGCAACTCTCCATGACTAGTACTCTTCCTGACTAATGATTTATTGAATATACTAGACAAGGGTTCACAAAGCTCTTCTTTGCAGTTTTAACCACCCAGGCAAACACTTCATCCAGCCCTGGGGACTTGTTTAGCATTCATTTTTCTATTTGTTTAATAACTTCTTCTCTGGTAACCACTAGTCACTTGCTATCTTCACCAATATAGACTTTCGGCTGAGGGCATAATGCTAAGTTGTTGTTTGGTAAATATTGAAGCAAAATATTTATTGAGAATACAGTACTAGTCATTTCTTTGTCATTACCCATTATTTGACCTGTCTCAGTTTTTAATAACCATGTTTTCTCTAATCTTTGTTTGATATAACGGGGAAAAACAAACTTTAGGATTCGTCTTTGCTTGCCTTGTTATACAGACTGTTTCTTTTTTATTTCCTTATTTATTTGTTAACATTTGTAACTAGCTGACAAATTGTTCTAGACTGACTTACCCATTTTTAATCTCTTTGCACAAAGCTTTCTTGTTACATGTAAGGTGTTTAAGATCCATGGTTATCCACTTGGGTTTATTATTATTCACTCTAATCCATTTTAAGGTATGCTACTTTCCTGGGCTTTAAGAGTATTACTAAATGTTATATTTTAAATCTACATTGCTATCCCTTATTACGTCATATAATGATAAATTCACACTGCATTCAAAGACCGGTGCACCTTCCATGTTTACTTCCAATTTATCTTTCCCAAGAAGTTTTCTTAGTCCATTAAAATTGGCATTTTTTAAAATCTGGCACCTAAACAGAATTTTCTCTTTCCAGTGTATTCCATTCTATATTAAATCTGATTTCTTGTTATCACTGTTCCCTCCCTTGCTCCCTAATTCAGTGTAATTTATTTGTGTCCCTAATTTGTCTCCCCCCTTATGAGTTAACACCGTCTAATATCCAGTATTATCTTCCCGTGTTGACTCATTACAGTAATCTGTTTCTTAAGGAAGTAATCAACAAATTCTAATGTTAGAAAAGACATGAGTAAATATCATTAAGAGGTACTGTAATTTTCTTAGGTCCCTGGCACCCATAGCAAAAAATGCTCGTGCTCAGACTGTATTTTACACTTTCACTACTTTTACTCTACAGTATAGTACAGTATTAAGAACATTGACAAAAATTAGTAATGTTTACTACTTAAAAAAGCAAGAAGTTAAAAATATAAACAAATACAATGGCTACAAATTACTGTACTGTGATGAATTGGTCTGGATTTTGATGGTTTCAGAATTCAGGTTCTCCGACATGGATTTTAGTGAATTGTTTCACTATTATAATCTTTTTGTTTTAAGATTCCATTATTTCAAGGTTGAATGGTACAGGACTACTTTTATATTTTAATGGAGTGTAGAGTACATATATATAGACCTTTATACAAATTGTAAATCTTTGAAGGTATGTTTTTAACTGGCTATTTACAATATGCTGATTTAATATACTGTAATTATGATTGGTCCAGATGATAATGTATATTTATGTATTATTTTCAGTGTCATTCACCCTACCAAGATGTTCTGCGGCATGACAGCGATAGGCTTAGCCTTTGGACTTTTTTATTACTTGACAAATAACAAACAACCAGCTGTTGCGTTCAAGAAGGACCACCCCATCCTTTCACTTATCATCCTCATTCTGGGAGTGTATTTCATTGTTTATCTCCTTGGATCTGTTGTGGTATTTCTCATGGGAATTCTTTTGCCAATTATGGGTAAGCATTATTGTACTGTACTTGCTATTCACTTAAATCAATTCTCTTGCAGCTCACCACCCTTTCCCTGCAGTTCAGTTACTTTTTTGTGGTTGTGTAGTGCATACTCCCACCTAAATACAGAATGTCAGCATTACAATGGTACCAATATCCATATCTTTTTCATCACCTCACAATATTTCTATTAAATATGAATTTCATTAAGCATTCTTATTTTTATCACTGAAGTATTTTTATTATTCTCTGGCATTCATTCTACATTAATTTTTCATTAATTATATATCTCCATTTGGAAGATACATAATTATACATAGGGATGGAGATTTGTAGCCTTCCATATAAATCTAAATGTATTTGTAGCTTTCCATGTACAGATATATGGAAAGCTACAATTATAGCTTTCCAACTGTCCCCAGGCCAGGCTTGGGGGCATAGAAGAACTCCCAAAACCCCCACCAGGTATATATTTGCATCTGTGGAAAGGTACATTTGTAGAGTAACTCAAGGGCTTGAACCAAGGCTGCCAGTGTAGAAGCCCAGTACTATGCCTACTCCAATTCATGTATACCTGGTGTGCTAGTTACATATGTTTACTTTGAAGTTCACCATATTTTTGTTTAAAACTGTGCATTTAAAGTTGTTCAACTTCTTCAGTGCACTACATTTACATAAAAAAAACTACATAAAAAGTTAAAATTTTAGTTTGCAAAACTATTTATTGGCTTAGAACATTGATTTTGTCAGAGATGTTTGGAAATGGTCCTGAGTATTGCCTATAAAAAAGAAGTGCCATCATGATGCATAAATAATGGTTAGTGAAACAATTCAAGGATGTTTTACATGAATTCTTCACTAACAAATTATTGGAACGCAAAGTAAAATGTAGCAGATGTATAAACCTATTCATAATTGCTCTACTATTCTCCTCTTCCCCAATCTATCCTGTGTTGTTATAAGCTCAATACTGAAATGCATGGGCTAGATAATGCTCCTTTTCCTGTATTAATAAAGGAAGGCCATTATCAGAGAATTTGTTGGGTATGGTGCTAGTTCTACCGTATTAGGTCAAAAGAATGTCTGGAACTTCTAATGAGTGATTGGTGCACGTTTCATAATTTGAACAAGTAAAAGGTATAGCAATACTTAACTTGTAATTGTTCTCTATATTTTACTTGCAATCTAATTTTTCTTTTCTCAGTGATCTTTGTGCATGCCTCCATGAGACTGCGGAACCTGAAGAATAAGCTTATGAATAAAGTGGAGTATCTGGGCCTCAAGCGCACTCCAATGGGTGTGATCCTCGATGCATTAGGCCTGGAACAGGACTTCCTCATGTAGGCATCATCCAATTAAGCTCTTCATTAGTTTTGTACTTCTTCATAATTATATATACATGTTTTTGAGGCCAATTTACCCATACTGCACACAAAAGTAGTTTAATAACCCTAGTGTAATTTAAAGTTTTCATTTAGGGAAATTTGACTGCAACTTTTGATATACCATATTACTTGTGCTAAGAGGTAAAGAAGTCGTACGTTGTGATGACCACAAGTGCTATTTTGTGCAGAATCTTAATCTTTCTGAACCTGAATGTTAGGTAATGCCTGTGTGTTTTAAACTGACATATATTAAAATAGCAGCAAATTAAGGAAATTTCTTTAACTTTTCACAAGTTTTGATGTTAATTGTTTATTCTATTATAGAAATCTAAAAGGAATTCTGCTTTCTTAAATAATGTACAATATAGCCATTGGAGGTATCCAAGCAACTTGTTGATTTTAAGTATTAGTGTATAGGAGTTAACTTTTAAAACATGAAAGTAATAAATCAGTTATAAAACATTCATACATAATTTTGTGATACTGTAGATATAAAGTGAAGGAAATAAAAATTACAGTATAATACTCAGTCTACGAGTTTGTTATAATGTGATATTATAATAAATTTTTAGTATGTTATTGTCCTTAATTTTAGGTTGTATGCAGAGGCAAAAAAAATGATTTTGGCCCCCCAAAAAATGTCTGATCTGGAATAAGTATTATATTTTGGAAACACTGTACTGTATAATACAGTATGTGTATGTTCTCTTCAAAGGAATTTAAATCCAGCTTTTGTGTTTTTTTATTTCAGACATTAATTTTAGTTTTTTAAATGGATATTGTCAAACTATATTTGATTGTGTAATTTTTATTTTTTTTTTTATTGTCCTCGGTTGGAAGGCTTTAATCCCAGACAATCCACTTTCATCATTTTAATCAAAATGAGGGCTTGAATAATTAAAAGGCATAATAATTACATATATTTTGAAAGAAAAAATATAGTGGTGGATTACTTACAGGAAATTAATGTACAATACTGTATAAATATTTTATTTTGCAAGAGCATCTTGTTGGAGAATGCTTTATAGTATACAGTATGATTTGGCTCGTTATATGATGGTTTTTCTTGACAGCTATTCAAGAAATACACGGTTACAAAAAGTATCTTTTATTAACAGGTTGTATTACTGTAACATCTTTTAATTATTGTAAGTACTGTATAGATAAACATGAAAGTTAGGTTGGAAAATAGTTATATCTAGTGATTATATTTTTTGGTAATGTAGATGTGTTCCTAGCAAAGTCATTAAGATATTATTTATCAGTTTATGCATACATAATCAGTGCACAAGACTTTATTTATTGGATTTGTTTTTAGTCATAACTTGCTCTACACATTAATTTTATTCTCGGTTTGCATGAATTCTTGAATTTCATTTTATAATAGTACTGGATACAATTTGCTTTTTAAGTGCTCTTAATTAAAATCATGGAGCTCATAGCACAACATTTTGGTCAAATATAACTAGTAAATATTAATTTACTATTAAAAATGAAAATATTGCAAAAATTGCAGATTTTGTAGATTGCTAAAACATTACTTGAACAGCATTCTCTTAATTTTGTCCATTAATATTATAGTTGTGAAGCTAAGCCCTGAGAAAGCTAAAGCCACTTCTATGGTATACTTCAACGCTGTCATTTCTAGTGTTAGTACAGGATTACCATTCTCATGGTAATTGGTTTATAGGACTTTTATTGCTTTTTGGGGAGCTTTCTTATTTGCAATCTTGGTAACTGGTAGCTATTTATAAACCTAAAACTGTTTTAAATTAGAGGTGTACCAATGCATCGGTATCGGTATCAGTTTATTTTTGTAGGATTTGGATCTGTACAATTACAGTAAATACTTCATTACTTTTTTTTAGCACTGGACAGTGTCTTTGTCATCTAAAAAATAAGTACTGTATTAGTGTCAAATTTTTGGTGTTTATATAGTACAGTATTTACAGTATATCAGTTAACAAGACAGCATTGGTATCGGCCAAAATATTTGGATCGGCACACCTCTTAAGTAATAATGTTGAGGACATGGGTAATGTGTAGTAAATACACAGATTGATATTGAATATTGTAGCTGATATTTTAGGTGGATTCTTTGTTAATACAGTATATGTTTTAAAATGAGATTGCTTCCATTTAAAAACCATCCCATTACATTACTGTACCAGTAAAGGCCCCCAGAGTTTCGTGCTTATGCCAAGTTTTCCGAGTTTTGTGGTTACTCTCTTTAGGCTGCATGTTTTTATATACTATGTTACTGCTGCTCAGACTTTAATTACTGGACTGTTTTTGCCTTTATGTTATGGATATATAGTTAGCAAAAATTATAAATTGCTGAGGAGTGATCAACTTTGGTCATTTAATTTGGGAGACTATAAAACATGCACAATTTAAAACTTATGAAGTAATAATTTTTATATACTGGTACTGTATTGTCAAATAGGCCTCAGTTTTAAAATTGATTTATAAATGTTCCATTTTCAGGACAAGATTTTTCATTATAGTTCATTTTGCAATTTAGTTTGTTTTTTCACTTTGTGGTGCCACTTAAATCTCTTTCTAAGCATGCGCTTTTATCTCTAATTTTATTTTGTATTTTTTTTTTTTGCACAGTAATTTTATATGGTATGTTTTTTGTTGTCCTATTTTTCTTTAGGTCCAAATTGAATGTTGATGGGAGTTTCAAATTCCTCGACTCTTTCGTCAAGATGCCTGGGAAGCCCAACTAACCCTAGAAGCTAACTTCTGCATGCTTATCCACCTCCATGCCACAGTAATTTAAGATCCTTTGCTATCATTGGAAATAAATGAGCGTTAATTTGTTTGGACATGCACATATGGATATATAGAAACATGTTTGGCTACAGTCCATTAAGTATAATTTGCCAACACTAAGGTGAGCTTTATTAAATAGTTAATGCTCTTAATTTTCCTTAACCTTTAATGACAAAAAACTGGGATTTTTGGTGCACTTTCAATGCTTCAGTTGTGATTGTAGCTCATCTTAGCTTCCATAAATAATAATGCTGTATAACTGTGAATAAATTTATGATAATAATAGCATAACTTGACCTAATTACAGTATATTATTTTTGTATTGAGAAACCTAGTGTAAATGAGATGGGTTTGTATATTTATCATAATGCACCAAAGTGCAGTCATTGCAGCAGTACTATCTAATATTATCATTAACATATTTATCTCCGTAAATATTTTAAACCATTTCTCGTTACTAGGAGATAGACACTTGCTGAAAAGTCTAGGTGAATTGTATGGTACTTTAATTTTAAACTCATCATGTACTATTTTTCTCCCCAATGATTTGTGTTGCTTTGTATTTTGATATTGGCCATTAATTGCATAATTGCAAGAAGATAGTTCAGATTCATTTGCCATATTGCTTGGTATTGCAACAGTTCCGTGTTGCTAAGATTGTAATTTAATCCGTCTTCCTTGAAGATGAAATGGGAAAATGGTATTATCTCGTATAATACACGTACTGTAATATCGTAGGTGCTTGCTCATCTTTATTTACCAATGTGGTGTGTGTTGTATGTGTGTGTGTGACATTTAGTCTCTCAAATTGAAGTTTCTTTAAGCATGGGGAGGGGGGGTGGCCTTGCATAGGATTGTATAAGAAACCCACTTAAAGTAAGCATTTGTTTTGAGAATCTGAGAAATGCCAAGAACTTTACTCAATAAACTAATAGTTCTTGGCATTTCTCAGATTCTCAAAACAAAGGCTTACTTTAAGTGGGTTTCATATACAACACCATGCAGAGTCTATCTCCCGAGTTAAAGGAACAAACTTTAACTTGGCAAACTTAGAATAGTCCTTTTTTTTACAGAATTCGCTCAATAGCTGTAACTGGGGACCCAGTCACAGTGGCACACGAGTTAATCTAAATATATTTATAGAGCCCCTTTGCACATAAATACTCCAATACAGTATATACATATCCTTTATTGGCATTTATATAAAATAGTAATGCACTGATATTTATGAACATTCAGACTCGGCCATGCATTTCTATGTATTTACTCTTGCTAACTACAGTATGCATTTTTCCAGTCCAATAATAGGATCCATGCTTCTATAATTTGATCAGAAGATGATTCAATAAAAAAATCTTGTATATATGTTTCATTATACAAGTACAGTATATCAAGCTCTTGTGTACATTTGAAATATTAAATGGCAGCCTATAGTTCATGACACCATGATAATTAAAATATTTTGTTGAGATTCCATATTTCTTAAGAGGATAAAGTAATTTATTTGTATTTCCCGGTTTGGTGCCTTCTTTTGATAATTACTTAGTTGTTATTTGTATAAATCTTAGGATTATGTTGCATTGAGCATGTGCCATGTTATTTATCAATATGTACCTACAATAAATGTATAACTACAAAGGCATTTTATGATTATTTGACCCTTTATTGTCAATCTTATTATTTTAAATTTAAGTAAATTAGAATCCAATTTTTGCCATATTTTAAAGGGTTTAGTATGAGTTAAAGCCCTGGTCAGGGAAGATTGACTGGCACCTGGTTGATAACCAGTAACCAGTTTGTGTTTCAGGGAAAACTAGTAGGGATAAAGGTTACCATGAATGATGGAAAGGGAAAGCTGCAAGCATGCTGACGAGTTTGAAGTAATTTATTGTGGAAAATAAATGTTCCCTGCATGTTGGAAAAAAAATTGACCACTAAATAAGTGTATTATGCATACTCGGCTGCAAAACTGTAAAAGAAGGTATAATGCAAGGGGACACAGTAAAAACATAACCAGTGAAGAAAATGTATTAAAATTTAATCACATTTCAAACTAGGTATTTTCCGAACAACATTAATAGTTTATACCCTGCAAGGAAAACTTATGTATAGGGTGGAATGACTATCCACATTGTTGTTCACCCTTTTGCACTAAACAGATATTGGTAATCTGAAATTAAAAAAATTGCTGGATTGTGTTCTAAAGAAAACAGCTTAACTATTGGATCTAATAGCTTATTGTACATCCCCATTTTGGAAGTTAGGTACTGTATGTTCCAAGTGATATCTATACTAAAAAGTACACACTACATCTATACCCATGTTTGTGTATACATACACTGAAAGTTTACTTCAGTCTTGAATTGTGTCTAGGACCAAAATATATACGGTTGTTGGTCGGTAAGCTTGTGTGATGGCCTAGATACCCTCCAGAGATTGATATGTCTTAAGTGTAAAACACAAAACCTGGGTTAATCCCTGGCACTAATATCATACACTAAACTTCACAATTTTCCTATTCATTTATAGCAGAATTGGTATTATCACAGCCCAGCCAAGAGTAAAATCCCTGCAAGACAGCGCTCATGGTGACCAGCCTCCCTCTAACTGTTGCTGATGGCCTGCTCCCAGCCTGACCATTTGGCCAGCAGTGTCTTCATACCGTCTCACCAAACATTAACTAATGTAATATATGTGTATTGTTGGCTGTCATGAGTGTTTACTGTCCTGTCAGTGTATCTTAAAGAGTATAGACCTCCTGATGTCAAATTATCTACATGTTACAAGACTGAGCTGGGATTCTCTCATTTCAGGAACAGTTGAAGGCCACAGGACTAGCAACGCTACAGACTCAACAGGGCTGATCTCATTGAGACTTTAAAAGTACTGAACAATTATCAATAGGAAGCACTGTGACCACTTCTTTAAAAGGAACAATGTAAGGCATAATGGTATAGCTTTAAGCTTGACAAGCCACAATATAGGACAGAAAACAGCAGATACTTTTTCAGCTATGTGTCATATCCCAGCTCCTTTGTCTTTCTATCTCCTCCAAGTGCTATATTGGTAACCTGAATTACATACTGACCTAGTGCCAGTGTGTGTGTAATATTATCATTGTATATTGTATTTATACAATGTATATATTGTATAAAAGGGGGGTACCACCTCTGGTTATTTGCAGGAACCCCTCAAGCCTCGAAGAAGAGGATATGGAGCACCCGGGGAGCCTTGTCGGACTCCCATGTGCCCCATGGCACATATTGTCTTCCCCTACCCCCCACTTATATATGTAAATATTTGTTTTATTTAAACTTTATTACAAAAAAAGTTACATATAAGGAACAAAGATGATTATCATAAAATGTCTAATTTCTCCTCCTCATCAAATGGCAGGCAGGAACCCTGAATGCAGTGTGCAGTTCCCCTCTGTATCACCACTCTGAGGTGCTGGAAAAGGAAGCTGGAAGCTGTAGGGTCTTTTGTTTTAATTAGCCTAGAGCCCAGTTCCTTCAAAAAATGGGTGGCACTCTTACCCCAGGCACCAAGTGTTTCAGAAGTATTTTCAAGTGATATTTTGTTGAGCAACACCAAAATAATTGATAGATACAATGACAATAGAAGATTAGACATCAGTGAAGCGCTACATATCAAGAAATTAGACAAATCAATAACCAACTAAGACAGTTACTCTCTACCCACCTCAAGACTCCGGGCCAATGCAGAAGTTGAACCGAATGATCCTACAACAGGATCGGAAGCAACCATAAGAACATAAGCTGCCAACATGTCACACTCTTAATTTACTACCCCATGTAATGTCATTCATCCATGTCACCTACCACCTCACCAAAAAAGGATATAACCAGGTGCTAACACAGTAGAATTTGTCTTTGAAAATGTGAGGTGAGACCTTTGGAAACGCATCACTAGGTGTCAGACACAAATATAAAGTAAAAATGAACTTTGGAGAGTTAATTTTTAATCTTCCTGCTTCAGTGAAGAACATAAGGAATATCAAGAAGATTCGTGCCAGAATCATAACTCTAAAACTTTGTTGTTTTCAACTAAATATAAAACCTAAAAGGGCTACCACCTCTGGTGCAAGTGTAGGGACCCATAGCCTTGAAGTAAATAAAGAGTATTCAGAGAAGACCTTGTGGATCCTTGCTGAACATTTTTATATTTTCTTCTACCACCCTTATTCTGTTTGTATGTGTAAACTCACTTTATTTTAAAATTTCATTACACAAAAAGGGTTATAACATAGGTTACACGCAGGGTACAAGACTACTTGTCACAGGTTGTAGAGTTCCTCCAACTCCTCAGATGGCGGGCAGGAACCATGGATGCAGTGAGCATTTCATCTCTGGATCGCCACACTAAGGCGCTGAAAGAGGAAACTGGCGGCTCTAAGGTCTCTAGTTTTTTATTTATTTATTTATTTATATATATACAAGAGTTCTTACATTCTTGTACAGCCACTAGTATGTGTAGCATTTCAGGCAAGTTCTTAATTATATGTTCCCTGGAATACGGCCCCGCAAAAAATAGTTTAACAACCAAATACCCATTTTACTGTTGAGTTTAACAGGGGCTACAGTTAAGGATTTACGCCCAGTAAATCCTTCCCGGCCAGGATACGAACCCAGGACAAAGTGGTCGCGAAACTCCAGGCGAGTTTCTTAACCACTGCACCATGTGGACTGATATTTCGATTAGGTTGGAACCTGGCTCCTTCAAAAAACTAGTAGCACTTACCCCAAACATTAAGTTTCTCTGAGGCAATGGAGGACAAAATTGTAGTGGTGATCAAGATCTCTGTATTTACGTGACTTGGCTGCTTCCCGGTGATTGGGAGCACCTGCCTGTGCAGCACTGAAGTCAACATAGGTCTTGGCAAAAGTTGAAATGAAAGTGTAGTCCCACACCAACTGTCTACCATTCTTCCAGGGGCTCTCCATGATCCCGTCTGGGCGACCGACAGGCTCATCAGAGTTACAGGCCATTAGGGCTCTCTATGCTGGACAACCGGCTGTGGTAAGGCTTCTCTTAATATTGTCATTAACCTCTCTGTGTCTTACATGCCATCCTCCTGTCCTTTGGCAGAGAAGGCCATGCCGTCCGTACCTGTCGGCCTCTGCCACGCCGCAAATACACCTGTATTCGGTGTGGATTGGGGCAGCGAGGCAAAGGGCCACAGTAATTCGGAGGGCCTGTGGTGTGAGACGGGTGCCGGTTGCTAGCATTGGGGTTGCTAATAGGAAGATAGGAAGTCTGTCTGTCTGTCTCTATCTCTGTCTCGTCTCTGTCTCTGTCTCTCTCTGTGTCTGTCTCTGTCTCTCTCTGTGTCTCGTCTCTGTCTCTCTCTGTGTCTGTCTCTGTCTCTCTCTGTGTCTGTCTCTGTCTGTCTCTGTCTCTCTCTCTGTCTGTCTCTATCTGTCTGTTTTTCTCTCTCTGTCTGTCTCTCATTCTGTGTCTGTCTCTCATTCTGTCTCTGTCTTTCTCTCTGTCTTTCTCTCTCTCATTCTGTCTCTGTCTTTCTCTCTCTCTCTCTCTCTCTCTCTCTCTCTCTCTCTCTCTCTCTCTCTCTCTCTCTCTCTCTGTCTCTCTCTCTCTCTCTCTCTCTCTCTCTCTCTCTCTCTCTCTCTCTCTCTCTCTCTCTCTCTCTCTCTCTCTCTCTCTCTCTCTCTCTCTCTCTCTCTCTCTCTCTCACTCTCTCTCTCTCTCACTCACTCACTCTCTCTCTCTCTCTCTCTCTCTCTCTCTCTCTCTCTCTCTCTCTCTCTCTCTCTCTCTCTCTCTCTCTCTCTCTCTCTCTCTCTCTCTCTCTCTCTCTCTCTCTCTCTCTCTCTCTCTCTCTCTCTCTCTCTCTCTCTCTCTCTCTCTCTCTCTCTCTCTCTCTCTCTCTCTCTCTCTCTCTCTCTCTCTCTCTCTCTCTCTCTCTCTCTCTCTCTCTCTCTCTCTCTCTCTCACTCACTCACTCACACATTTATTTAATTATTTTATACATTTTTTTTAAATCCTATGTAATGTAAAAAAAGTAAATCATATTAATAAATATGTAATGTAATGTGGAGATCTGTATATCTTTCCATAAGGAAAAAAATATTATATTTCAAGATAATTCGGCTTGTTAGGCGACTTGTACCTAATAGGTACAACATATGCGTATGTATGTTGTGAGACAATGTGTGATCATGCGTATGTATGTAGCATATGTATGTACAGTACATATATCCAGCAGATGTAGTGACAGCTGACACGTATATATATTTCGTTCGTCGTTTGTTTTGTTGTTTATTTACCATGTCAGCTGTGCTGAGGATGGTGTTATTATGGTGTCAATACTTTCACTTTACGTAGTGTTTTTACACGGAGTTTTCCAAACTTTTTATACCAGCGAATGTGCCTTCAATATCTTCAGGTATCCATTGAATAGAGTAGAGAAGAAATATGGCAGCTTGTCGGAGAGTGAGCGGCTCAGACTCAAGAAGGACACTCGAGATATGTTTTATTTTGGCTATGACAGCTATATGAAATATGCCTATCCCAAAGACGAGCTAAACCCCATATATTGCTGTGGAAGAGGACCTGATTATGACAATCCGTAAGTACAGTCAAGGTTCGGCTAAGTATTGAATTTTCTCCAGCAAAACTTTACAATGGTGTTAGGTGAAAGTGCCCCTTTCTTTTTTCTTTTCTTTTTTTAAGTTTTAAGTTATCTCCAACTACCTGTATTTAATTGCATTTATATAGACATTTTGAACAAGTCAGTTTCATTCAGTTTGGGTTAATGCTAGGTTAGGGGTATATTACATTGTAATTATTTATGGTTTGTGGTGAGCTAAAGGATAATGACATGAAATCCTTTGCTTTAGGATCTTAGAAATAAACCCTAAATACAGCAACTTAATAAAAATAGTTATGGGAACCAATAAAATTGATAGGGAAGAATTCCTGAGACCTGGAACTTTAAGAACAAGAGGTCGTAGATTCAAACTAATGAAACAAAGATGCTGAAGACATAAAAGAAAATTCACTTTCGCAAACAGAGTGGTAGACGGTTGGAACAAGTTAGGTGAGAAGGTGGTGGAGGCCAAAACCGGCAGAAATTTCAAAGCGTTATATGACAGAGAGTACTGGGAAGATGGAACACCACGAGCGTAGCTCTCATCCTGTAACTACACTTGGGTAATTACAGCACCATGGAAGAGCCAGTATGAACTTGGCTGCTCTGGTATGAGTCGCGAAAGGGGCAGCTTGACAGAAAACGGATAGGACTTTGATTTAGTGAAGATTGTGACTTAAGTCGAGCATGATGCTTTGCACTAACATGTTTTGTGAAATAACAAAATAATGTTTGATGCTGTAAGTTGGCTTCTGTACTGTTGATATAGTCTCCTTACAGTGAACCTAACAGCTGTTAATAATATCATATGAAGGTATTGAATTCTACATGATATAAATGTATACATTCTCTTTAGCTTGGAATGTTTAATTATGGTTTCTTTGGTAATCATATACTGTATACATACTTATAGGATTATGCTAATGTTAGATAGCTCCCTTCTTTATGCTTGGGTCTATATGCATTGCAAGCCCTTTTTACACTTGCTATAGTAATTTATATTTGATTTTATGGAATAACAGCCAAACCATTGATTGCCCAGAAGTGCTAATCTAAATACTGTACTGTAAAATGATATCTCAGTTTATCCTGATTGCCAGTTAGTGTTGCAGATGACGTAGTCTTTCAGTGCAAATAATTTGATGTATATATATGTTAATATTTTTATTACAAAGTCACACACAAATTTTATTAGTTTGAAAGAAAATGCCTTGAATCTGTTTATCAGCACAACGAATCTGGACACTTGAGGCACAAACAACCATTATTAAATGAGTTTTGATGTTGCTTCTAGATTTCTGTTGACCCAAGTTGCAGATAATCGAGACATTACTGTAATAAGCAAAGCTAATTTACATATTTCTAACTATGAGATCTTTGGTGCTGTTTTTTCTTTCTTTTTTTTAGTTCGTCACAAAATTGCCATTAGTTTACTGTAGCTTTTATATTTGTGCTAATGTGTCATTATTGTAATACCTGTAACTGCAAAATAAACAGTCGTTACAAGTAAAAGTCAAGTTGCATTGTTTACTAACCAGAAATTGTAATTATTGTATTAATTGTTAGCCTTTTCTCTCATCAGGTCCAATATCAACATTAATGACATCCTTGGAGATTATTCTTTGACCTTGATTGATGCATTAGATACGCTTGCAATTCTTGGTGATGCAGAAGAGTTCCGAAAAGCTGTGAAGCTAGTCATTGAGAATGTTAGTTTTGACAAGAACTCTACTGTGCAGGTCTTCGAGGCAAATATAAGGTAAGATGTGTAATCTTGTTTCATAACCTTGAATTTTATGAACCAAGTAGTTGTTCTGGATGTTTATAACAGTTTTGTCTATTGAACAGACTAAAGTTAAATTAAACTTTATCACTAATATGAATTATTAAGTCTTAAATTACAGAGTTTATTTTCTGTACACTATAATTTTACAGCTGGAACACTCTACCTAGATGTAGTGATTTTATGTCAAATCATCACTCTGGCATTTCAACCACTTTCAAGAATTGGGAGACTTTTTATGCATCAGATGAAACATTTATTGAAGAAGTGTACTTGCTCATTTCATTAACTGCAATGTTTTTTTTTTTAAGATTGACACTAGCCAAAGAAATCATATAAAGTAGTCCTTCAATTTGTGCAAGAAATATTTTCCTGGAAAATCTTGTGCAGAGGCAGTTTATACAAGTCAAACTTAAGACTATGTGCATTTAGCAAACCTCTGAAAAGAAGGGTGTCTTTCACATCTCTCTTGGCATTACACATATTGAACAATATGAAATTTCAGTTCTCCCATTAATTTCTCCTGATAAGCCCCACTTGAACTGGAAGATAGAGTATTGGTCTCGCTTCTTGCAGGTTGGCGATCCATCCCTGACCATCCAAGTGATTGGTTGAGCACCATTCCTTTCTTTCGTCCTATCCTAAATCCTTATCCGCTTGTACCTTCCAAGTGCTATATAGTCATAATGGATTAGTGCTTTCTCTTAATAATTATCTTATCAATTCCCTCTATGAATATATTAGTCCCAACTTGAAAATATAGAAATGAATACTGTATATGTGGCTATATTAATAAATAGATATGTAAAATAATACTTAATGGGCTATGCAAATTAATAATTAATATAACTAAAAAGTGTCTGTGTTGCTTTTCGAGTGAGGAAGAGTTTGGTGTTGTTTTACTTATTTACATAACTTTACATACAATTGGGAAGGATCACTTTTTAGTGCAGTGTTTTACATCTTCGGCTCACAACCTAGGATTTGTCTTTGCCCTGCTGTATGTACAGTACAGTACAGTACTTCATAATTTTTTTTTTTTTTAACATTTCTTAATAAATAGACATCTCCATTCTTAATGGTTTCTACATCATCTTCCTTTTTCCTATAAGGTTCTTTAGTCCCATGGTTATCTATTTTGGGTCATTGCTATTCGCTCTAATAAATTTATGTAATGTATTTAGCAAGATGAATATTGAAATATAGCGCATATTAGTTGACATCTGTACATAAAAGAATGATGGACCTGGACAATGATCATAATCTACAAACATTATCTTTCAACTATATTTGGCATTCAGATGAGTTATTAAGAATGTTCTCATCTAATTCTACTCGTACCTTGACTTGTTTTTGAACAAGGTGGGCCATCTCAATTCTTTTGATGCATTTTGATTTGACGATAAAGTTCTAGTAAGTGGTACTTCAAAATTGTATTGTAATATGAGTCTTAATATGGATTTTAATGTTTCCTGAAAAGTTGAGTAACTGTGTGGAAATTTCAGATTGTTGGGAGCATTATTATCAGCTCATCTCCTCATCCAGGATGAAAATAAACCATTTGGGGACCTTGAACCTGAATGGTATGATGGGGAACTGCTGGAGATGGCCTCTGACCTTGCTTCAAGATTCCTTCCAGCCTTTGACAACTCGAAGACTGGCCTTCCTTACCCTCGAGTAATGTCAAAATTATTAATGAGAGATTAATTTTATGGATGGATATGTGAAGAGAACATGCACATTTGTTTGCCGTTGTGCCAAGTGTGCATTTCATTTAAAAAAATAATGGTCTTGTTATTACTTAACAGGCAGCACATGCCATAATATAGTAGAGTGTAAGTTAATGGTATCACTTGAATTTTTACCTTTATATTTTATTTTCTGTAGGTAAATCTCCGTGAGGGAGTACCAGAAGGAAGCCGCACAGACACGTGCACAGCTGGCGCTGGGTCTCTCTTAGTGGAGTTTGGAGTTCTTAGTCGCCTCATTGGAGACCCTGTTTATGAAATGTCTGCAAGAAGAGCCAATAGGGTTCTGTGGAAATTAAGGAATTCAAAAACTGGACTTCTTGGTATGTTACATAATTAATGATTATCGAACTAGTTAATACAAAAATATTTTAGATGGGCTGTCTTGTATGGCACTTATGCAATGCATGCATTTGTTTTTATGGATGTGCATCTATGTAATTCAAGCATGTGTTGTGTGTGTGTGCATCAATGTGATGCATGCATATGTTTTTTGTGATTAAAATCCCTTAATGCATCATTTGAGTTCACATAGAAGTGAAGTTCTCAAGGCTAATATATTAGCTCTGGCCATAAAAGCTGTCATATGCTCCACCTCATTGTAATATTTTGTTAAACTTTACCTGACTAAGAATTTTATAAGTACTGTATACACTATATTGTATCTCTCCTCCAGGCAATGTTGTGGATGTGAACACAGGAAAATGGGTAGGGGAGTTGAGTGGCGTTGGAGCTGGACTTGACAGCTTTTATGAGTATCTTCTTAAAGCTTACATCCTCTTTGGCCATCCTGAGGACTACTCCATGTTTAATGAGACATATACACTTATTAAGCAGTATATGAGAAGGGGGTAAGATTTTTTTGCCCTTTGTATCTTCAATCTTACTAAGGGGAAGGGGCAATATTAGATTCTAATCTAATGTAAGAACTAGCTTATGTAGGATAACCATATCCTCACCAATTTGTTAAACAAGCCCAACTACTGTAGTTCATAAATATCCAACCAATTTGGAGAGGTCGTGGGAGAAGGGTGCCAGATATACCTTTTTCTTCTTACGTGGTTTATAAAAAGAAATTTAAAACCTGTGAATGGGATGGTTTAGTAAAACATCATTTTGGTCCCTAAAAATGCAAAGTATGCCCCCCACTTCTCGGTGCACATACGCTGAAAGATTACTTTGGTCCTGAATTGTGCTCAGAACCAATTATTTTTCCTGGATCTCATGGCATTATTAATCCTCAAAAGGTGGATACACCTTAAGCCCAGCACAAAACCTGTCCCCCTGCAATATGAATATTTTGGCAACAAAATCAAAACTTTTAATAATGATGTGTAGCCAATATCTAAATCGGTGATAAGTGATTAATTATCAAAAGAAGGTACCAAGCCGGGAAAACTATGTAGCACCATCAAAGTTGCAGGAGATTCAAAACGTGCTAAATATCATTAATATTCTCATAGATATCATTTATGAGAATAAAAGTGCATAAGGCGAGCAATATCAAAGGTATCGGATTTATCAAAGAGTCTATTGAGGGACAAACATGCAAGGGACAGTTGGGAAGCAAGACACACGCACATCTTGGAAGTCGGGATATTTAACAGGGAGATGCACAACCATAAGAGGGACAATGCAGTTCAGATAATAAGGAGCAGGGCATCACACTATTAAGTGCCCATGAGGTAAATGTGTATGGCCAATACGTAAGTTCGCCAGAGCCATTTCCCACCTTTGGTTATGGTGATAGGAGGAAGGCTAAGGGGACAGGCTATCCTTAAGGTTTGTTATTCTTACTGGTAACAAACCTCAGTTTGTTACTAGTAACAGAAAACCAGCAATCCTGCCAATGGACATGGATCGAGAAATGAATGACTTGGTAGAAATCACAATAAGAAACACCTTTTTGGGAAATAGGACAAGATCGGAAAGCCTCCTTAACATCAGTATCCGAAAGTTCATTTAAGGAAATACCAATATGTCTGGAACCTTGCAAAATTGAACCTGTTTAAATTGGCTAGAGATTAGAAGCAGTCAGTATTGGATTTCAACTACTACAGGATATATAGGATTAAATGACTCCAAAGCTATGAGAGCAGTACAAGAGTCAACCATAATGACAAAGAAGCACTGATGATGGGAAAGCAGTCAACGAAGGGTATACAAGATAGCACACAGTTCAGCTGTGATGACGCTAGCCTCAAGAGGTAGGCGGCATGTTTAGTCTGGAAAGACAACAGAGTATCCAACACCATCAGCAGACTTAGACTCATCTGTGAAGAGAGCAAAAGAATGCAAATGCAAAAAAAAGGTTCAAAGACGTTTCAAAACAAAAAGAGGTTTAGAAGCCTTTACCACATGGGTCAGACTTGCAAAACTTCACAAGTGGAACCTGCCAAGTCAGTAAGAATGAAATGACATGAGGAGAGACATTGCTAACACAAACAGAAAGGTAAGCTTGTAAGCAAAACATCTGAACAGAAAAGGGAAGGTGAAAGGGAATTGCCTTCTGGAGGAGCAACAGCCAAGACCTGCAAAGGCGAGAATGAGGATGTTGCAGAGACCTTGCGAAGTAGCAAAGGTAGTAATAATCTCGATGAGAAAGGAGCGACATGATATCAGTTTCAACATACAAACTCTGGACAGGGAGGACAAACAAAAGGCACCAGAACAGAGGTGCAACCCAGCATGGTGCTGAGCATAAAGACGGCGAAGGACTGAAGAAGAGGCAGAGGAGTAGGCTAGGTAGCCATAATCCAGTTTAGACAGCAGGAGAGAGTAGTGCAAAGGGAGAAGAGTGTGTATCAGCACCCCAGGAAATCTGGGACAAGTCACGAAGGAGCTTAACGGCCTTAGAGCATTCAGAGCGGAGGCAAGAGGTATTGGGGAACCAAGACAAAAAGAGTGTCAAAAATCAACCTCGAAAGTTTAGCAGAATCGTTATAGAGAAGGAGACTACTATAGAGCAACACTGGGGACTGAAGAACAACCTGCCTCCTAGTAAAAGTCATAGCACAAGTTTTAGATGTAGAGAACTTGAAGCCATGATTGGTGGCCCAGGACGACACAACATCAATTGCAAGTTGGAATCAGCATTGGAGGAAAAGAGGAGTCATCCCCTCGACAGAAAAGAGTGAGATCATCTACATAAAAGGCCCCCTCAAAAAAAAACAGAGAGAAGGGGGGAAAGTAAGACCATTAAGGGCAACAAGGAAAAGAGCAGTGCTCAAAACACTACCCTGGGGAACACGTTTGAAAAGAAGGCAGAGAAGGTGTGACAAAGTCTCACATGAAAGGAACTATGAGAAAGAAAACAGAAGAGTAGGAAATTGCTACGAAGGCCAAAAGAATGAAGCTGGTAAAAAATATTGTACCTCCAAGTGGTATTATAAGCCTTTCTAAGTCAACAAGAACAGCAACCACTGAGGGTTTAGCAGCAAGGGCAGAAGGAATGTAGATCTCCAGGTCCAGTAAAACATCATTTGAGCTGCGACACTTGTGAAAGCCAAATTGAGAGGGAAGAGGATGCGATAGTATTCCAAGAACCACATAAGATGGACAGTGACCATACGTTCAAAGAGCTTGCAGACGCAACTCGTCATATATGATGAAAATTGTTTGGGGAGAACCCAGGAGGACTGGATTTCCGAATAGGAAGAACAACTGCTGCAAGCCAATCTTTGGGGATAGATGACTTTTCCCAAATGCGATTGTAAATGATCATGAAAGACTGAAAGGCACCTTGGAGGAGATGGCAAAGCATCTCATAATGAACGCCATCTGAGCCTGCCGCTGTAGAACCACAGAGGGACGGGGCAGACTGGAGTTCCAAGAGAAAGAGGAGATGATTATAGGGGAACCATGGGGGGGGGGGAGTGAAAGACCAAGTTACAAGACTCGAGAAAGGGCTTACGAGAAAGGAAGGAAAGAAGGTGGGCACCAGTGCTAATGGCAGAAAAGTTTGAACCCAAAGCAGTTGCGACCATCACCAGATCTGCAACAACAGAACCATGGCAATGTAGTATATGTGATAGGTTTGTCAACCATAATGGTGGAGAAATAGGATTGCCAACTCTCTCATTTAGCAGTATGGATGGCCCTACAGCCAAAGTACTCGTCTTTTGAAAGAAGCGAAAAGAATCGGGAATCAGTCGGCGCCGGTGTATCTTTTAGGCTGCACACTTTCAGCATACAGCCCGAGCACAGTCTGAATTCCACTAGGGAACACACTTTTGTGTGCCACTGGAGACATAGCGAGGAAGAGAGAGAGAGAGAGAGAGAGAGAGAGAGGACAACATTCATAAGGGTGTCACGAAAAAGGAGGGCCTGAGAGAGAAACTTGGACTGGGTGGAAAGAGAAGCATAGTGTGTAAAAAGATTCTAGTTCACCTTATCAAATCACCACTAAGGAAATGAGAAAGGAGGATGTAAAGAGAAGGTAGAAAGCTAAGGCCCTAGACCACTACACCACGACATGGTAAAAGCAGTGCAGCCTGAGATTCCATTGAAACATCTAGGGTCCTGAGGCATTCAACTGAAGCCCAATCAGGGTTTCAAACATTGCCCCCCCGTGCTCTCTGGCTTTCTAGTTCAGGAACACCATGAGTGTAGACATCACAAAGTGTAGTTACAGATTATCATCTTGTAATGTGGAGGATAATTACACTTAGGTAATTATGCACACACACACACACACCCTCTAAATAATGGTGTAATAACTACATAATTACACACACCGTCTAAACTATACTTAAAACACTTCAACAATCCCATGCCTATTGTTACTGAATACAGTAATTTGTTTTAATGATTTACAACCCTATTCCTAAACCAGTGTTTATCAAAATCTTTTCCGAATCTGAACTTAAACAAATTTGTATCCATTGTTTTCTGCTCTATTTTGTGTTTATATTTAGCACACTGAATATATCCCTTCATATAAAATTATTTTGTCTTGATTATCACAACTGCAGAAGCCACCTTACTTTGACCTTTAGGGACTTGTTAGCTACTGAGTAGGATACATTAGAGCCACAATCTGATTACATTAATACTGTGTAAAATTTTTAATGTGAAGAGACGTGAATAATAAATTGGAGACAATACCCTAGGCATGTTTACATGTGTAATTACTTAAGTGTAGTTACAGGATAAGAGCTACGCTTGTGGTGTCCCATGTTCCCAGCATTGTCATATAATGCTTTGAAACTACTAACGGTTTTAGCCACTCAAGGTGTGATTGGTCGGTGGTATTGCTTTACATTTCTGTCTTTATTGGCCAGCAGTTTTAAAGCCATGGTCTCGTTGGATATGCTTTCAGTGTAGTTGAAGTTCTGTACTCACTTTTGCTAAAGCAGTCTTGCATTGCCTTGCCCAAACATGTAGAATAAAAAATGTAGCGGTGCACACTTGTAAACTGACATATATATATATCTTTGAGCTAACTATAATGTAAAACTAAGAATGGAATAGCATTTTGCATGTTGGAGTGTGGCATCCCCAACCCTTGTTGGAATGTATTCCAAATTTTATTATACCATATACTGTATTGTATGTATTGTATAAATAATTTTTTTTTCCAGTCGACCACACTGTAACTCTGGCACTGGTGATCATCCTTTATATGTTAATGTTGATATGAAGAATGGTGGAACCCAAACTACCTGGATAGATTCTCTCCAAGCTGCCTTTGCTGGAATACAGGTATGACAGGCCTTACGATGGAATGAAATTCCTGTATAATTTGCTGTAGCTTGTGGACCATGTTGCACAAACTATATATGTGCATGTACATCAACACATTGAAATTGCTGTACAATTAAAAAAAAAGAGTAAAAGAAATTTAGATTATTTGACAATAGTTGAGCAATGGGAAAACAAAAATTTGGTTTTATGTTTGTTCTTAACCAGTAAAATAAACTAAAAAACTTAGAAATTAATTTATCTGAGATAGTAATAAAAATTATTTTGGATGAGTTAGAACAAGGTCATTTTTTTATATAAATGTTTAAACTTAGAGTATTACCGGTAGATTGTTAAATTGTATATATATACAGAGGATACAGTTATATTTGAAGAGTGACAAAGTAGATAACTACTTTGTCATCTACTCTGACAGTGGTACATCTACTACTACTATGTAGACGACTTGAAAATGTCAATAATGTTTGTGACAGAAGATTTTTAAAAGTGAAGTTTACATAGAAGTTATTATGGTAGGCAGAAAAGGAAATTCTGTGTGACGTAAGTGATTATGAAGAGGTGTGGGGAATATTGTTTTTGTCTGATTACAATTGCATACAACATCACCAGTTTGCATATGGCAGATGCCTCAATAAAACTGTTAGAATCCAGCAACTATGAGAGCAATGTATTCAGGGCCTGGGTGCCCTTAATTGAGTAAAGATCCTCTGGGGTGGTTCTCTCTCAACCAGCTATGCTGGGTCCTGATTCACATTGGTCATGAGAATCACTTCCTCCCCCCTTCATCCTCCCGACCGGCTTCCTTGGGGAGCCGGTCGGTCGAGCGGACAGCACGCTGGACTTGTGATCCTGTGGTCCTGGGTTCGATCCCAGGCGCCGGCGAGAAACAATGGGCAGAGTTTCTTTCACCCTATGCCCCTGTTACCTAGCAGTAAAATAGGCACCTGGGTGTTAGTCAGCTGTCACGGGCTGCTTCCTGGGGGTGGAGGCCTGGTCGAGGACCGGGCCGCGGGGACACTAAAAAGCCCCGAAATCATCTCAAGATAACCCCCCTTCCTCTTTTTTTTTTTAATACAACATGGGGACTTAAAAGAACTTTTCACTGGGTCCTCATCACATTCACAGGTTTATGACTAATAGGCAATAAAGTGCTGGCGACACCAGAGCTATTCAGTTCTAAAGGCTTAAGTACAAGTAGCATTATTTACAATTGGATTCATGGAAACACAGTGTAAAGCTTAATAGTATTTTATTCAAGAAAACGTACTTGCTAATACACTGGGTGCTTGATTTACCCTAGATTGGAATCAGCAAAGCTATTATCACATTAAGAGAATCGTGAAACTACTACTAACTCATCAATCTCGGTTCACTCATGGACAAAACCTCACTTAACACTGTTTCAACAACCAATTGTGAACACAGCTTTCCTAACATTGCTGGTATTCAATCAGGATACTAAGGGATGGTAATCATGTGGAATAATTCAACACTAGCACATGTCATTGGGCTGTGATCCTTGTTGTGGTATACATACTGCAAACCTACCACTATACTGTGCTCCAGGGGGTGTCTTATTCATTTCAAACATACAATCTAGCAAACCCTCCAGGTGGAGTGGGTCAAGACCAGGCCCCCAAGGAAAGTACTCCCACAAATTTACCTGCTTAGAATACAATAGACCTCCCCACACTGGGCACAAGAAATAACTGGTATGTATACTTTATGGTTTATTAACCACTGCACTGCTCTGCATTAAAATACGGCACACCCGTGGTGCGGCGAAAATAAATTCTTTCCAGAAAATTATTTTCTCTTCTTATATTGTTAAAATGCAGTCTCTGAACACGGGAAACTAAACAAAAATGTTGTATGTGACATACTTTAGCCGTGATAGAGCTGGGAAGTTGAGCATATTATGGGCGCTAAGCGATGGAGCGCTCAAGGCCACTGCATGACAAGTCACACAGCAGACGACATCCTCACTCACCTAAATGGCTTCTCCCAACATAAGCCTTTTGCTGTTATTACACTCTATACACATGTTATATATAAGTATCTACATTTGTAGTTCACCAAAGCAAACCATAAAGCTGGTATGGTGAATCCAGACAATAACATGTTGCCACACACCAGCCAGTAGTCGACGCCACCTCTCCCTCCCTCCCTTACCAACAGTACTCCTCCCACCGCTAATTCTCACCACAATCCTGCTATTATCAGAACCCTGGTCATTAAATCATGTAAAAGAATAATTTTTGTCATGTTTATTTTGAGGAACATGAGAAATCATTATAAGACTTAAATGGAAGAAATAATGGCAATGTGCTGTGGCTAGCGCTGTGAACATCTTGAACAGCATTTATTCACTGATATCTGAACATTGTACACAGTCTTTATCACAGTCAGGCTCTTCTGTAATAATATCATGGCTAAATAATACCAGATGCATTACACCTAGAATTTGTATAATGTAATTTGTGTAATGAATTTGTACCAGATACCTAGAATTTGGAAAATTCTAGGCAATGCTCTGGTCAAAAGCTGAACAGCAATGCTGTTAGCTCATGCTGCGTGTGCCAGCCTTGGTTGTTCACTCAGTACTGAGGCCTTCACACCCAGGAATGTTGCCCACGATTTAAAAAAAAAATGGCGTCGGTTTAGGAGAGCCCTGAGGAAGCTAATGTGAACCCCGTGTAGCCGCGGGAGTTTTGAATGATGCGCTATACCTATAAGATCCTTGTGGCGTGTTGCACAGCACTCGTCAAGAGCCCCAAGGCCCATTGTGAAGTACAGTGGCTAATCACAGAACCCCTTCCCAAGACAAAAATGCCTGGCAGTGCCTGTTAACATTTATTTTATGCTCAGAATCCCCCCTTGGACAGGAATAAAGGCTCACAAACAAAACACTCTAGGCAGGCTCAAAAACCTCTGAAGAAGGTATGGTTGGAATCTTCCTTAATCCCCACAGACATAAGAAAATCCTCTCTAAATTCACTCCCACAAACACAATAGTGGCGCAAGCTTAGAGTGCATACAGTAATAATAGTTACTAAAGTTATATAAGGACTTATGTGAAGCAGACTCCCAAGATTCAACAAAATATGACCACTAGCCCTCCAGTTCAGTTACCAATTGAATCTGTGTTCTGACAGTGCTTCAGAATAGCCCAAATGATCATACAGTAACAGTCTTCTCTGATTTATTTAACCACCACCAATTTCTTACATTGTCACACTATATATTATATACCCTTCTGTCTGTATTTATTCACTAATTTACACATTACCTTTTCTTAAAACTAGCCAGGAGCTTACATGGCAATAATCACTTAAACATCTGGCAGAAATGTAACCTCAACTGCTTCCAGACTCAATGTAGCAAACAGATAAAGTGATTATATTAATTGTTTCACTATCCAAGACCACCCTAGTTACAACAGCACTGTCAATGATACGGGCATAAATCATGCCCGGGATCTCATTTCTATGGCCTAAGTACTTAACTCATCTGATTTAATCATCTACTAGATATATGACAGCAATCTAGTCATCATTCATCTATTTACACTAAGGGCATTCCAGAGATACCCAGCATGCTAGACATGCTGGGTATCCAATATTATGGCTTACTCCAGTCCTAAGAAATATAGAACTCTGTGCACTGTGAAGCACTCTAGTGTAGCTTTCCCAACTAGATACACCGAGATGTGCCACTCTAAGCAAATTGTAGGAGAGTTTACTTGGGGTTTACTTAGGGAGAGAGAGGGAGAAAAAAGTTGAGACCGTTCTCTCACAATTTGCTTATGTTGTAAATTTAAATACCTGCAATATGTGATTGATAAGATATATTTGTTGAAGCGAAGTTCAGAGTAGAGCGAGTCATGGAAAGCAAGTGACTTATGTAAAGAAAGCCATCATTAGAATAAAAAAGATAGGAAGAAGACTGATTGAAGGAGTGATAATACAGTACATGCCTTTGTCTACAAATGTGTGAAATCAAGAATTTTAGCATGGTAGTTGAAATGGACAATCTGAGAAATGTGTAGTGTTAAGACCAAAGAAAGTCGTGAAAATGTCAGGGAGAGATGTGGAGGACAAAAATATACAGTATAAATTGTTTCAATATGGAGTTTATGCCAAGAGGGTTTTGACATATTGCCTGAATGGATGATAGACTGGTGATGAGTATATGCTTGTGAATTTGAGAATTGCTGATTGAGTTGTACTGTGTATGACATCTCACATAAAACACTAAAAACTAAAAAACCTAGTCTTATGAAATGGTGCAGTGCTGCTGTTGGTAATTTACAAAAGTGTGACAATGTTGGTTTCTCAGATGAGGCTATACTACTTTTCGAAGCTTTCAAGAAGAAGAGGAGATAGGTTCAAACTAAAAAAAATTAGAAAGTTCACTTTTGCAAACATAGTGGTAGACGGTTGGAACAAGTTAAGTGAGAAGGAACAAGTTAAGGAGAAGCCAAAAACCATCATAGTTTCAAAATGCCATATGACAGAATACTGGGAAGATAGGATGCCTAGAGTGTAGCTCTCATCCTGTAATTAGACTTAGGTAATTATTGTACAGTGTGTATGGTATGGTGAATGGACTAGTGACTTCTTCTCGAAGGGACCCCTTTTAGTAGCTTTGGTGCAGCCAAGAGTTGGCTAATCACACTGGGCCTCTTGAGACCTATTCTTGCATGATGGAGCCAGGACCAAATTCTTCCTTGCTCTATTAAGGCGAAGGCTGCTTTTGTGTCATAGATAAAGCATAAAACAGAAAAATCCACCAAAATCATAAGTACAAAAAAAAAAAAAGGAACTACTTAAAAGATAATTAGGCACCTTAAGGTAACCAAAAAATGCAAACAATCATTCCTGTGGGGTAAATACTCTAACATTTAAAAAAGGTCCTGATAGTACAGTTGGGTTTGTTTTCGACTCATAATCGAGAATTCCTGGTTTGAATCCCAGGTGGGACAGAAAAGGTTGGGCACTTTCCCCATCCCCTTAATGACTCTTTACTTAAGCAGGAAATAGGTATCCAGAAGTTGGTTACCTTGTTGTGGGGTTGAATCCTGGGGAGGGGTTATCTCAGTATAAGCCTATATATATGTACTGTATGTATAAACTGGCTGCCTGTGCCCACAACACAATGAATTAAATTATATTTTTGCAACTGACTACCACCAGATGACAGCCTAATTCACTATTTTAGTGAACATTTACATGGAGCCGCCCATGCTAAACCTCTCAACCCCCAGGAGGAAAAAGGGAACAGGCCAAGAATGGGGAGTTATGGCCCTTCCAGAAAAGGGTGTTTAATTACATTTAAAGTTTGATATCTGGGAGGGACCTGTTGGTAGCTCCCAAGCTTTCTCATAAAGAGGTCGGGTGACATACTGTAGCATAATTATCCATGAAGTCTGCATGATTTGGTGGCAGAGGACACTTAATAACATAAAAAAAATTTTTGTTTTCCTACATACACTGTACATTGGTGCATTTCTTTAAAAACACTATTACAGGTATTTTTAAAAACCTGTAATGGTTTTATCCATTCAGATAAAAATAGTAAAAATTGCAGAAAATGAACATGAGGACAAAATCTAAAAACAACTAATTCATTCCTTACTGTCTTAGGTTTTAGCTGGTGACGTGGAGGAAGCCATTTGCACACATGCTCTCTATTATACAATTTGGAAAAAGTATGGTGTACTGCCTGAAAGATTCAACTGGCAGCGTATTTCTCCAGACGTCTTGTTTTACCCACTGCGACCTGAATTTGTAGAATCTACATACTTGCTCTACCAGGTATGTGTTCTTGTGCTTAGCTAGTCTGTATGTGGACATAGGTATATGGCTGATAATGGGTCGAAGTGGGTTTCCAGGTTTGTGGGTCTTGACAGTCCCATATGCAAATCCAGGTGTGTACTCTCCCAGTAGCTTTTGACAGGTGAAGTCCAGACAATTTTGGCATTAACAGTTTCAACCAATCTGTTCACCTTTCCTTTCAGCTCAGCAGTAGTGACCTTAGTGATCCTTTGAAATTTAGTTTGATTAGAGAGGATGAGGTAAATTTTCTCCATATACTCATGGATTTTTTTGTTGGCTTTTTTTTTTTGTAGCATTGTGTTTTTTCTTGGGCATTTTTAATATTTTTGTTGGGTGTTTAGGATTTTTGTAAATATATTGAGTAGTACTTTGTGTAAAACCTGGTCAATATGTAATGTTCAGCCCACCAGTACTGGTCAGGTCATATACAGTAGTTTCAACCTTAATATTCATTTGTTTGCCAATGATTGCTATCATATGTCATGTTCAAAATAATAATACATAAATCAGTTTCCTGGGATTATTGTTTAATGTAGACATGAAGAAAGATGGGTTATGATGGATTTGTAATTACCTGAATGTGCTTTATAGTTATTATAAAAATATTTCACTACACTTTTTACCTGGTAAGTCACAAACCTTTATATTCATTCACTAGTGGATATAGGCTTATTTTTCCAAGGGGAGGGGTTACTTGGTGTCTGACAGGTCTAATAAAATCCCTTATGGAATGAATCGACTTTGCCCCAAATAATTCGTTTAAACGAGAATACACTGTACAGCAAAAACAATATAAACAATCTATACAAATAAGGAAAATAAAGCAAGATGCACTTTTCTCACATTTGGCCGATGTGCTATGTGATTAGTGGCATATAAAAAATGTAAATACTTACAGTACTATACAGGCATACCTCAGAATAAGAGTTTAATCCGTTCCTGGAGACGCCTCGCCTTCCGAAAACTCGCATTCCGAAGTTAATTTCCCCATAAGAAATAAAGGGAAATGAATTAATCCGTTCCTGACTACCCCAAAAACCCCACATCAAACTAAATTTTTATACCTAATTTACCTAATTCATCTAAATAAACCTACAAAACTGTGTTCCAGTTATTACTTACCTTGCTGTCGAGTGCTGTAGGCGTATGGAAGATGGTGAGGAGGGGGGGAGGAGGAGAGGAGTTACTGTTTGGAAGGGGAGTCCCCTTTCATAATCACATCACATAACCCCATGCCTTGTAACACTATGGATACCACTTCTCTTTCTAAATTTTTCAAACCAGCCCCTGCTTGCCTTAAACTCTTTCTTATCTGCATCACTCGTTGCAGGGGTATTCTTTAGAAGGTCTTCGTGCAACACCCTGGCTTTCTCACAATAATGGCCTCCGAAACACTATCACCCCTCAACTCCTTGTCGTGTATCCAAATTAATAACAACTTTTCCACTTCTTCAAGTATTTGTGGTCTTTGTGCCGTTAATGTTCTTACTCCTTTTTGCCACTTTAGCACCCATAATCTTATTTTTCTTCTTAAGTATAGTGCATATTGTTGATGTGGCTTTGTTGTACTGCCTACAAAGTTCAACAACACGTGTACCGTTCTCATGCTTCCGAATGATCTCTTGTTTCTCCTCTATTGTCATCCTCACATGAGCTTTCTGGCCTTTATCCTTACCACTGGCTTTCTTGGGACCCATGGTGAGATATATAATAACAAATTGTATAGACAAATCACCAAAATCCAACAAAACACTGAAAATCCGCGAGAAGAATTGATGTGGGGGTAGTCACTGAGCGCGAGACAATAATAAACTGAGGGGCGGAGGGCGACGAACGCGCGCTAGGTCGGCTGTACGCGTATCAACAAACTCGCGTCCAAACTCGCCTCCCGAATAACCCTCGCCTTCTGAGACAAATTTTTGGAGTAAATACACCTCGCCTTCCGAAAACCTCGCATACAGGGACAATCGCATTCCGAGGTACCACTGTACCTTCACTAGGCTTTCAGCAGTTTATGCATCTGTTGGAACTATTTATTATCTCTTATTATTCTAATGTATCAAGTATTTTAAGATGTATTTAATTTTTAGAATTTACCAGATTTGCAGAAATGTTGTTTTATATACTGTACTGTATACATTTCTCAATACATTGTGTACTAGTCACTTTCAAGTGATTCTGATTCAAATGTTTGTCTCTACAGGCAACCAGAAACCCATTCTATCTGCATGTGGGTCGGGATATACTGACTTCTCTTAACAACTTGACCAAAGTTCAGTGTGGTTATGCCACTGTTCATTCCGTCTTAGATATGACTCACGAGGATCGTATGGAATCTTTTTTCCTCTCCGAGACTTGTAAATATCTGTACTTGGTAAGTTTTTAAGCTTGCTGTATTTTGTTTCTGTGGAGAGCCCCCTTCAGCTCCCCGGAGCTATACTGGGCTGATGTGTACATATATTAGACCATGGCAACAGTCAATCGCTGGAGTTCAAAGGCTACCGGGGACCAAGAGCCAGAACCTGGCCCCCTCAGTGAGGCACGAGGAGCAATGACCTATAGACATCCCCCGTGTAGTTGGAAATAGTCTATATCTGCCATCTACCAAGTCGGGCACCCAGAAAGGTAGGAGTCCCAAAATAAACTACAGCTGAGGAAAATTGAAAGCCGAACGAGCAAACAGAACTCCCCTATCAGAAAACAAGCATGATGTCACCACAGCTACTATCCGTGTAGCTCCAATCTCCATTGGAGGGGGAAAGGGGGGGAGCCCAGACTCTGCACTGGCTATCCAACCTCAGTTCTGAGGCTGTTGTGTTGGGTGACGGTCGATCGACTCTAGTTCCCTCCCTTCGGTTGGCGAAGGTTGGATAGCTGGCGCGGGGTCTAAGGCCTCACCCCCTTCCCCCTCCTTGGGAAGGGGGGAACTGTGTGGACAGCGGTGCGGCGGCTGTGGTGATGTGTTTGTTTGCTTGTTTTCTGATGAAGGAGTTCTGTTTGTTCGTACGGCTTTCAGTTTGCAATTTTTCCCCAGCTGTAATTTGTTTTGGGATTCCTACCTTTCTGGGTGCCTGACCTGGTAGATGGCAGATATAGACTGCTTCCAACTACACAAGGGGTGTCTATAGGCCATTGCTCCTCGTGCCTCTCTGAGGGGGGCCAGGTTCTGACTCGTGGTCCCTGGTAGATTTAGAACTCTATAGATTGACTGTTGCCACAGTCTAATATATACACATCTGCCCAGTATAGCTCCAGGAAGCCTCCAGGTCTCACCCAGAGAACGGCGTTCAATTACATTGAACACTTTTTTTTTAATATAAATCATAACAATATTATTATAATAAAAGCATGTGACATCCTGCATGTGTGCCAGTGTTCACATAGTTTTGCCACATGCAGTACCAGTTTATAATTGATGACACTAGTAAACAAATCATGCTCTGACACATCTTGTAATGCCTTCTGTTGCATCAACAATTAGCAATGTTGTTCATATTTTATGTTGTTTGATACATGTGTTCTTTTTTCACAGCTGTTTGATATAGACAATCCAGTTAACCTAAACTCCCAGCGGTACATGTTTACTACAGAGGGACATATTCTACCTTTGGCTCCTTGGCTTCGACAGCAGAACTGGGATACTGATATTTTTCCATCAATAAATCCTTCAGTGCAAGCAAATGTTACTCAGGCAAATGTAAATATTCCATATTACTTTTAACGTACTTTTATTTTAGTAAAATAAGTTTTATTGTACAATATTCTAATGGGAATAATAATGCAATATTAGATAAATATATTTTGCTTTGTATATCAGGTTGATTTTATAGGGTGTCAAAAATATTACAAAGGAGTCCAGTAAGCAGAGCAAAGTTAAAAAAATTTCTATATAAAGTTATGTCCAAAGACCTCCAAAAGTCAGTTCAGTAATTAAATTTCATATTGATGTAACAACTGAGCGAAGAAACAAACAAACAATTGAGCAAAGAAACAAACAAACAACTGAGCGAACAAACAAACAAATGAAGAAATAAGCAAACAATTACCTCCTTAACCTCCACCATCTTAACCACAACCTCCTCCTGCATCCAACACCTCCCTTAATCACCACCACCCTGTCCTGCCTCCTCTCCACCACCACCACCCTGTCCTGCCTCCTCTCCACCACCACCCTGTCCTGCCTCCTCACCACCACCACCTTGTCCTGCCTCCTCACCACCACCACCTTGTCCTGCCTCCTCACCACCACCACCCTGTCCTGCCTCCTCTCCACCACCACCCTGTCCTGCCTCCTCTCCACCACCACCCTGTCCTGCCTCCTCACCACCACCACCTTGTCCTGCCTCCTCACCACCACCACCTTGTCCTGCCTCCTCACCACCACCACCCTGTCCTGCCTCCTCACCACCACCACCCTGTCCTGCCTCCTCTCCACCACCACCCTGTCCTGCCTCCTCACCACCACCACCTTGTCCTGCCTCCTCACCACCACCACCTTGTCCTGCCTCCTCTCCACCACCACCTTGTCCTGCCTCCTCTCCACCACCACCCTGTCCTGCCTCCTCTCCACCACCACCCTGTCCTGCCTCCTCACCACCACCACCTTGTCCTGCCTCCTCACCACCACCACCCTGTCCTGCCTCCTCTCCACCACCACCTTGTCCTGCCTCCTCACCACCACCACCTTGTCCTGCCTCCTCACCACCACCACCTTGTCCTGCCTCCTCTCCACCACCACCTTGTCCTGCCTCCTCTCCACCACCACCTTGTCCTGCCTCCTCTCCACCACCACCTTGTCCTGCCTCCTCTCCACCACCACCCTGTCCTGCCTCCTCTCCACCACCACCTTGTCCTGCCTCCTCTCCACCACCACATTGTCCTGCCTCCTCTCCACCACCACCCTGTCCTGCCTCCTCTCCACCACCACCTTGTCCTGCCTCCTCTCCACCACCACCTTGTCCTGCCTCCTCTCCACCACCACCTTGTCCTGCCTCCTCTCCACCACCACCTTGTCCTGCCTCTCCACCACCACCTTGTCCTGCCTCCTCACCACCACCCCCACCTTGTCCTGCCTCCTCTCCACCACTACCACCTTGTCCTGCCTCCTCTCCACCACTACCACCTTGTCCTGCCTCCTCTCCACCACCTTGTCCTCCTCCCCCTCCCTCCTCCTCTCCACCACCTTGTCCTCCTCCCCCCTCCCTCCTCTCCACCACCTTGTCCTCCTCCTCTCCACCACTTTGTCCTCCTCCCCCCTCCTCTCCACCACATTGTCCTCCCCCTCCCCCCTCCTCTCCACCACCTTGTCCCCCTCCCCTCCTCCCCATCACCTTGTCCTCCTCCCCGTCCTCCTCCCCCCCTCCTCTCCACCACCTTGTCCTCCTCCCCCCCTCCTCTCCACCACCTTGTCCTCCCCCTCCCCCTCTCCACCACCTTGTCCTCCTCCCCCTCCCTCCTCCACCTTGTCCTCCTCCCTCCTCCACCTTGTCCTCCTCCTCCTCCTCCTCTCCACCACCTTGTCCTCCTCCCCCTCCCCCTCCTCTCCACCACCTTCCCCCTCCTCTCCACCACCTTGTCCTCCTCCTCCCCCACCTTGTCCTCCTCCCCCTCCCCCTCCTCTCCACCACCTTGTCCTCCCCCCTCCTCTCCACCACCTTGTCCTCCTTCCCCCCCTCCTCTCCACCACCTTGTCCTCCTCCCCCCCTCCCTCCTCTCCACCACCTTGTCCTCCTCCCCCCCTCCCTCCTCTCCGCCACCTTGTCCTCCTCCCCCTCCCTCCTCTCCACCACCTTGTCCTCCTCCCCCCCCCTCCCTCCTCTCCACCACCTTGTCCTCCTCCCCCCTCCCTCCCTCCTCTCCACCACCTTGTCCTCCTCTCCACCACCTTGTCCTCGTCCTCGTCCCCCTCCCCTCCACCACCTTGTCCTCCTCCCCCTCCCCCCTCCTCCTCCACCACCTTGTCCTCCTCCCCCTCCTCTCCACCACCTTGTCCTCCTCCCCCTCCCCTCCACCACCTTGTCCTCCTCCCCCTCCCCCCTCCTCTCCACCACCTTGTCCTCCTTCCCCCCCTCCTCTCCACCACCTTGTCCTCCTCCCCCTCCCCCTCCTCTCCACCACCTTGTCCTTCCCCCCCCTCCTCTCCACCTTGTCCTCCTCCCCCTCCCCCCACCTCTCCACCACCTTGTCCTCCTCCCCCTCCAACCACCTTGTCCTCCTCCCCCTCCCCCCCCACCTTGTCCTCCTCCCCCTCCCCCCCACCTCTCCACCACCTTGTCCTCCTCCCCCTCCCCTCCACCACCTTGTCCTCCTCCCTCCTCTCCACCACCTTGTCCTCCTCCCTCCTTTCCACCACCTTGTCCTCCTCCCCCCTCCCTCCTCCTCTCCCACCACCTTGTCCTCCTCCCCCCTCCCTCCTCTCCACCACCTTGTCCTTCTCCCCCCTCCCTCCTCTCCACCACCTTGTCCTCCTCCCCCCTCCCTCCTCTCCACCACCTTGTCCTCCTCCCCCCTCCCTCCTCTCCACCACCTTGTCCTCCTCCCCCCTCCCTACCACCTTGTCCTCCTCCCCCCCCCTCCTCTCCACCACTTTGTCCTCCTCCCCCCTCCCTCCTCTCCACCACCTTGTCCTCTTCCCCCCTCCCTCCTCTCCACCACCTTGTCCTCTTCCCCCCTCCCTCCTCTCCACCACCTTGTCCTCCTCCCCCCTCCCTCCTCTCCACCACCTTGTCCTCCTCCCCCCTCCCTCCTCTCCACCACCTTGTCCTCCTCCCCCTCCCCACCACCTTGTCCTCCTCCCCCCTCCTCTCCACCACCTTGTTCTCCTCCCCCTCCTCTCCACCACCTTGTCCTCCTCCCCCTCCTCTCCACCACCTTGTCCCCACCGCCACCACCTCCTCCCCTCCACCATGTCCTCCCTACCACCACCACATCCTCCTCAAGTCATGCCATTCATTATACATTTTTATTTCAGTGTGCTGTCATTGATGAAGAGAGAGTCTACGGTCTCCCACTGAAAAGCCAATATCTAGAACAAATATACGTGTCCCTTGGAGTGGAGTTATGATGACTGGTTATATTAGAAACACCTATACAATTGTTACAGCAATTTATGCAAGACTATGTTCCTACCTGTCTAATTCAAAGAGTGAAGAACTTCTGACATTATATTTTCCATTAAAGTATTCTTGGCAAACACAGTTGTGTGTGATTCACAGAATTTCACAAATGTATTAATGAAAAATGGTAAACAATCTTACTCAGCATGTTGCAAACTTTACATCTTTCTTCAATTTAATGGGTCATCTAAGGTTAAAATGTTTGATTATTATACTTGAAATTTGATACAGTAATAATTAGTATTTACTCTATTTATGCAATATCTTTCCTAAGATATCATAATTAGCATTTACAGTACATATTAATTAAATATTCAACGATTAAAGGGGGGTTACCTTGCGATGATTTCGGGACTCTACGTCCCCTCGGCCCAGTCCTCGACCAGACCACCTGGTTGCTGCACTGGTCAACCAGGCTGCTGAGAAAAATCTCTTAACAAAATTTCTCTCAACAATGTTGAGGAAAAAATGAGAGAAGAGAAAAATCTTGCCCAGCTTTCCCTAGACATAATATACAAGATTCTTAGATGACTAACTTACTCTGAATGTGTCATACAAGTCTTAAATGTGAAACAAAATGTCCAAAAACCAAAATGAAAAAAAATGGGATAACGATCATAAATTATCATTTATATACAACTTACAGTAATTAATGGCAGGAATAACATTACTGTATCAAAATAATTTTTGTTCAGTATTACTGTATCAAGTGTGCCATATCTTCCAAAGGCTGTCAAAATTCATTACAATTATAATAATAATGGAATGATTTGATTTAATGGTAAATCTTTTGAATTTAACACTTTCAGCCTCCCGGCGAATGTAAAAAAAAAAAAACCGTATGTGCTCCGGGCGTTTTGCCGCGTAAGCGTAAAAACAAAAATGTGTATACTCTTTTTACTCTCCTGACCTTAGTTCTCGAGCTACGTATTTCATTTTGGTTCCAACGTGTTCGCAATAAAATTCTCTAGAAGAACATCAGTAAAAAAAAGTCACGAAACGTATAGGGATACCAGCACCAAATAAATAACTACGAAGATGACTCGCCGTGAGCGCCCAACAGCAACAAAATGTTTTTACTCTTGGGATTGTTATCACCTCCATCCACACTTGTCCTACAGCGTTAATTTTGGTATCAATGGACTCACAATGAAATTCCCAACACGATGATATGAATATAAGCGTAGAATAATGATTGCGGCCCGCCCGCAAGAGTGTGGGAAGTGGTGAAATTGTTACCCGGTATCAGTGACGGGATGACGCACGGCGCTTTGAAAGTTTATACTTATTTCACTCTCATGACATTATTATTCTATGTACGTCATTCATTTTTGTGTCAATGTGTTCGCAATAGAATGTTCTATGAGCCCGTAGGTAAAAAAGATCAACAAAGCGTAAGATAGAATAGCGCCAAATATAAAACAACGCTGGAACATATCAGTGAGAGTCAAACACACACGAAATGTTTTTACTTTTGTTATGTTTGTGAACCTTTCATGAACTTATTGTACCATGCAGCCTATTGGTGAGAAAGAGAGCCTCATGGCGCGCAGTTTGAAACAAACCCAAAGTAAATCGGATAAAAATTGAATTTTATACAAATATTTTAAAAGAGGACATAAGTTTATGTCCACTTAGCGTTAGCGGGTAGGTGAAACAGGACGCCGGGAGGAGTCCTCAGGGGCAGAAAGTGTTAATTATGTATATTTTTATATCAAAACATAATTTTACCTTAAGTATCAGTTCTTTATATATAGTACTCATGTTCAACATATGAAGGCATATTTAATATGTTACCAAGGATTTATCCTACTTTAATATGCTTTATCACTTGTTATGGATTCCACTATGAGCAGGTAGGAGACAGTGCAATAGTTTATGTCCAGAATAAGACAAAATTTACCCAACTGAAATATGTCACTGCTGTACGACACTAATATCATTGCTATGACAAACTCTTGTTTAATGTATTGTCTTAAATTTAAACAAATATTCATGGACATTTTGCTATAATTACCATATCTGAAGTATTTCCAAAAGTGTATTTGAGAAAAAATTAAAAAGTTACCAATGCAGAAAGTGTACATAGACCATACCTGTTCAGCTCAATTAAATATTCAGTGATATCATGCTCGTCTGTAAGATTTATATTTAAAAATCCATTTAAAATAAAGTAACTAGATATTTTTATAACAAAACCTCAGGAAAAATGTAATGATCCACTAAACAGGAAATATAAATTCCATCTTTAATTGCTTTTATATTCATATCCATGTGAATCCCTGCTCTTCTCTCTACTAAATATTATATTATTTTACTTGAACAGGTTGCAGGATAATAGTGAAATTGGTTTGTTTACTCTATATTTATAATATTAAATCTTTTAGCATGTTACCTTCTCTTACATAACAAATAATAAAAGATTTGCTCATCAAACACAAGAGTACTTGCTCATGCAAATGATTGAATGTAATGGTCATACTATTTTTATAAATGATATTTACTTCATTTTTTAATAAAATTACTATCTATCTGGCAGATTTATGATTCATAATTATTCACACAATACCAGAAGCAAGTCCTATAAATACACACACCAGTGTGAATGTCATCTCCCCAGATATGAGTAGCTTTATCATCTGGAGAGTGGCTTATGGAGTAATTATCGATAGCAAGCACCAAGCCAGGAAGGCTATTCAGTAAAGCACTCTTATACAATATTCAAAAGTTATTAGTTATTCAAGATGCCAATATGAGGACGGAAAGACATCAAACTGATGATGACAAAGGAGTCTTTAAATTAATTTTAAAGGAGTCTTAAAATAATTAAGTATTTTGTCGAGGGACATGACTAGAATAGTTCACAAACTTAAAATGGTCAAAAGAACTGGGCACCTTGGCCAAACTTCCAAGAAGTACAGTACTGCAAATGCATGGGGAGGGGACATACTCCAATAGATCATTTAACTCCTCCCTAAGGACAACCAAGGTTGGGAGGGTGAAACTAAAAAATAATTTTAGAAATACGTAGGGGGCTGCCTTGTAGGCAGGCTTGTTTGCCTGCCTACAAGGCAGGCAAACAAGGACAAGGTTGCATTTCGGGAACCTTGTTCCGGGTATTCTAAGATACTGTAGTCTTATCATCATTATGCAATCTCCAAGATCCCTGGAGGTAACAGCAAGATGAGGCAGGAAAATTCTTATACTGAAAAATGCATCGAGCCAGATATTTGTTGTGACATTTATCGTATCTAGCATACTTAAAGGCAATAAGCTATTTTCGAGACTAGACTTCAACAAAGTTTATGCGAGATCACTTGGATGGAAGTAAACATCCGAGCCAATGGACTGGATGTTCTGGACTAGTCCCAGAACTAAGAGGCATGAGTTACGAAGAAAGGCTGCGAGAAATGCACCTCACAACACTAGAAGACAGAAGAGTAAGGGAAGACATGATCACTACCTACAAAATTCTCAGAGGAATTGACAGGGTAGATAAAGATAAACTGTTTTAACACGGGTGGTACGCGAACAAGGGGACACAGGTGGAAACCGAGTACCCAAATGAGCCACAGGGACATTAGAAAGAACTTTTTCAGTGTCAGAGAAGTTAACAGATGGAATGTATTAGTCAGTGATGTGATGGAGGCTGACTCCATACACAGTTACAAATGTAGATATGATAAGAGCCCAGTAGGCTCAGGAATCTGTACATCAGTTGATTGACAGTTGAGAGGTGGGACCAAGGAGCCAGAGCTCAACCCCCACAAGCACAATTAGGCGAGAACTGGAGCAGGTAAACGTGCATATCAGTATAATTAAACTCAAAATATTTTGTCCACGTAAGTGGACCAAACATGGGTATGCACAATGATTTGCCAGTTTGGAATATATTAAAACTCCTAGATACCATGACTCAAGACTGGAAAATTTAATTCATTGAAAGGCTACCAATCATCCAGTTAGAGTGGGAAATAAATAATACTGGTACAGGAGCTGAAGCTGTCGACAGCAATTAAACTTGTAGTAGTTCATTTAGTTGTAAATTTTGATTCAATATGCCCAGATAATGATGACAGTAGAGAGGAAAGTGCACCAGAAAGCAATGACAGCTCGATAGAAACAGACCAGAAAAATAGAATTTGCAAATTTTATGCAAAGAGCATTTGTAGACATTATGGAAAAAGACCAGGATTAGAATGCAGTTACCCTCATCCCAGAAAATATCTAAATATACTTAGGAATTAAAAATGTCATTCTGGATCAACATACAAGTATTTTCATTCAAACGTGCAAAAACCTCAATTGAGTTAAGAAAATACCATGACTCCAGATGGCCAGACTTAAGTGTGGCCATCTGAAGTGTAACTTTCAAGTGTGAAGTGACTTTTAAGTGTGGCCATACAGAACACTACACAACGAGTAGCAAACAGGCAAATGGCTTAGGAGGAAAGTCAAATAATTTTTCAGACCCAGGTAAAAGTTTTCAAAAGATTGAACAGATGGAATGCATGTTAATGGACCCAGCTGAAAGAACCATTTGTATACCAGTCACAGGTACACGGTGTGGTATACACAGACTTTGCAAAGGCATTTGATAAATGAGACCATGGAGTGATATTCCTATTAATCTCATTTTGTGGGTTAACAGAGTAGGGCGATGGATATTCCATTTTCTGTTAAACAGAACGCAAAGAGCAACAGTCAAATAAAATCGAGTCCCAGCACAGTGAAAAGCTCTGTACCTCAGATCACAGTCCACCAATGCTTTTCCTTATTCTCATATCACATGCAGTATATACAAAACGTCACAGCTTCATGTCATCTTTTGCAGATGACACAAATCGGTATAAAAATTACTTCTGTAGAAGACCTTGAAAAACTAAAAGCTGATAAGACTACCTGTAGAAGATTCTGAGGATTAGTATCCCTGCAGCCCAGTCTCTGACCAAGCCTCCTGGTTGCTGGCCTGAACAACCAGGCTGTTCAATGTGGCTGCTTACAGTCTGACATACAAGTCACAGCCTTATTGATCAGGTATCCTATGAAGGGGCTTGTCAAGTCCTTTTTTGAACACTGAGAGGTCGGCCAGTTATGCTCCACATGTGTAGGGGGAAGAATGTTAAGTCTTGGCCCTTTGATGTTGATAGAGTTCTCTCTTGGCATGCCTTTTGCACCTCTGCTATTCTGTGGGGCTATTTTGCACATCCTGCCATGCCTTTTGGTCTCTTATGGTGTTGTGTCTGTGTGCATATATGGGACCAGTCCTCCAAATATTTTCAGTGTAAATTATTATGTAACTCTCCAACCTTTACTCCAGGATTTACAGATTTAAAATGTTTAGGCGATCCCAGTATTTTAGATACTTCAGTAGGTTATAGGGGTAAAGGATCTTTGCACTCTCTCCAGGTCAGCAATTTCTCCAGCTTTGAATGGGGCTTCTTAGTGTGCAGCAATATTCCACTTTAGAGAGCACTAATATCTTGAAAAGTATCATTGTGTGGCATTTCTTATTTGGAAAGTTCTTATTATCTAACCTGTCATTTTTCTTGCAGTTGTGACAAATTTTTTGTGTTCCTT